TGAGTTTAAACACCTCCATTGGTCCTAACCTTCCCAGGTTGGTAATAGTAAATAAAGTCATGTATTAGTCATAATAAAGTTATGAATTTTCTGAAAGAGGAAGAATCTTTCATGTAATCTTGTCCACGTTTAATTTTGAATGTGTATGTCTACCCTCTTTTGAAGAATCCAGATCTCTGTCCAAGATTTCAGCAATGTCTGATAAGGATTTATAGCAAAATTGCAGCAAGTACTTCTTCCCATTGCTTTTCCTCCATGTATCATTGAGTAACCGATGCTATGTGGTTTGCTAGTAACTACACTGGGACTTGATCTTAGGAGATCTGGATTTTAGGCACCTTTGAGTGACCAAAGTAAAAATGAACAAAATAAAGTCATTCAGTCGATGGAGAGATACCTTATGACTCCATGTGCTCACGTCATTGACAGAGTGACGGAACCTCTTGAAAGTCATTCAGATGTGTGGCCATGATGTCAGGGCATGAAGACAACTTTCTGTCCCCATCCCTGTAGGTCCTTCGCCACTTTGGAATGACATGTCCTGTAACTTCTACACAGTAAACACACACAGTTACAGGCCACTCACTAAGCCAGCTGTTCACAAAGGATTTACAAGGGACCCCTGGGGCCCAAAAAGGTCTGTGTGGATTTTGCAATAGTACTAACAAGTGATTTGCCTTTTTCATTCTCATTCTCTCAGAGGATACAGTAGCTTTTTAGAGGATACATGATGTATCTACAATTATGAAAAGGCTATTAAGATATTCTCCCAGTTTCCAAGTAAGTATCTGTGTGAGGCCAGGTTTTCCTCGTATTTTCAACAACAACAACAAAAAAACAAATTGAGCATGAAAGTAGATATGAGAATCCAATTGTCTTCTATTAAGCTAAGCATTAAAAAGATTTCCAAAAAATATAAAATAATTTCACTATTCTGACTCATTTTTCTCTGCTTTACAGAATATAACTGTTTTTCACATAAATGTGTTATATTTGAGTTTATATTTGTGTTTATAATAAATTTAAATAATAAAATTTTTAAAAATCTTCAGCTTCATTTTAATTGTGGTAAATACTTAGAGCTCAGATAAGCAAAGCTCTTTTGGGGTCCTCAGTAATTTTTAGAGTGCAAAAGGATCCCAAAACCAAGAAGTTTTAGGATTGCTGCATTAAACCCATGTCTGTGTGTCCTCCTGGTTGCTGCAACTTGAACTATAAAAGTGTTTCTAAACATATCAGTTGGTCCAAGAGAATAACCATGGTCAGGGGTCCTTTCTCAGAAGCTCTACCTTTCCCCTTTCCCTCCCTTCAGGTAAAAAGCATACCATGCTGGGGAATTACAGCAGGTAAAAAGTGGGGATGCTGAGCCCGTTTTATCTCTCCCCAAAGGCCCATTTTATTCCCGCCCCACTGGAAAGCCCCTGCGCCTGGGAGAGGAGGCCACAGCGGCCTGCTGCCCGTTTGGAACCACTGCCCTCGCCGGCCAATCCCACGCTGAGGCAGTGGTTGGAGGGGTTTTCTGATGCACAGCAGGCAGTATGTTTTGTCAGGTCCCCAACATTTTTAATTAAAGTTGTTCTACAAATAGTTTATGTTCATTTCCCCTGGATCTCACAAATCAGTAGAGACCAGGAATCATTGGGCTTAGGTCAGGATAACTGACCAGAAGAGGTCAATGCAACTGAGGGCCTGAAATTGAGCTTCGGGGATTTACTAGTACTACTTTTTAAGATAAATGCATTGGCTTTCTAGAGGAGGTAGAATTTATTTTAAATAAACAGCTAGGAGGTATTTTTTTCTTCTGCAGTATTTTTCTTCTTTCACTTTGTAATAAAAGGAGTTAGTCATTCCTCGAAAATGTGCAGTCACGTGAAAGGAAAAGAAAGACCGATATTGAAGGCGTTTTTCATAGAGCCCAGTCCTGAGCCCGCCCTTGGGGTTTGCCAGGGGCACTGAGAGCTGATTGTTTGCCTCTGACACACCTGGTCTTTTAAATCCCCTTTCTTCTTTGGAGTTTGAATTTCTGAGGGAAATCCAGCACCTAACGCCAAACAGAGAAGTTTTACGTGAAAAAGATGTTCTTGCCTCTTTTGGAGGAGCAAGAAAATGGGGGAAGAAAAGTAAATTCACATCAGGTAAAACAGTAGTCGCACTCGAAAACTGTTGTCAGCTATTGTATTTGACTTCAGCAAGTTAGCGTGTGAGGAGATTCATTTCATCTCTCAGGAAAACTGTCTTTCCACGCTCCCACTGTGTAGTTAGAAGGCTGTTTTTAAGATCTCACGTAGCTACAGGCTTTTTTTTTTCTGAGCACATCATGTGATACTGATGCTGGAGTTGGTGGTGGCCAGCATCCCTGGCCATTTGGATCAGGTCTGCAGTGCCCATCTGTCCCCAAGTCTGGGTGTCGCTCCTTGTTGCTTCCCGAGCACCTTGAGCTTGTCCTCCACAGCACAGTGTCTTCCTGTCACTGTGCACTGGCAATGCGCTCTTGTCTGAACCCCACTGAGGGGTCTGTCTCAGGGTGGTGTCTGTCTCCTTTACTCTCAGGTCTCAGCTCTCACACACAAATGGTGTTCGTGAAATACTTGTCCAGGGGATGGACGGTTGGAGAGCCAATGGTGTCATTTCTTTTGGTGCTAGACACGCCCTTGTTTACTTCCAGAAACTGTCTTTATTCCAGGATTACCAATTTCCCGACTGTCCACTGAAAACCTGCATTCTTCTCTGTTCCCTTGTAGCTCTGAGAACTTGGGCAAATCTGTTAGGCACTTTGCAGCCAAGTTTTTCTCTAGTGGTTAAAAATGGTAGTTAATTAGTATCCATTAATGTTCTCTCCAGCTCTAATATTCTTTTATTTCCTGTGCTAAAGACCTCACCTATTGTAGTTTTAATAACTTTTTATTGATTTCAATAATCTATGACTATGTCAGTGCATTTAAAGGTGCCTTGTAACATGGAGAATTCAGTCTCATGGAAAGAAAGACTTGGCATCCGCATCAAACCCTAGTGCTGTTCAGGTGGTAACTGGAAACACAGGATTTTCAGGAGCTGACCCTCCAGGCTGGGATTAGCCAGGGTGATCTTTCTCTGGTTGCCTCTAAGATATTGTTTATTCACCTCTGTGTTGGAAAGTGATGAAGAAAAACTAACAGAAAAACATTCAAGTTAGTTGATTATTTCTCATGTAGAGTTTCTTAAAGAGGTTTTGATGGGAGAGGAAGTCTAAACTGTTGGCTGAGAGGCGCTTGGGCAGGGTCATGGTTTTGTGGCGGCAAGAACAGCTCTGGGCCGGCTGAGCTCACAGCATCTGCACTTACCTCTTGAAGACTCTGCTTGCATCGGGTTCTGTTTGTGTGTTCATTCATCTTTGAGCTTAAGTGGAGGTATTCTGTTTCATTCATCTCCATCTCATTGAGTTTAACAATTTACAGAGTTTGGCAAATAGAAAAAGACATATTTTTAGAAACATAGTTCTCCATTTTTGTTGGATTATGGATCTATAATTGAAATAAGTGACATTTGCCAGATTCAAACCACATTTCCCCAAATGGTACTTCAATATGTGGATTCAAAGAGATGGCCTTGGTCATTCTGCGGAGGGTAAAGTGTGTTTGCCTGTTTGGCTCCAGCCAGTATTAGGCTTCTTGGCTATTGTTGAGCACACTCAACATGTGTTTAGTCACTAGCTTAAGGTATCACATCTGAGGAAATTGATGCTGTACCTTTCCTTGTCACTTATCTGGTTGAATGTTTAGTACTAGTAACTTGTGATAAAATTATGGAGAATGTTCATGCTCCAAGCATATGAAGGGCAAAGTTGGGATGTGCTTGATGCCAAATCACTGCTTCTCACTTGACCTTCACAGAGGTGCTAGGAAACTATGAAATTGTTCACTCATGAGTAATTGTTAGAACCTGGATAACTTCGATTCATTAATTAGCTGTTACCTTCTATAGCATAAAGTATGTGACGTGACACTCTAAGATGACTGTAAAAAATGTACATGTAAGTAACGTGTGTTATAATGAATCTCTAGAGAGTAGACAAGGGCAATTAGAAAACAATCCATTGGAGATGTGGAGACTGATTTGGACCTCGCCACAGAGGGGGGAGTTGGAGGTGTGCTTTGAGGGGACATAGATTCCTATCGGATGGAACAGCTCAGAGATGGAAAGCACAGGTTGGACAAAGGAAGTGGTGAATAGTTTGGTGGGCTATAGAAACATTCCAGTAAAGAAAAGATTCTCCCTGGCTAGTGTAGCTCAATGGATTGAGCCATGTTCAGTGGATTGAGTTTACAAACCAAAAGGTTGTTGGTTCAATTCCTAGTCAGGGCACATGCCTGGGTTGTGGGCCAGGTCCCCACTTGGGGGCAGGTGAGGGACAACTACATGCTGATATTTCTCTCTGTCTTCCTCCCTCCCTTAACCCTCCCTCTAAAAATAAATAAATAAAACCTTTTAAAAAACAAAAGATTTGACAAAGCCTCCCATAATCTGCACCAGCCTCTCCTCTCTCTCCCCCCGGAACTTCCCCAGATAAACTCTACAGTGTGGGTGAAAGAGTGGTAGCTATGCAAGCACACCTGGGAGATGGATACCCGGGCCTCCCTGCCTCCCAGTCCGATCCCCACCAGGAAGAGGAATTTCTATATTGATGAATCACCCATTTCCATCCAGGGAGCTACTGGGCAGAAGCATCCCATTTCAATAATCACTTTGACACTACTACTGACTGTAAAGCGAATCCTTCCCGATACTACTTCTTAGTGAACACCAGCTGTCTGCCCTGAAGGAACTAAGCACAGACACGGGTGGTAGGTACGTGTGCAGCCAGTGTTGGCTTTAACTCAGACCGAGCGCTGCGTGTGTGATCTCAGTGTCGACTGCAGCGTTCATGCTCCGCAAGTCGTTTTCCGCTTTTCTCACGTCTGCGGCTCAGTTTATTGCTAATTCTTCGAACTCTCTGATTTATTTTTCTTGATTCTGTTTTAAAGGAGAGATTTAAGGAAGCCGAGGAAACATACCAGGCTGGGATAAAGAACTGTCCTGATAGCTCGGACTTACATAACAACTACGGAGTTTTCTTGGTAGACACTGGTAAGTGAAATCAGAGAGAACCTGTTCTGCGGAGAAGAGGTGATGCTCTCGAGCAAAACCACCACTGCCCAAATGACGCCTCTGAAGGAAAATTCACTGGGCCTGGCGAGGCACTCCCACCGGGGACAGTCACCAGGTGCCACGGGCTGTCATTTCTCTAAGTCCTCAGGCTCGGTTTCATAAAATCGGCCCATTCTTATAATCATATCGCTAGGGAAAATTGCCCAAGTGTAGGAAGTAGCCTCGATGATTTACAGAGTTTTCTTTGGACACATTCATACCAGTTTATAAATCTATAATGGAATGTTCTCTACCGTGATGCACAGCCTGCTCTGAATGCAGTTGCTGGCAGGTGGTAACTACTGTTCTGTAACTAACAAAAAAAGTCTCAGTTGTTTTTACTGTTCCATGTGTGATATACCTCTGAGAACTGTATTATCTAATTGATAAAGTACTTGTGTGTGACAATGTTTTGTAAAATGCCCTTCCTCCATTTTATTTGATTAAAAGCTTTGTGGAGCAGGGGTTCTGTCTTCTTTTTATGGTTATTATTGTTTTTCTATCACCACTGTCCCAACTTTTCCCCCCTTTGCTCTCCTCCTTTATGACTTGTGCCCCATGTACTGTTGGTATGCCGTGAGCCCTTATAGAGAATAAAACGGGATTTAAATTTAATGCAAACACCACTTCGTTCTCATTGACTATTACAGTATCTGCCCTACAATAAAATTTCATTGTAATTAATTTGTTTTTTGAAGATAGTGGACGTATCACAATTTACATTGTGATAACAATCTTTATTTTTGCATGTAAAATTGTTTTGTAGTGCCCCCTGCTGGTTCATTAGCAAAACAGTAATAAATCCCTGTAACAAAGATGTAAACCCCACAAGAGACCTCCTGTTGCCCTGCTCCAGACCTCTCCCTTCTGCTCCAACGACAAAAAACGCCCACCCCAATCGTCAACCCCAGTGAACAACACTGTATACCCACCCCCCCACTCCTTTTGTGTTTGTGCTTTTATACTGGGGAAATTCTCCTTATTACCAGTAGTCTGGCACCTCCTACGTAAACTTGCATTCAAAAAAGGTGTCCTTGAGAAGATGTCTGTGCAGGTAATAAACATCCCATCCCATTTAAAATGTTAAACTCCTCTGCAGCCCCATCGCTCAGTCATGATTTCACTGGGAAGCTTCTTTGGAGAACCTTACAGACTCGAGAGACTTGATTCTAGCTCTGGCCTTGAGCCTCCTTTGCTCTGATCTTTGTCAAGTCTCATGATGTCTTTGCATTTAGATGTCTGTGTCTATAAGTAGTAATTTTGTTTATTCTAAAATATCTCTTAAATCTCAAAAGGCAGCTAAGTGGTATCAAAAGGCAGCTAAATAGTATCAAAAACACCTGCAAAGACCATCTGAAATCACTTAAAGTGTTGTAAAATATACAATGTATTAGATGAATGCAAGGTGACATTATTTTTTTTAAATAAATACCTTTTAAACAAAAATGTAATTAAATAAAGCTTATTTAAAGTAGTGTCTCAAGTTACAATGTTGTGGTATAGTAATTGAGACAGAACCTTAAAAATTGCTTCAGGACAGTTTTCTTTGTATAATAGCCACTTCCATTATTTTATGAGTAGCAACATATCTTTATAAGTAACAACCACTAATAATCTCAAAACATCATATTAGCTCATGCAATGCTCAGAATAAACTTTTTTTTTCATTTTTAAGAATATATTTTATTGATTATGCCATTACAGTTGTCCCATTTCCCCCTCTTTATTCCCCCCTCTACCCAGCACACCCCTCCTCCCCATCCCCCCCTTTACTTCATGTCCATGTGTCACAAGTTCTTTAGCGTCCACATTTCCCATATTATTCTTGCCCTCCCCCCCATAAGAATAAACTTTTACTAAAATTATGTATAATAAAAGATATAGGTTTTAATTCCTATTGCTTTGTTATCATTAATTTTGTTGGAAATGGGAAAGAAGAGTGAAATGGTTCAAAGTTCAGCAGTGGCAAGAAGAAGCAGCCAAAATGCAAGGTAATTTACAAACTGAGTAATTGATGGTATGACTGTAAGAAGAATGATGTACATCAGAAAATTTAAAGGGCTCATGCATTTTATAATGAAGGCGTGCTCTGCTCTTACCGATGCCCCTCTGGCTGTAGGCTCCCCGGAGAAGGCAGTGCTCCATTACCAGCGGGCCATCCGACTTAGCCCGAGTCACCACGTGGCCATGGTGAACCTGGGCAGACTCTATCGGTCCCTGGGCGACAGCGGCATGGCCGAAGAGTGGTACAAACGGTAAAGTCCCTTTCCCTCGCTTTGTGAGTTGCCCAAAGACCTCTGTAGTTGCCCATCTATTTTTATTTAAAATTTACCTGATTTTAAGTAGAGTTGACATATGATGTTAGTTCCAAGTGTGCGACGTAGTGACTCGACATTTATATACCTTATGATGGGATCGCCATGATCAGGCTGGTTACCATCTACCACTGCACTAAGTCATTACGATGTTATTCACTATGTCATCAACTTTTAGGGTGGAACAGACATACTCTCAGGATACTGGCGAGTTTTGCCAGCCCAGGCAATACAGATCCTCATCGCCAAAGCGAACAGTGCAACACTGCTAATGGTAGTGTCGAGTTTCCCAGATAATGACTTTCCGGCCTGCTGGTTAAAACATGCTGCTAAACCGAGGTTGGAATTTAACTCCCACTGTTTTCTGAAGCTACAGACAGCAATTCAAAGCATAAACAGCAGTTTCGAAAGTGGGTGTAAATGACCTACTGTGCATACAACAAAACAGGTCAATCACCATGAACGGAAAAGGTCGCTGGGGCTTCGTTTCCATTGTAGGTCATTAGAGATACTCTTAAGAGTCAAAGTATGGCACCATGATCTTTTTTTTTTTAAAGATTTTATTTATTTATTTCTAGAGGGGGGATAGTGGGGAAAGAAAGAGAGAGAAACATCAGTGTGTGGTTGCCTTGTGCACGCCCCCTACTGGAGAGCTGGCCTGCAACCCAGGCTTGTACCCTAGACTGGGAATTGAACCTGCAACCCTTTGGCTCACAAGGTGGCACTCAATCCACTGAACCACACCAGCCAGGACCAAACATTCTTTTTGATACAAAAAACAGAGGCCATACTGGAGCAAAGTCTCAAACCTAAACAGTCATCCCTAAATCTCAGTTTTGACCTTTGGAAATGTACCTATTAGAAGAAAAGTGTTAATGCACCTTTCTTAAACCTCAGCGCCCTGAAGGTGGCACGCAACGCTGAGATACTGTCTCCTTTGGGAGCTCTGTACTACAACACTGGCCGCTACGAAGAGGCGCTGCAGATTTACCGGGAAGCCGCGGCACTTCAGCCCTCTCACAAGGAGCTCCGCCTGGCCCTGGTGAGTGGGCGGGCCAAAGAGAATGAAGCTGGGAACATGTGCTGAGCAGGCAGCTGAAGGAGCTCTGGTCAGCAGGCCTCAGAACTGGAACTGGAAATGCTGTAACATATCCATCTTATGAATATTCATGTAACCAATGTTAGGGCCATTTACACAAGACATGGCCACCAAAAATACTTGTAAGATTTTGTTTTGAGATAATTTCAAACTTACAAACATTTGAAAGAATATTAAATAGCTCCCATATATTCTTTCATGCAGGTTGATCAGTTTTCAGCATTTGGATATATTCATTTAGCACCCTCTCATGTGAATGTGTGTATGGATATATATGCATATTAGGCATGTGTATGCATGTACACAGTGGTGCATATACATATTATTAATGTTATTTCTTCCTGAGCCCGGTGAGAATGATAGGTCTCATTCCTTTTATTTCTAAGTACTTCAACATATATAGTTCTTAAGAATAAGGGCATTCTGTAACATAACCACAATATAGATTTCAAATTCAGGAAAATTAATAACAACAATATTTTTACTTCAGTTTTGGATCAATACTTTTCCTTTTCCTTAGATTTGCCGTACATCAAATTTATCCTGTTACAAACACAGGAATTCATGTCTCTTCTGCCATAGTCAATACTGAGTCAATTTTTTAAAAAAGGCACAAGTCATTTCATTGGACATTTTTAACGTCCCTGCCATTCATGCAGAAAGGCATACACCTACCTAAATAAACAACAGAAACTGCAGCCACGTGCTGCGGTGCTTTCTCTCTCTCTGTGAGTCACAAAGAGGTGCTGAGCAGTTTTGTCTGGGTGTTTCCTAAGTGCCTCTTTTCAAGGATGCTTGATTTGATAAGGCGATGACTAAGTGTCTTCCAAACCAAGGTCAGTGTGGTTTTGCAGGCTCAAGTGTTGGCCATGATGGGTCAGACCAAGGAAGCTGAGAAGATGACCAATCACATCGTGTCAGAGGAGACCGGATGCCTTGAGTGCTATCGCCTGTTGTCAGCGATCTACAGCAAGCAGGAGGACCATGACAAGGTGGGGGACCCTGGAGTTGTTTGGATTCGTGGGTAGAAAGAGGGCGGCCCCTAAAATGACTCCAGGCTGCACAGGAACAAGGCTGAGCGATCTTGGATGTCACTGTCAGTTGGCATGTCCTGCTTATGGATGCTTTTCACGACAGCCCTTTAATTTCTAAGATACCCCTTGAAATAATAGGTGCTTGGCTCATGCTTGGTCTGAAGATTTTATGTGGTATTACCTCAGTTTGTTTTCAACTCACTCTGGAGAGATAAAGACTAACATCTATGTGCTCTATCCTTTTCCATGTTCTTTAAGCATGTTTTTATGGAATCCTTACAGCAACCCTGTGCGTCAGGTCATTGACCGCCATTTTAATAGTTACATATCCAGTAGATTCATGAACTAATCCAACAAAATATTTATTGAATGCCTACTCTATGACAAACCCTATAGCAGCCACCAGGAATAAAGTGGTGTGACAAAAAAATCATGGCCCTTGTCCTCAGGGAGTTTATAGTAGACAGGAGTTTACAGAGAGAGTGTGAACAAGTAATGACAAAGTCCGTGTAGAATTCCACAGTGCTCAGCGATGTCATGAAAAGTGACATAGTCCCTAACGAGGATGTAATCAGGGGACCTGAGTGGTCTGGGAGGTCAGGTTCCCTGCAGAGTGATGTGAAGCTGAGGGCAAAGTGATAAATAAGGATTATTAGGCAAAAGGGGGACAGTGAAGAGCATTCTCGGTAAGAAAAGCACATGCAAAGGCCCTGCGGTGACAAGAAGCCTGTCCCAGCGAGCGGCATGAGGGAGCAGGGTGCAGTGTGACATGCGGCTGCAGACATTTGGAGGACTAGACAGCAAGGCTTGGAACCAGGACAAAAGTTCTGTTCCCTGTTTGGGGAGAACCTTGGGGTTTTAAAGAGAAGAGCAACACCGTGAGGTGTGTTGCACCTGCAGGGCACAGGGGCTGGAGCTGTGGGTGCAGGGGGCAGAGTGAACATCGGCACCTGTGCAGGGGCTGCGGGAGTGCTGCAGAGGACATGCAGTCGGGCAGAGCAGCCAGTGCCGGATTTTGTTTTCTTTGAACCGGATCACATGACCCCCCTGTAAAGTGGCTGAGGGACATTTCCTTGTCATTAATACAAATGGGAAACCTGGAGTACAGGAAAATTACTTTGTCAGAGCTACATTTTCTTAATGAGAACATCAGAGACAATGAAGAATTGATTGTCACTACACTAGCTAGTTCATAAGAACAAAAAGTATACATTTTATCATTTGAATTAGTTTTTCTTTATCTAATCTGCATTTATTTCATCTTCATTTCCAACTTATGCAGGCACTTGATGCTATAGACAAGGCTCTCCAGCTGAAACCAAAGGACCCAAAAGTCGTTTCTGAACTTTTTTTCACAAAAGGAAATCAACTAAGAGAGCAGAACCTTCTGGACAAAGCCTTTGAGGTACAAACACTTAATAAAATTATATGAAATTCATGAATTAAAATTAATTCTCCCTCAATTTTTAATGAAGCATCTACAGTAGATTCTAAGATCATTGGCATGTTTGTGAGTTTTCTGATGAATCAACACAAGTTTGTTTTTTATAATTGAGCTTCTGGTTTTTGACTGCTCAGCATCCTGCCATACCTCTTCATTATTTTCTGAATTGCCACCTTTAAGTTACATTTGAGGCATTTTATATTTTGCCTCCAAACTGGCTTCTCTCTCTCCCCCAACCTCTCTTGCTCTTCTTTTCTATTTGTCTTCCGTAACTATCTCTTCCAGCTGGACCAGTGCTTGAACAGCTTTGGGCGTTTCCATGTCTCACACCCTCTCCTGCCCTCAAGGACGCCCACTCACCCACCAAGGCACAGCCTGTGTCCTCCTCCCTCTGGAAGCCCTCTGGACCGTCCTTTCTCCCCGTGACCTCAGTTCCTCAGAACTCTTAAAACATGGACTGTCTTTACCAGCCACTCGAAAGTGTCCTGTAATACACTGTACTGTCAAGAGCTCTCTTGCTCCTGCCCCTGCTCCTGTGTGTACAATACACATGCATTTTAGCTCCCTGATTAGACTGGACTTTTCCTTGTGCAGAGGGCCTGCTTTCTTCTGTCGTTAAAGTATAATATGTCCTATCTTATCAGTGTCCGATATGTTCAGCTTTGGAAGCTAGTTGATGCACAATTTGAAATCAGAAAGACATTTACAAGTATAATTGGAAATGTTATAGATGTCATACATTTTCCTTGTACTTGGTAAAGCCACAAGTTGGGATTAATGCAGTAAAAATATATATACTAGCCCTGGCTGGTGTGGCTCAGTGGATTGAGCACGGGTCTGCAAACCAAATGATCCAGTTCGATTCCCCGTCAGGGCACGTGCCTGGGTTGCAGGCCAGTTCCCAGCAGGGGACCCAGGAGAGGCAAATATACATTGATATTTCTCTCCTTCTGTCCTTCTCTCCTTCCCTTCCCCTCTAAAGATAAATAAATAAAATATTTTTTAAAAAAAGAAAAAATATATATACTAAATATATCATGGGAAAGGAAACTTTCAAATCCTGCAACTGTTTTTAAAAATAGACAGTGAGCGGCTTTTAAAATGTTATTGTAAAACATATTTGAAGATAACTGGAAAAACTAATTTGAATGTGAACCCTTCAAACAGAAACGGTAGCATATTTGAGGCAGAAACTGTGCATTTTTCTCTGCTTTGTGTACATTTTTTTTAATATTTTATTTATTTATCTTTAGAGGGGAAGGGAAGGAGAGAGGGAGAGAAACATCAATGTATGGTTGCTTTTCGTGCGTCCCCTGCTGGGAACTGGCCTGCAGGGAACTGGTGTGCAACCCAGGCATGTGCCCTGACTGGGAATCGAACCGCGATTGTCTGGTTCTCAGGCCCGTGCTCAATCCACTGAGCTACACCAGCCTGGGCCTTTGTGTACATTTTTTGATTCTCAAGTTATTTACAACTAAAATAAGTTTAATGACTAATTAGTGATAATTATGAATATTTATATGGAGTCTCCATCTGTATTTATATAATGTACAGAAAACAAAAGTATTTTCTAGTTGCTGGGCCAGTGGATCAAATAATCATCGTAGAAGAGATGCATTCCTGAAGAGGAGGAGGAAAGCCGTTACCTAGGAATAATAGCTAAATGTGTCCGCACTTTTATGGGTGACTCACACGTATTACATACTTTAGTCTTCACCACAGTCATATAGAAAGTCATGGTCACTGTCACCGTTTACAGTTGAAAACATTGAGAATCAGAGGTCATGTAACTTGCTCAAGGTCACACCGAGGAAATGAACTAGAGCCAGGAGCTGAATCTACAGCCTATCTCAGCTGATAGAGGTTAAGACATACTGTTTAAGTTTATTTTAACAGCTTTTTAAGAGCAGATAGTTTCTTAATATTTGCTCTTCTAAAACTAAAGCAGGGGAGGGATGGACAAATTCTCATTACTTAAGGATCTGATCAATCGGCTTCTTGCTAATGAAAATAGCAAGGAGCATTAAACTATAGACATACATACTCAGCTTTGTAGTTGAACACTTTTTTAAAGATTTTATTTGTGTATTTTTAGAGAGAGGAGGAAGGAGAGAGAAAGAGAGAGAGGGAAGCATTAATTGGCTGCCTCTGGCACACCCCCAACTGGAGACCTGTTGTGTGACCCAGGCGTGGGCCCTGACTGGGAATCAAACCGGCACCCTCCCAGTCTGCAGGCCAGCCGGCTGGCGCTCAGTCCACTGAGCCACACCAGCCAGGACGTAACTGAACACTTTGTAAAGGCAGCACTCACAGCCTGTAGTTTTATTTAAGGTGACCACTCTTAAAATCAAGACTCTGTGCTAAGCATGCCTTAGGTGCAAAACAACATGCAAAATATTAAAAATATTTCACAAATATTACAGCTAATTGGAAAAATGTTATTCAGACAAAAAAAGGTATTTGAGGGTTAAGTAATTGTCTTCAAACATTGAAGACATTTCATATGGAAGAAAGAGAAAAGAAAGGCTTTCTAATGATTAAAACTATGTCCTAGTGAAACAGATGTTCTTAGAGAAGCAATGAGCACCCTGTGCCTCCACAAGAATTTCAGCACAGGCCAAAGAACCAGGCCGGTGACATTGTGAAAGGGGTTATTACAGTAAGGTTAATCTGTTTAAGAAACGACTCTAAGGTCCTATAATTATAAAAACATTTTTCTTACAAACTCCATTTATAGTGAAAAAGGCCCAAAAGCACCATTTTCTTGCAGGTCAAGGCCAGCGGGAAATGATTCACTGTACTAGAAATCCCCTGGATTTCCTGCATGCGTCTTCAGTCTCAAGTCTGAACATGAGTTCTGCAGGGAAATTACTCATTTCAGTTTCCTCTACTTGAGAATCATCAATGTTAAAAAATGATAAAGGGGGCCCCTGTCAGCTAGAAGTGGCTGTTCATTTTCTTAACCATTTAAATGTTCACCTATGAAGCAAGTGGTCTCTATACGTTCTCTGGAGTGTTGAAGGTGGGTTCTCATTTCTCAACCTGAAGATATTTTTTCTATGTTTAGAGCTACAGAGCTGCCGTGGGACTAAATCCGGACCAAGCCCAGGCCTGGATGAACATGGGGGGCATCCAGCACATCAAGGTGGGGCAATAACTCACTCTCCTGGGAACGGGGTTTGCCGTTCATCTTTTCTCTGTCTTCTCTCTTGAAATGCTGAGAAACTATCACTAATTTACTCTTTGAATTATTTGAATACCCAAAACATAATTGTTTAAAGGTAAAATTAGCACAGTTTGTGTTCACTTTGTATTATCTAGATATCCAATATCATGAAGCCATTTAAAAAATAAATCTATATAAATTAGATCCTGTGATTTTATCACAAAGAAAATCATATGAACCCTTATTTTCAATTGAGTGATACTTCTCTTTGAATCAGTATCTGGAAGTTAAAGAATCTATCGAACATTATTTTAAAATGTAGCAAAACACCCTGATAAAAATTAATATATCCTTTTGCATCTTTGATAACATCATGTCTCAGGTTAAACAATGTAAAATTGCCATGTTTGTAGTTTAAAAACAGTCTGATATCCGTTAATCGTGGGATGCAATCCATTGCAAATATAGGTACCAGGCACATGACTTGGATGTGGTTGTTTTTACATTTTTTTAAATGTGAGTAGAGTTTGCATTCAACATTACCTTAGTTTCAGCTATACAGTATAGAGATGTGACATTTATATACCTTACCGTGTGATCACCGCACAAAGTCTAGTAACCGTCTGTCACTAGGGAAAGTTATCACAAATATTACTGATGAAACTTCCCTTGGACGTGGTCATTTTGATGCCACCACTGAAATGCAGGCTTATCATCACGAGGCCTTCGAGAACAGCCATTAGCTTCCTGTGTCCTGCATTTCCAGGTGGCGTGTGCGTGCCTCAGGCAGCGCCACCCGGTGCCTGAGCCTCGCTCCCTTCCCGAGCCTGGGTGACTTGTGGGAAGGCCTGAGGGCTGTGGTAAGGGTGGGAGTGGAATGAGGCTTTGCGAGCAGATGACACCAAGAGACGGGGAGGGGAGCTGTCTCTTGCTCATACTACTTGGCAATAAAATATGATATTTTTATGAAGTCTTATGGATGAATGGATAGACAAAAAAGCTACAATACGTTCTTTTTTTCAATCAGTTTATTTTTTATTATATTTTTGTGTTACCATTTCTCCCCTTTGTACTTTCCTCCACCTCCACCCACACTCCCCCACCCCACCTCACGATCACCACACCGTTGTTCGTGTCCATGAGTTTTTTCTCTTTTTCGCTCAATCCCTCCGACCCCCACCACAGCCCCACCCGGAGCTGTCAGCCTGCTCTGTCTAGGTCAGTTCAGTTCGTTCATTAGATTCCACATGAGTGAAATCATATGGTATTTGTTTTTCTCTGACTGGCTTATTTTACATAACATAGTGTTATCTGGGTCCACCCATGCTGTCACAAAGGGTAAAAATTTTTCCCTTTTTACACATTCCATTGTGTAAGTGTAGCACAGCTGTTTTACCCGCTCATCGACTGATGGACATTTGGGAATTTGGGAATAAACAGGTTAGATGATACAATACGTTCTTTATAACCATAGTCGCATCCACTGGGCCATATCATAAAGTACTATTTTCAGTACTGCCTTATGAGATTAATGCCTTTTCTAGAACAACACTATACAATAGAACTTTCTGCAATGATGGAAATGTTCTATATCCAAGGCAGCAGCCAGCCACTAGACGTGGCTGTCAAGTATTTGAAATGTCGTTGGTGCAAATGAGCAACTGAATTCTTATTTAGTAATAAATGAAATTGCCACATGTGACTAGTGGCTATCATAGTAAATAACACATTTCTAAAAACTGGATGATTTTCCTAAGCTGGTGTAGTTCAGTAGATTGAGCACGGGCCTGTGCAGCAAAAGGTCACCGGTTCGATTTCCAGTCAGGGCACATGCCTGGGTTGTGGACCAGGTCCCCAGTGGGGGGGACACATGAGAGGCAACCACACACTGATGTTTCTCTCTCCCTTTCTTTCTCCCTCCCTTCCTGTATCTCTAAAAATAAATAAATAAAATCTTTAAAAAATAAAAATTGGATAATTCACATTCCCTACCTGGCATCTAGGAATTGGGTACATTGAATTAAGGGATATAACTTGTTTCTTAAAATAAGGCTTCCATTTTGATCAGGAAAAGAGTAATTTGAGGGAGAGAAAGTAACTCTGTGTCTAGGTTGTGTCTGAAAAGACAGAGAAAGCTGATGATCAGCGAAGGAGATGCCAAGGCATCAGGCTGAGGCCCTAATTCAGAGGAACCTCTTGGAAGACAAGTTCAAAGTCAACTGTAGTAGAAACATATTTTGAGGCCATTTTAAAGCCACATATATTCTGTTGTTTGCATGTGTGTGCTAAGCTTAATAAACATCAGAAGATACTTAGAAGATAAATGCTTGAATTAAAAAAAAATTTAATGTCGCAAAGCCAAGTTCTCATTTGTCCAGAATTCTGTTTAGCCTCTTATCAGACCCAGTGTTAATAATCAGAAATATCTTCATTTGTGCACATGCCAGATCGTGAATTCCCACAATCCTGTTTGGTCATTTATCCTCTCCTTTTCACCAATGTAGCGAGCGAATGCTAAAAGAAATATAGTGTTTACATAGAGCCTGGATAGTTATTTAGTAATAACAATAATGATAGTATCCGACTGGGTGCTCTCTAGGTGTTGGGCAGTGTCTAATTTCTTGACACATATTAAATCATTTGGAAGACAGCTAAGCATTCAACAAATATTAGTTGCATTGCTACATAGTACTTTTGCTCGGAGAGAATACTGTTTTAAATTGTGATGGGAATTCAGCGAGTAACTGGTTTTTACCTACGTGGAACTATAACTGAATCAAGTAGAGCAAATTTATAGTTTTTGGAGTGGAGAGATTTCTAACAGTCTTAGACTGAGACTTGGCAGTACCCATTTAGGACCGGGAAAGGGGCTGGAGAAAGTTAATAATTGAGACTAATTTGCCAGGGACCACCTGGAATCAGGTGCACGTGGCTGCTGTCAGGGAGGCATTGAGCAAACCAGGTCGGGCCAACGGAGGGTAGAGACTGGTGTTTTTGCAGGTCGAGACTAACATTCCTGCTCTCCTGATTTAAAAGGATCCAGCAGGTACATATGGTCACACACCTGGAGTATTGGCTAAATGTGATTCCATAGTCTTATCAGTTCTTTTCATTTCATAAAAATTTATATTTGCTTTAAAGGCTGTACTAGGCAAAAGTTGCAGTTTTGGTTTTAATTTGAAGATTAAAATAACTCTTACCACTAGGGAGTTATTGTGGACTCCTAAGCTATTTATTTTTGTATTATTATTATTGTTGAAGTTTCAAAAGCATTGCCCCACACATACTTCTTTCTCTCTTTCTCTTTCTCTCGCTCTCTCTCCACCCCCTCCCTTCAATTTATCGTGACATGCACGGCTCCATTTCATCACAAACAATAGTGCTAACCCTACGAAATGATAGGCTCCTACCTTGCGTTAAGTAGAATTAAAAATCTGTTTTCCGCCATTTAACCTTATGTCATAACTTCTATCCTTCACATTCTCCAGCTGGACTGGTACTTAAAACAAACGGGTTCTCTAAAAGCACCAGCACATAAGGGTAAAATTACCATGCAGGCAGACAGGTTGGTTTCCTTACTGGGGACATGAAGGTTAAACAGGGCGAAATGCTGTTTCCTACTCTCTCCGTTCTCTGACAGAGCATTCAGGTGGGTCAGATTATTCTCTTTTTCTCGACAGGGAAACTATGTGTCCGCAAGAAGTTATTATGAGAGAGCCTTACAGCTGGTTCCGGACAGCAAACTGCTGCAGGAGAATCTCGCCAAACTGGATCGCCTAGAAAAACGATTGCAAGAAGTTCGAGAAAAAGATCAAACGTAGCGGCTGTTGACCGACTCTCCAGGGACAGTTGCTCGCACCTCTGGAGGAGGAAGCGGTGATAGAGGCCTTGCTGCTGCATCAGCAAGGGGACACCCAAGGAGGCTTTCCTCTGGCTCCCAGGCCAGGAGCCACGTTTGGAGATGCTTGCTGATAGCCCTGTGCTGCACTCCCATGAAAAAAAGACAAAAAGAGCAATCAAGGGCAAGGAGGTCTGCAAGGAAAGGAATACAACAACTACACATTTTACAGATTTATTTTTGCTTTAACTCCAGATTTCCCTCCAGATAGTTCTCTGTGGTTACAACCTAGTCATCTGGTTCTTTTTCCAGTTTAAACTTTTATGAAGTTTAAACCAGAAATACAGAAATTGGAAATGCTATGAAGGCAGAGCATTGCTTCTTCATGGAATAATTCAAAGAGGACAAATCCTCTAAGATAAGCCATTTGGGAAATTCCATCAAGAGGTAGCTCATTCAGTTCTCCAGAACCAGAAAGGAGTATTGAATACTTTCTGTAGAACCTTCTGGAATTTGTGGGAAAAGGGGCTGTTGTTAAGGGAGCTGGATCCGATATTCCCCTAAGCATATCCCTAGAGCCCTACTGAGTAGTAAACAAAATTCCACTCTGATGCAAACTTTCCCATTGCCTAACACATCAGACAGGAAGCTTCTGGAATTATGTATGGCTATTCTTCCCCAGGGGAATGTCAAGGATCTTGGTACCCCTAATTCTTTATGGAAAACCTAAAATTATTTTAATTTTTATTACAAGTATCACTAGAGTAGTGATTCTGCTCTATAATTTCAGAAGTGCTTTTAAAATCATAAATATTTCCACCTCTACATATATTGTTATTTTGGTGGAGAAAAACATAGTATATTCTACATGAAAATTATTAAAGATATTAACTGGGAGAAATGTTCTACTTTATTATCTTAACCTTTAGACATCACGAGATTTATTATTTTTGACAAGTATATTGAACCATTTTGGAATCTTTACAGTATAACACAGAAATCTTCATAGACTTTAAATGGAAAGAGAGCTTTATTGATTTGTCTTCCTAGGCCTAATGAGAATTCTGTGCTTAGAACATGAGTAATGTGAACCCAAAATTCATTATTAATTAATTATTCTTCATCAAATTAATTATTATTAATTGGTAATTTTGGAGAATTCATGGAAAATGCTCAAAAAATCTAGAAAAATCTAAATTCACAACTTAAAAATATATATTTATATTTAAAAATAAGGAAGGCAAAGTTGAACTTACGAATTGACAGTTGTTTTTTAGTGTTATTTATTTTATAACTTATAAAATATTTAATATATACACACAGTTTTTTCTTTGTACATAGTGGTTTTAATAGTGGCTTTTTAAAACTTAGCATACAAAAATTATAAATGTAAATTGCAAAGTAGTTAAGTTTTCACAGCACTTCAGAAAAGTTGTATTAACTGTTCAAATTGCTAAAGTCAAAGAAATTAGGGCTCAGCCTACAGTGCTTGGGTAGCGGTATATTTTGGTGTGTATTTTGAAATTGGAACGCTTGGTTTTGTTTTGAAAAATTAAAAAGTCAAAAAACTCTGGGCGGTGCTCTTCATGGCACCAAGCCTCGTTCCACAGAGATACAGGAGTCGGAAGGCACACGCACTTCCCATGTTTAGGCTAAGATATGGTTAAAAAACAACGACAACCTTCTTAGCTTCTTTTTGAACCAGTTCAGGAAGCAGTGACCCTGTACTTTGGGGATGGGGAGAAGGGCTAAGGTAAATCCAGATAAAAGGAAGGTAAACTTCTTTAGAAAGAGATAATGTAGAAAGAGATGATATAAGGAATATTTTAAATGCGAAGAGTTACAGAAATGACATTAGCATATATCTACGTGTGCATCAGTAATCCAATAGCACTTATATTACCACTATGATCTTCCATTTCTAATACTCTTCTAAAGTTGTGTATCATAAACTTAACCAAAATTTTATTTGAGATATTTTTCTTCCCCCCTCAAATGTATTGCTATAGTCCTATGGCCAAGAAAGGTACTACAGTATATTTGAATAATATGCCGTTATTATGCCCACCCCCAAAATGAAAAATGTGAAGCTCTAGCTAAAACCAGTATCTAAGACTTTAATCACAACTGTTTAGAATGATCAGTAACCAAAACTCACACTTACAAGGCTGGTGGAATGACTGAGCCCCAAATTTTGAAAAGCAGTTATGCCTTACTCTAAGTGCTGCGAAAGCTTTGGGAGTGCATTTGTCGGATTCGCTGAAACAGCAGTGGCTTCTCAAACATCTCTGGGAGAAAGGGTCACGTGGCCTTCTGGAGCCGTTGCCCACCTTCTTTCGGGTGCTTTTCTCCCGGCCCCCAACCCCATGTCTGTTTCTCTCTCGCCCCTCCCTTCCTCCACACCCACTTTCTATCCCCCTCTCCTTTTCTCATTCTGTCTGCACACATTGGCATCTCTTCGAACATTAAAATTTAGCCCTATTGGCATCAGATATTTTTGTCCTCAGTTACTACTGTCACCGAGATGTGGCCAAGAAAATAATTTTTATAGTTGAAATGGTGCCTATAAGAAAATAAATCACATATTATTTTTTCAAAGATATTAAGTATATTTTGTAACTATTTTTATTTAGTCCTTGTCACATGAAATAGTATGTGGAACCCACGTTTATCAAAATTCAAGCTGAGCGCCCGGCGAGTGGTGGAGCTACACCCAGGTTACCCTCCAGCCCGCGCCACTGGCTGGGGTGCCACAGCGCCTCTCTGTGGTGCAACTGCCGAGGCAGCTTGACAGCCCTGCCGTCCACACTTTCCCCCATAGTCGTGTGCTCAGCAGCACTTTATGCTTGGTTGCATGCCCTCCTTGAAATTCCGAACATTTTAAACAGTCCTGCAGTTTCATTTTGTGATGGGTCCTTAAATACATAGCAGGTGCTGGGCAGGAGGTAAGGTGGCGGAGGACAAGAGGAGAGCTGCTTTAATCCGGCGGAGCACTGGATCCAATGATCGGAGTTTCAGTTGTGATTCTGTTACTCAGAATCGTTTGCTCTTTTTTCTCATCTGCATTAGAGTTCCTTGTGTACACATCTCCACCCTCCTACTGCCGATCTATCTGACCTGTCCTTTGGTCCTGCCTAGAATCAGTTCTCTTTACCTTCAAAATCCCATTAAGTGGCAGTCCCCTAACATGTCCTTTGACATGGGGACCTAGAGTGGCTTTACAATCTCCTTTCAACCTTAAGAATTATTCAAGAGTTTAAAACGTGATTCAGATGTTCTCAACTTATTAATGGCATTTATAAGATGTGGTTCAGTGATATAACACGGGTGAACTAAACCAAAGATTTAAATAACTTGGAGGAAGAAAAAATTTATTTTAGAAAACCCTGATTCTGACACAGCTGGGCTGGAGGACCAGTGGCTGACAACTTCCGTGGGAGTTTTTAACTTTTGCAAAATAGATGTTTATAATCTCTCACAGATGAGATGATTTCACAACTTTTACTTTTAAATTAAACTAAAATAAGCCAAAGAATTCTAAAGAAGGATTGATTGTTTGGCACAGTTGGTTGGTTAAGGCCATCATTCCGAGACTGACAGAACAGATGCGCTGGGAGGAGTGGTTTTGCATTTGTGGCAATTGGGCTATAATTTGACCTGTATGTACAGAATTCTCAATTTTCAGATGGACGGGATCTTCCTTGTCATTTACATGTACCCAGACAAGGTACCCAGTATGTAAAACTCATATTTTTTATGACTCAAGGTGTCCATAGCATAGTTTATGCCTAGACCTATATCTCTCTGTCTTTAGGTTAGTTATGCACATGTCAGCTTTTGGGAATCATTTTCTACTTATTAGTTTAAAAAATTGTGCTCTGATTTGTGATGAATTTGCATCTTAGATTAGTAAATCTACAGGATATTAGTAACAACATTCAAAAGTAATGTAGTTATAGGTGATTTATTTTTTTCTGATTTCCATGATCACATTTACTTTGATTAAGCTAGATATTTCCCAATAATAGGAAAATTTATTGAAATAGCATCTTTTCTCATTTAAAGAAAGCAAATACCTTTCAAGTCTTGCATTTAGGCAGCAACTGAATAAGATAAAAGCTTACAATGCCCAGAAATACATAGGTATATATTATAACTTTTTTTATTATCCTTGAAGATTTTTATGTAAAAGAACAATATGTTAAACAATTCTTCCAAAAAATAGCACTTTTTAAAATTATTTCTTATGTAACCATGTGGATTAAGGAAAAGAAATAAAATAACTGCAAAGGTACAGTTTAATATCAGCCAATAAAATGGCATAACAGAAGTGATGCTATTCATATCTACCCATTGACTGGCATAAAAACGTCCCATTATTATCACCAAGGATCCTTGCAATGAAAACCTTTAGGGTACGTAACTCATAAAATTAGCACCTATCACAATGTACAATCATTGTTCATTTATAAGTTTCCATCACCGTTTACCCTAAACTGGAAAGAGATGTCTATATCCAGAAGTCCAGAAGTGTATTCCCATTCTTGGTGGTGCACCTGTGAATCTGTGCATCACGTTTGGAAGTTTCCAGTGTGCGTGATGCCCCTGGGGTTGTCTGGCCGGTCCATCAGGAGACGCACCAGTTCAGGAATCGGGAGGCCTGGGTTCTTAGTCCTTCCTCTGTCCCCAAGGAGCCATCTCACCCTGGGCACATTACCAAACATCTCAGTCCTGTTGATCATGCACCAAAGCACGGGTTAGTCCTGTGGAACTAGCAAGCTTTATGTATCTCCTGATCCAGATTCAAAGCCCTCTACATCTGAAGACAAAACTGGTAAGCGTTGCCCTTTGTTTTAGGAACTCTTAAGAAAATCACCACAACAGAACAAATACACAAATAGCCTTCAGGGTCAGTGACTGAACTGCCCACGTGCTTTAACATAGCGGAGGGAACCAGTCTTATTTTTGCAGCCTGTACACATAAAAAATTAGTGATTTTTGTTATGTTTCTAGGGAAAAAAGATATTTAAAATTTTCCTCCTAAGGATTAAAATATCTGTAGAAGCCATGGCTTTTATAATGTGGATATCATCTGACTTGCTGTAACTCATACCAATCCTTTTTTTTTTAGGGGGAAATGACTTGCATCATGTTCTTTGTTCATAATGCTTTTATTTCTTACTTTGATCAGTTGTATATAAATGTACATTTTTGTTACTTTTGCTGTGCCAGTTAGAAATATATCTTCCACAAAGTATTTCTCCCATATAAGTCTGATGTACACTTTGCCTACATCTCCTCAAAATAAAATTTATGTAAATGTCTATTTTATATAAAATATAATGAAAATAACTGTCTTGTTTCGGCCTCTAAAGTGCTCTATGATTAGTGCCCATTGAAATCCATGTCACCAGTTGGTGTCTACTTTGAAGAGGAAAAAAGACCATCTACCTTCTTCCCGCATTCATTCATTCATTCATTCATTCATTGCCTTGCATTGTTCTGTGTGTTTTGAGTGTTTTCTCTACCCCACAGTGACTGTTCAGTACTTACCCACTCCAGGGCTCCTCCCCTCATCTTGCTGAGTATGTGTCTTCGCAGAGTGAACACAAGGTAGAAAAAACTACTCCCTTAATATTCTGCCCTGGATCTGAAAACTTACCGGCACCCGATTCTTCCTTCTCTCTTATTGCTACAATTGAAGAAGAGGATCCTATTTTGCCTCTTGTAGAACTTCATTCTATTCTAGACCTATTTTTCATCTTTAACTTATTCCTTTTGCTGGTTCTTGTTCATGCTCTTCTATTCTAAAACCCATATACAGGTAACCACCATCAAAATCATTTTTTAAAAAACTTCCTTTTTTTTAATCTCCAGCTGCTACCTCATCTCTGTCATTCACAGCCAAACTATTGGAATGAATTTTTTTCATCCATCCTTCAAATTCCCTTGGCATCATGTGATATCTGTTCCTGCAACAAATATTCAAATAAAAGTGCTATTTTTAATGTCACCAATAATCCCTTTAGTGCTGAATTTCAGGCCTTATGGGACTTTGGAGAGTTTAGACCAGTGGCTTAGCTTGGGTGTAAAAACATTTTTTTAAACATAAAACATCATTTGGCCCTAATTTGATCATTGCTTGTGAGTTAGTCACCTAATACTCCTACTTTTACAACTCTCCTCTGAGTTGGGGCTTCATCAAGAGTCTTGGGGGGCCTCCAAGAGCATATCATTCTCCTCCTGCCTTAAAGAAGATACGTCCTAATTAAAGGTAAATTTCCCGTATGTCACAAGTCCGAGCTAGGATAGTCCAGTCCAGTCTGCTCTTCCTTGATGTCCTTCCTTTTCAAATGTTTATTTTTTAAATAAGAGAATACTTCTATTTGAACACTTCAACATCTCCGTAAAGTTATAAACTCAAACTATTATCTTACAAATTTAAATCTAATGACCTGACTCTTGCATATTTTGCAATGTATAAACTAAATGGCTCTTTTCCTGCTTAATGGAAAGGCATTATTTTGTTAGGCCTGTAGGAGAGCAATCCTTTATATAGAAGAATAATGTCTCACTTGAGGTTGTGAGTTCTGAACTCTGGGAACAGGGCTGTGCTGTAGCCGAAAATGAGCTATTGTCCAACCGCATGGAGATGTCTGGGTGTGAAACAAACCACTGATGACCTTGCAAAGCTTTGTACACCACATGCAGTAGAGTGCACAGGCACGGGTCTGTGAGCCTTATGAGAAGTTTGGCCATGAACTTCAACACTGTGAGTTGCACTGTCCTGCCTAAGCATATGTTTATTTTTTCTTCTTCCATTTTATTTTGTAAAACCTGTGTAGTAGTTTTAATTTGACTCCCTTTTGCTGAGAAAGAGTAGAGCTGGGTCCATTTGAAGAGTCTGAGTTTTTTACTGGAGAGCAGCGTGTCCCCCAGGGCTAGGGAGGGCTATGGCAATCTTTGTGAGAAAACTTCAGGGAAAGTAAAACTCAGGGATGAGGATGGTGCGGCCACTGGTCAGGCTGCCGCCACATCTGAAGATTTCCTGGCCAGTGATCAAGCCTGGAGCTACAGTGGTTAATTTTCACAGAAGAGCTGCTTACCTCATCCAGCCCCATCCAAGGGTCACCTAGACACCAAATTTGGGTGCGAATCACATTCTCCAAGCTTCTTACCCTAAGGCACCCATTCACCTTCTACTCTTTTCTGCAGTTACAGTGGTCATTGACCCAGCTAACTGTCACCTGCCTAGTCCTGTACCTGCATTCCCTCCACCTTGATTGTCTTCTGTTTTTCTATTCATCTGTCCACCACCTGCCTACCTGCCTGGGTTTGTTTACCATCCTACCTCAAGGAGTTTTCATTGCCATCTCACACAAACTGAGACCACTGGGACTGGGGATTGGTGTCTAAGTTAGTTGATGTGTATACAATGTCCACTTAGCCTTGCCCTATTTTTTTTGATAAAATATAAATCCAATACACATTCTGGCTTTATTCTTCTCCCAACATCAAGCTAATTTAGTACAAAATAATATTTATTTAAAAAGTGCTGACATGATCATTTTAGCAATGAATTTATTTTAATAGTCTCAAATGATGCATCATACAGCTTCGCAGCTCTGCGCTAACGCTAATAACACTGTCGTCCAGAAAAGCAGTGGCAGCGTGAATCTGACTTTCCTGTCCACTCTATTTGGAAACTCCTTTGGGTGTCACAGCCTTCAACAAGCTACTTAGGTGCAGGAGCGGTGCCATTAAGTACTCATTAAACTTTCCTGAGTCTCCTTCCTCTCAGAAGCTGGCACTGGCCTGTGTCTTATATGGATGCCAAGCTCCCTTGACCCTCCACTTGGGGCATGCTGTCCGGTGTGGGAAAGAATTCACCTGTGCAGAACCTTCTAGGTTACTGATCTCCTTCACCCTGCATCTGTCTGTAGGGACCTCTGTACATGTTCGAGCATTACACCAGCCATGGGGACACCTTACAACTTTCTCCTTTGGCCAATGGCTGAGACTTAGAAAACCTGGGGTGACTGGAGACCAGCCCAGGACAATCCCAAGGAGATGCTGTGAGGGCTGACTGTGGGGCAGGTGCAGTCCATCCACCCCGCTGAGGGCAGCAGTGGAGAGCCCTGCAGGCGGGCTGGTGTGCTCGTTCAGGACAGCCAGGGCCTGCGGTGCTGGAACCACTTTCCTCACTTAGGTTTCTCAGCCCAAGAGGGAGGAAGATGGATGAAGTCATTATGGGAGACTCAATACAAGCACTGGCCTTGCTTGGGCTGCTGCTGTTTCTCACCATGGGCCTCCCCTCAAGCCCAGGTGAGCCCGGCCCTGGGCACCCAGGATGCAGAAGCAGGGGCATGAGACTGCACATTCCTCAGGCTGGAAGAAGCAAGGATGAAGGGGACAGTGTGGGCCCAGGTGTTCCCAAAGACACGCCTGGGCTGGAGTTTCTTACCGAAATTCTTGGATTCTGGAGTCCAACTTTGTAGGCATGTGTGCTAAGTAGCCTGCTCCAGAGAAAAATAACCTAGTCGAAGTAGCTTATAGTCAAATATCTGTCTTCTGGGGTAGCATATGTTGTTCTCCACTATCTTTACTAGAACCTAAATTATGTCCTGCTCACCCTCCAGTCAGGAGGGTAAGGCCCCCAGTCAGTCTCTGCAGAAAGAGCCTGCGCATCCTGCCCCCAGGCGTTTTCTTGTTGGGGCAGCCGGGGGTGAGGCAAGTTCTAGTCAACACAACGTGACTGAGGGGTAGTCTCAGGGACATTTTGAGAAAAGGAAGGGGACAGCCTGCAGCCGAGTGATGCCAGGAAACCCTGAACGTACAATCTGGATAAGGTGAACCCTTAAACAAGGTGCTCTGTGTGTGTGCACACGTATGCTCCCCCACACAGGACGGGAGTGTGGAATCAGAGCAGTTGACTCGAAAAGTACAGAGACTGTCTTGGAATCTGATCTCTTCTCTAGAATTATTAGTTGGAGAAATCCAGCAGCTGGTGGACATCCACGACAGGTCAGTATAACAAAAATATTGATTTCTTAATCAGAAAGTGGTAAAATAATTCCTTTTGTTTCAAATATCATAACTGTAAGTTAACATGTCATTTTTGTCTTGACACATTTGACCTCTCTGTCAAAACATTTACTTGTTAGGTAGTATCTTAGTAACCAACTTAAAACTGTATCTAAGAATATTACAACCTATTAAAAAAGTTGACTTCCAATATTTCTGAAGGAGTCAGCATCCATGGGGATATGTAATGTTAGTTGTATTCTAACTTTTATCTCAGGCAGGTCTCCCTAAAATCAGGTGAGCACCATTTCTGGGGAGGAAGCTTGATTCAGGGTGACGTGGTGGCTACAGCGGCACACTGCCTGGCTAGCCTGGATGAGTAAGTTGTGGCTTTTCATCACTTGTCAAACTTAGATTCATTGTGATAGAACTTGGAGATTTGATGATCTAAATACCTTCCAAGGTTAAACCTCAATCCCTTTCTTTTTTTTTAATTTTTTTTTAAATTTATTATTTTTATTGATTATGCCATTACAGTTGTTCTATTCCCCCCTTCATTCCCCTCCACCCTACCCCCCGTCCCCACCATTACCCCCCCTTTAGTTTATGACCATGTGTCTCAAGTTCTTTAGATTCTATATTTCCCATACTATTCTTGCCCCCCCATCTATTTTCTATCTACTGTCTATGCTACTTATTTTCTGTACCTTCTCCCCCCTTCTCCTCCTCCCACTCCCCTGTCGCTAACCCTCCTTGAGATCTTCATTTCTATGTTTCCACTCCTGATCTAGCTGTCCTTTTAGTTTGCTTTTGTTTTAGGTGTGGTTGTTAATAACTGTGAGTTTGCTGTCCTTTCACTGTTCATCTTTTTTTTAACTTCTTTTTCTTAGGTAAGTCCCTTTAACATTTCATATAATAAGAGCTTGGTGATGATGAACTCCTTGAACTTGATCTTATCTGAGAAGCACTTTATCTGCCCTTCCATTCTAAATGAAAGTTTTGCTGGATAGAGCAATCTTGGTTGTAGGTCTTTGGATTTCATGACTTGGAATACCTCTTTCCAGCTCCTTCTTGCCTGTAAGGTCTCTTTTGAGAAATCAGCTGACAGTCTGATGGGAACTCCTTTGTAGGTGACTGTCCCCTTATCTCTTGCTGCTTCTAGGATTCTCTCCTTCATTTTAATCTTGGCTAATGTAATTATGATGGGCCTTGGTGTGTTTGTTCTTGGGTCCAACTTCTTTGGGACTCTCTGAGCTTCCTGGATTTCCTGGAAGTCTATTTCCTTTGCCATATTGGGGAAATTCTCCTTTATTATTTGTTCAAATAAGTTTTCCACTGTGGCTGTTCCTTTCCTCCTTCTGGTACCCCTATAATTCGGATGTTGGAGCATTTAAAGATGTCCTGGAGGTTCCTAAGGCTCTCCTCATTTCTTTGAATTCTTGCTTCTTGACTCTTTTCTGTTTGGCCATTATTTGCTTTCTTCTGGTCCACTCCATTGATTTGAGTCCCAGTTTCCTTTTCATCCCTATTGGTTTCCTGTGCAATTTCATTCATTTCAATTAGTTTTGCCTTCATATGTTTGTCTAATTTGTGGCTATAATCAACCAGTTCTGTGAGGATCCTGATCACCAGTGCCTGAGAGTTTTGCTATTTCTTCATTGCTTAGATTTATAGGCTCTGGGGCTTTGAGTTCCTCCCGAGCCATTTTTGGTCTGTTCGTGCCGTCAAGCGTGTGGAGCGGAGCCCCGGACTCCCAGGTCGCTGGGTTGTGACGCTTATGTGGGGGCGTGGTCAGAGTGGGGAAATGGCGACCCCCTCTGCTGTTTGTGGCAGCTGGGTGAGGAGCAGCGCCTTAGGTGGTTCACCTGGGCCGGGCCACTCAGAGTCGCTGGGTTATGACGCTGTATGTGGAGGTGGGGTCAGAGCAGGGAAATGGCGGAGCCTTCCGCTGCCACTTGCCTGGGGACCCGCTGGGTCCCGGTCCAATCACTTGTCTATCTGTGCACAAATGCGCGACCACAGTCAACCCGCAGCCCTGCTCCTTCGCTGTTTCCCCGCGGTTGCTTGCTTGGTCGCTGGGTCTCTCCCTAGGTCCAACCCTGTGCCTGGATTCCGCGTGCCTGGATTCCGTGGGCCTGAGTCCGTCTGACCAAGTTTTCCTGTGGAAACCCGCTCCGCCAGCTGCTGGTTTCACCCCTTACCGGTCAGGCTGAAAAATTTGTTGTTAACAAACTTCCGAAAGTTCAATTTTCTGTGTTCTGGCTGTGATTTCTGTTGCTAATATTTAGTTGTCTCTAAACTTGGTTGTGTGAGAAGGCACGGCGTCTCCACCTATGCCTCCATCTTGGCAGAAGTCCCCCTCAATCCCTTTCTTAATTTCACTACCTGGTTTACCCACCCATTGGCCTTCCCCATGCTTCCTACTTTTACTAACCAGAAACCCCAGAAATCCAAGACTTCATCTATAATTTGTGGAGTTAGTGGGAAGAAAAATAATTGCCTACTCTCATAAAATATTAACATCAATGTTAAGTGGATGCGCCACAGTTTTAATAACCCAAGTTTTAATCACTGGGAAGGAAAAATACTATGGAAACAACAGGTGCTTGACTAGATTGAAAGAGGGTGCTAGTACAGAAAAGAAAGATAGTTTTACGAACAGCTTTTATGTCTTGTTTCAAAAAATGGAAGCATGTATATGGACTGGTTTAAGTACAAAAGACAAAGAAGATTCCACACTTAAATATTTTACACAGAAAGACAATTTAATGGTAAGGGAAAGGATTCACAGAATGTAAACACTATGACTACAAACCTTGCCTTTTTATAGATTCTTATAATTTATAGAAAATCATAACAATTAGTAATTACTAATAAAAGCAAATCTTCTTTGAAGACAGTAATACTTACAGGTTCTTTATTATTTTTTTCATTTAATTACATAAAACCAAGTGTCTTTTCTGGAGAAACAACTGTTGTGCTATTGAAACATTTTTCTTTGTTTTCAGGGAGCAAATTAAGAGTCCAGCCGTGATTGCTGGGAAGTACAACCTCTTTCAGAAGGATAGCAAGAACAGAGTATTCCTGCCTCAGAAATTATTACCCATCCTGAGTACAATACACTTTCTCTGACATCTTCCTCTTCATAGCCCAACATCTAACCACTTTTTTGTTTTGTACCAAACATTCTTTTGTTTAACTTACTCCAGGCATCCTGGCCTCCCCATCGCCCCTCAAACACTATGACATGACCCCTCTACAGGGTTTTTCCATCCTGTTTCTTCTTCTTCAAATGCTTTCCACCAAGATAACTGCATGGGTCCTTCCTCCAACTTCTTGGAGGCTTTGTTCAAATGTCAGAAGTTCAATGAGCCTTGTCATAACTACCCTATTTAAGATTACATCTCCCATGCCATCTTCTTTAATCCCCAGATTTGTCTTCTTTACCCTGCTATGATTTCTCCAGAGCACATGTTACCTTATAGCTAAATTATTGTATTTACTGTTTGTATTTCCTCTCCCCCTGCAACACACACACACACACACACACACACACACACACATACACACACAAGTTCTGTCCATACAGGGATTTATTTTCTGCCTATTCACTGAGGCCTGGAAGAAGGCTTACCATATAGTAGTACTCAATTTGCTATTGAAAAAAAATATATTTCTTAAGAACAAGGCTACACCTTAAAACATTAGTAGTTTGGGGGGATTATTGTGGTATATAGAACAAAAGGTTATCATTTTCCTTGTTTTACATTTTCTGCATTTTTCCAAATTTCTATATGAAATAATTTTAATGAAAAAGAAAAAATTTGAAAATATATGTCAATATAACACTTAGGAATAAACTGTAGAAGACATTAAATCAATCAATGTCACTTTCCAAATACATTCAGCATCACTTGTCTGTGAACCTCATGATTTTTTTTTCAAGAACCGCTGGTCAGCTAATCTGTCTTCCCAATGGAGATGATAAGTTTGAAGAAGGGATTCTTGGCATGACCAGTGGATGGGGCAAGAATTCAGAGAGTGTGGGGCATCAAAAATATATATTTCTTCCCTTTGCATGCCCAATAGAAACAAGGATTTTGTTGGCCATGAGTAATACATTTATTCTCTGTTTTTCTTTGCCCTGAGCTCTGACTCAGTGAAGATTTCTGGTTGTCTTCACCACAGAAAAGTCTATACCTATGCTCTATGTAAAATTGGCTGCCATTTGGGTCAGTGTGTCCAATAAAACTGGAGGCAGCTGTAATAGGGTGAAGGAGACTACAGGAAAGGAGTTATTTGGAAATAGTAACCACAGTTATGTTTTTGTATCTTTAATATTGTGATTTTTAAAGGAACTTCATAAAATATTGCTTTATTGAATAATGTTTTTCTTTGGGGAAAACATTCAAGCATAGCTTCAGAGAAACTACAATTGCCTATGCTACCTTAAAAATCTGCTGGATTTTAAAAAATGTTCTTTATCACATATATGATTTTAGGAAAGAATATATTTCACCCTTAAAAAAATAAGAATGGTTCCATTTTGGTTAAACATCTACTTGAAACAGTTTTAAACTCGTAGGCTTCTTAGGATTTGTTTCAGTGAAGATAGTTGTTGACTATCTTGTCAGTCCCTTCTCTGCAGCATAAGAATATTCCAGTATCCTACAAAAATTGGAGCTTCCCATCATGGATGACACAACGTGTAACTCTGCTCAGGCTATGAACCTTCCTCTCCTGGAAAGGACCATGCTGTGTACTGGTTTCTCTGATGGGGAAAAGGAAGCCTACCAGGTGAAAAGCATAAACCAGCCCAGTTATTCAATAACACACAGGTGATAGTGGATTCTGCCTTTCCCTGTGAGCTGCTTTTGGAAGACACTGCTTCAAAATTCCCCTTTCCTTCATCTTTTCAACTGGCTTCTACTGAAAAAAATTGACTTATCCTGGGTTGAGAGAATTCTTTCCTGTCCTGTGCCCAGTCTTACCCCCACAACTTTTTTGGGGGTTGGGAATGGGAGAGGTAGGGGATGTGGTTTGAATATTTCCAACCTAATAGAATCAAGCAAGATGACCACTTTGGCAAAAAACTAGGTTCAGCTGGTAACTTTTTTTATTCCATCTTTTGTTAAAAATTTTAAGTACTTAGTGCCAAATGCAATCTTTCCACAAACTTTGACTGAAGATAGCATAGTTATTGTAACTGTTGGATAAAAAGATGTTGTGATTGACAGTAACCTCCTGAGGGCAACAAGTTTACAAAGGAGAACAATCTTTACCAGATACAGAGAGGAAAGGGAAACCAATGTGCTAAAGACGTGAATATTAAGTTTAAATGGAAAAGATTATTTACTTGGAAAGCTTTTTTTTTTTAAGTGGAGAGTCAAGGATTCTTTGTTTTTTACCATCAAGCAGTGTGAAACTGCTGTGAGAAGCTCCCTGAAATTATCTTTGGGAAAAATGTGTTTTCCTTCCAGGAGGCAACAGAGACCAGGAAGAGTTTGGGAGGGAGGAGAGAAAAAATTGTAATTGTGCCACTTTCTAAATTGGAACACGGGCAGATGAAGGCTGCGTTGTCCTGTCTGCAGGCTCTACAGGTAATCTGGTTTTGGATGAAGCCCTCAAACAATCCCATGCCTTTCAAGGAGGGCTTACTCTAACACAGAGTGGCACATGTTCTCAAAGAAGCATATTATTCTGAAAGGTTATTGAAGATAGAATCCTGAAATCATGGTTTCTTATCCTCTACGGAACCAACAGTTTTTGACACAGAGTCTCTGGGACAAAACTAGGCTTCCAGGCATTCTGTTTTCAAAGCCTTGAGCCATAAACTTGCATAACCTTGGGGGCTCTGTTCATTGATGCTATAGCCTTGGAATATAACCCAGTCTTTTCCAACAATTGCAGGTGACAAGCTGTTGTAGAGGCATGTATCTACATAAACTTGCTCTCTTCCTTCCATCGATTTTGGAATGTGTATGGTTGTGCCCAGAAAAGAAGAAAGAAGGAGGGAGAGAGATGTTAAGTGTTAGGTTTACAAGATTGCAGGCAATGGGTGGAAGTAGGTTACATCTGGGCAAAACCATAGTACCTTGAAATTAATGGTAAAGAAACAAAAAAAATGAAGAACAAAATATTGATGGACAATGACCATTGGGCTGATAGGCCTCTACTTCTCTGAGATTGGTGCAGATATTTGTAGACCTGAAAAATATTCTTAACTTGTGAATATTTTCAAATTCTCTCTTTCTCTACTATAAAAGGGTGACTCTGGAAGCCCACTTGTTTGTAGAAGGGACCATGGACTCTGGATTCTTGCTGGGATAACTTCCTGGGGAGCTGGTTGTGCTGGAAGTTGGGCTTCTTCAAGAAATAACTATATAAGGACCTCAGGTGGCATTTTCTCCAAGGTGTAAGAATGGATGGATTTTATCACTCAGAACATAATCATAGGTAGGTGTAATTTCTGTGAATTTTTCTTTTTTCATTTTATTGCAACTGAGAAATTGATCATACTTAATTATTTCAAGGATATTTTGATACATTTCAGATAAAATTAGGAGTAAACTTTAAAGCAAAGCAAAAATATGGCTGGTTTTCAATTCATAACCCAATGTGTATAAACTTCTATCTCTGTATTCATGAACACTGATATCTGTCAATTTAACTTGATTGTCAACTGGATCTTCAAGTTTATGTTCATGTAGGTTTTCATGGATTTTTTTTGTATTTCTGATATTTAAAAATACAAGAAAGGATTAAGAGTATTCTTTATCCAGTTGACTGGTTTTCTCGAAATTACTTAAGAGCACAAAATAAATCACTCCTCTCCCACTTTTCCCATTCCGCCTTGTTCATTTAGCTTGGCAACAGCAGAAAAATAAAGGAAGCTTTGCAGTTATTTTTGTTCTGTGGCACTACACCCTAGATTAGAGAAATAGACATGGGTGTGGAGAGGCTAAAGCTATCTTCAAGGAACTTTCCAACTACTTGGGGAGAAAATAAATGGGCAACTGCGATAAAAGGTGAAGTACAGGTAAGCCCAGAGAGTCATCAGGTCACTAAGGAGGAGTCTGGGGGCCTCAGTACTGAGGGACCAGAAGGTTTTTCTTGCAAAGGGGCAGCATCTTCACAAGAAAGTGGCACATGGGCAGCCCCTGTAGAATAAAGACGCATGAGAAGATACAGTTTCCAGAACAAGTAGTTTAACATAAGAAGCAACTTTCTTAGAGGCCAGGACCCAGAGCAGCAGAACATAATGTCCCCTCCATCCCGGTTTCATTAGAGCCCAAGATCAGCCACCTGGCTGCTGTTGGGCCTGCTGCACGCCAGCTCCGCCTCAGACTGCAGCAGGCTCTCGATGCGCTTCCATTTGGCCTTGGGAATCAAAGCATTCCGTTCATTGTGATGACTGCAGGGGGAATTCTCTCCTGGTGGTAATTCTCTTCAATTTTTATCACCTGGAAGTGAAGGTTAAAGAGGTTAAGAGCCCTGAACAAACGTTAATGACAACAACATTTTTAAATGGCAATGAAATGAGGCAATAACCATTAATTAATTCCACAGTCAAATGAATATCAGAATGTGACAAGTACTTTATTTAAATGACACTTCTTTAAGGTATCTTTCTAAGCCTCCAATCCCCTAGTTGCCTGTTTCTTCTGGCTCCCAACAACTGAAGTGCGACACTGCCACGTGAAATCGCAGAGTGAATGACAGAGGCTTGCCTCGTCTCTGCCAACATTTAGATGGTTTCACTTTGGTATCTTTAAACAAAGGTATTTATTATAACCCAGGACCACCTGGTCAGAGATGGGAGGACACTGTGTTAGTTCCATACACAATAAATTTGACGGCTTCACTGTGAAATGTGATTTGAGAACACTGGATAAAGCTTAAATTTGAAAAACTCAGACAAAGAAAAGAACATTCTGAATACTATTCAGCCACAAAAAAGAGTGAAATCTTGACATTTGTGACAACATGGGGGGGCTTGAAGGCATGCTGAATGAAATAAGTCAGACAGAGGCAAGTACTGTGTGACCTCACCTATATGTGCAATTTAAGTTTTACAAAACTAAGCTCATAGATACAGAGAACAGATTGGTGGTTGCCAGAGGTGAGGGTATGGGATTGAGCAAAATGGGTGGAGGGGATCAAAAGGTACAAATTTCCATTTCTAAAGAAGGCATGGAGATGTAAGGTAAAGCATTGTGACTATAGGTAATAATACTCTATTGCACATTTAAAAGTTGCTAAGAGGGTAGATCTTGTAAGAACTCATTACAAGGAAAAAAACTTGTAACTGTATGTGGTGATGGATATTTACTAAACTTATTACAAAACTTACATGTTTTCAGGAACAACTATAAAGGACACATGGACAAAACCAAGGGGCTGTGGAAGTAGGGGAGAGAGGTGGAATGGCTGGGGTGGAGGGTGTGATGGGGGGGAAATGCAGACAACTTTAATAAAAAATAATACAATTTTTTAAAAATGAAAAAAAGAGAAATATTGTCCATAGCAGAAGTCATTATTCAGTTTATTCCCTATATTTTGAAAGATTGTCGCCCTTGGGGAACGGTGCTATCTGGGGAAGATGGGAAGGTCTGTTATCCCCATTTGAAAGAGAGCAGCTGTTCTCATAAATGGTATGTATCCCAGTGGGAATGCTTCCTAGGTTTTCCCCATAAACAATATCATTTAAGAATCTATATTTTGGCAGTTTAATCTAGAATCTCAATACCTTTACCTGATTAACATAAAAGCCTATATATTTCATCTGAAACTTTCTGGTTGGCAAACATTTGCCTATCAGTATTTCTTATATTCATAGTATAAATTATCAACACAAGTGGTATTAAGACTGGAGCTTTCATGAATTGATATATTCAAATGACTAACATTAACAGCACCTGGTAGTGAGATTGTCATGGGAATTTAGTGGTTAATCTGTTTCACTTACTTCTGTAATAATGATAATAGTTTGTTAAATATTGCCTAGAAGATGGAAACTAGTTCATGTTCTGGAAGCTTCAATGTCTTTAAAAATTTCTCTACATAACCTGCCTTCTCTATGACTAAAGATATCTTTAAAGTTTATAAATTTATTTTGCAAGAATATCATTTTCTTAGTGTTTTACATTCATTTTTTAAAATTATATTTGGTATTGAAAGGTATTCAAAGATAGATGATAGTTCTATGAGTTTATCACCTGGTAGGAGGAGAAAGCTGGACAAAAAAAACAACTGTACTATAAAACAAGATAAAATAAGCTTTGTAGTCTGCAGTACCCAGGTGTGTCAAACTGTGGAAAAGGGAGAGACTAATTCTCATTGCAGGGGTTTCTGAGGTGAGTACAGTGTGGTTGGGAGGGGTGGGGATAGGAATGATTTAATGAAGGGGTAGTGTTGTAGACCGCTCTGCCTGATTTTATCTCTACCCCTTGTAGCTAAGGGTGAGAGACGACCTCTGGAATGCCAGCTGCAGGAGACAAAGCAAGTCTCTGGTAGCAAACGCTGCCTCAGTTCCTCTCCCTGCCCCCAGAGCTTGGTGGGAAGTCAATGAAGGGTAAGACCCCTCACAGTGGGGGGCAACCTAAGACAGACTCAATCACCTGGGAGGCTTTCATGGAAGGACTCAGGGGGCTGCAACAAAGAGCAATGGACTCTCTCCCCCCAACTTTGTCAAAGCCCAAGTCCCCATGTTCTCTGGGAGAAGCGCTTCCTGGCTCTAATCCCCTTAAGCCTGAATACCTGTTGGAGAGAGGTACAGCTCCTTGCCTGGCCAGAGCATGCCCTGTGAAAAATCTGGCATCACAAAGGCTTGCTGATTAACCTGTGAAATCTGCTCTGCTAAGAGTGCTTTCGTTCATATGATAAGGGTCCGAAAAGAAATGAGTATGTCTCCCAAAGTTTCTGCAACTCTCTTCCTGACAGACACTGACTCTGAAGTCCTCAGATTTCTTTGTAATATTATTTACTGTTTGATCCTTGCCGCCCTGTATTCCTGTGTATTACAACCCAATAAAAGGCTATGGAAGAGGGTGCTCGGGGCCTTTTTCTCCTCGGAGAAACTGGCCGCTGCTGGCCTCTTTCTCCCCAGAGAAACTGGCCACAGCCCACTCCTTCATCCCCAAGCAGATTCAGCATGTCTCGGCCAAATTTACTCATTCACATGTGTCCGTGGCACCTGGGGGACCTCGCGAGAGTAGTCACCCCCACAGGGTAGTACTGAAACTAGGCATTAAAAGATAGTTATGACTTTATAGTTCATGAAGTCTTTCATAGCGCCAGTATCTAAGGTTTCTACAGTGAACTCCAGGCAGAGGGAATTATGTGTGAGCAATGTCAGGGAGCTGAGGACTGGGGAGCTGTTTGAACAGTGTGCATCCTGATGCTGCTGGAAAGCAATGTTAATGTGGATGGGAACTGGAACAGCAGCGGGCCGTGGAGATGAAAAGAATGAGAAGGCTTCAGTCACAGAGGACCTTGAATTTCACGTGAACAGATTTAGAGTTTATTCCATATGCAATGGAAAGCTAAAATGATGGTGAGATTGTAGTTTATAAAATGAATGTAAAATGAGTGTAAATATTTTTACGAGTAAAGGATGGGAATGAAGTGGCTTGTTGCAGCCCATATTTAGAAAGCTTATTAAGCTTTCTAAGTACAGCTTTCTGTGAGCAAACCTATTAATAACATACTACCAGTAAAGAGTTTGACATCTTTGCTTATTCTTCTTTTAGAAGAACAGAATTCAGAACAAAATGAGAGTACTGTTTTATTAGAGTTCTGGGCAAGGGAAGTAGGGAGGGGCCTGCAGGCGCCATCTTAGAGAGGGACATTGATAAGTCAGAAAGTAGCTGAAGGACAATGAGTTAGATGAAAAAAGAAACTTAAAACAGAGTCTTGAGAGATATGGCAGAAGGGGCTAGGAACATTTTTGGTCTACAGATGACTTGAGTGAAGGAAGGAACTGTCTTAATTTGTTTGAAAGGTTATGAGAGAAGCAGAATGGAACTTGTTCTGATGAACTACAGAGCCTAGAAGAAGGAACCGAGGGTGGATGTTAGGAAGGGGCCGATTTCACTTCAACACAAAGTAGTTTATAATTTGAAATATTTCTGAGACTTAATGGACTCCTGAGGCAGTCCATTAAGTCCAATGAATTTCCTTTATAAGCGGTTATTTGAGCAGAGCATGGATGCCTATGGGTGAGATTTGAAAAAAGCATTTATATATTAGGTAAGAGACATGTAGATTACTGCTAATTTGCCCTCAAACACAGAGAGCCTATGATTCAACTTAATGAAGAATTGAAGCTATCTCTACAATAAGATCTGAAGATATTCCTTTGTCTTGGATGTCTTTCTTGTAGAGAAAGACATTCAAGACAAAGAGGTTTGGTAGTAATGTCAGGTATTGTAAAAGTGGAAATGAGTTCAGATTAAATGCCATTGGACATGATAGTTCAAAATTTGGGAAGAGATTCAGTAGAAACTGTTGAATCAGAAGCTATATTCATAACGGGTTAAATGATTATTGAAGACTTGGTATCTTTTCTTTACCAAATAGTAAAAAAAAATTATTGAGAGCTTAAGATGTGTCAGGCACCAATTTAGGTGTTAGTAATATAGCAGTGAATGAAGCAGAGAGAAACGTCTTCCCTCCTGGGGCGAGGTGGAAGGTGGAGAGTGGAGGTAATACAAATAACATTACATATCACAGTAGAAGGCAGTAAGTACTGTGTCCAACAGTAAAGCAAAAAGGAGAGGGTAGAGGGTGACGGGCTGTGCACTGTCAGAGAGGACGGTCAGGGAAGACTGCATTTAAGGTGGTATTTTACCAAAGACTTGGATGAGGGAGGAAATGGCTTGATCATCTTGGGAAGGGACACTCCTGGTCAGAGGAATGGCATTTGTGAGGCAGGAAGTCCCTTGGTATCTTCAGGGCACGAGAAGATCAGGGAGCCTGAGTGAGCTAAGTGAGAGAGGGAGAAGTGACCGTGATTAGTGGTGACCACACTTACAGGACATAGGAGGATCTGGGATTTTATGGTAAGATATGGAGCCATTGGTGGACTATGAGCAGAAGAACATTATCTGATACATTTTAAAAGGATCATTTTGGCTGTTGTATTGAAAATACAATGTAGCCCTGTCTGGTGTGGCTCAGTGCATTGAGTGCTGTACTATGAAGCAAAGGGTCACTGGTTCGATTCCCACTCAGGGTACATGCCTGGGTTGTGGGCCAGGTCCCCAGTAGGGGACAGGTGAGAGGCAACCACACATTGATGTTTCTCTCCCTTTCTTTCTCCCTCCCTTCCCCTCTATCTAATAATAAATGAATAAAATCTTAAAACAAAAAAGAAAATCGAATGTAGACAGGCCCAGCCAAAAGCTGAGAAACTAGTTCCTGCAACAATCCAGGTAAAGAGGATGTTGGCCTTGACCAAGCTCGTTACAGTAGAGGTGGGGAGAAGTGGCAGGGCCACAGGATTTGCTAGCAAGTCGAAAATTTGGGTTTTAAGGGAGAGAATTTTATGATTAACTTGAGGGGCTTTTTTTTTTTTTTTTTTTTTTAGTTACTTTTCAAGTACATTTTTTTTTTTTTAATCTATTTCTCCCATCCCACCCCACCCCCCCGCCCGGTCTCCCCCCTCCCTCCCATCCCCCCCCAGTCCTCATCTCTGTGTCTTTCATACTTGTTCCTCAAAATCCCTCCCCCTTTTTCCCCTTAAGTTCCCTTCCCTCTCCCCTCTGGTCGCTGCCCACTTGTTCTCTATTTCAGCCTCTTTGTTTTTCTTCTGTTTGCTTGTTTGTTTTATTCTTTAGCTTCCTGTCAAAGGTGAGATCATATGGTATTTGTCCTTCAATGCCTGGCCTATTTCACTCAGCATAATGCTTTCCAGTTCCATCCATGTTGTTGCAAAAGGTAGTAGCTCCTTCTTTCTCTCTGCTGCATAGAATTCCATGGTGTATATGTACCACAATTTTTTGATCCATTCATTTACTGATGGGCACCTAGGTTGCTTCCAAATCTTGGCTATTGTAAATTATGCTGCTATGAACATTGTGGTGCATAGGTTCTTTGAAATTGATGTTTTAGGATTCTTGGGGTATAATCCTAGCAGTGGAATTGCTGGGTCAAAAGGCAGGTCGATTTTTATTTTTCTGAGAAAATTCCATACTGTTTTCCATAATGGTTGTACCAGTCTGCAATCCCACCAACAGTGAACTAAGGTCCCCTTTTCCCCACACTTGAGGGGCTTTTTTATTTTTATTTTTTTAACCTATGGAAGGATAGAGCTGCCCTTGTTTGAGATGAAGAAGACAGCAGTGAAGAGAAAGAGGAAATTGGAACAGTGGCTTTTGGGTAATAGAGCCATAGGGTAAAGAGAAACTGAGGTTTTGTTTGTTTGGTTGGTTTTGGGAAGTAGAGGCTTACCTGTCCTTATGGGCAGAAGAGAAGGTAAGAGTGATAAGTCCAGAGACATACACATTTATGTGAAGAAAGTTTAATAAGAACACAAAGAAAAAAAGGTCTTAGCTTTGGAAAAAAAATTCCTTTTCTGGGAAAACATCAAAAATTTTTTAGGTAATTTATAGGACAATTGAAGGAATTTACATTAAATGCTGTCTTTGTAATTATAAGGTTTCAATTGTTTCAAGTTTAAGAAATGAAGTTGAGAATAAGAGGTAAAAAGATATTACATAGCTTTTAGGGACTAAAGCAGGAAGTCAACTAAAGAGAGTAAGACTTTCAAAAGTATCACAACTCGTAATAGAATGAATTTGTTACATTTCAACAAGTTTAGAACAAACTGGTTGTGAAATTTATCATTATTTCATGTACCACCAAAAAAAGAAACAGACCACTGGAGACTGACAGATCCCCATATAAAGCTGGGACACGGAATGCCTTCAGTGTTTGGCTAATTGAGGCATAAACTCATCCACATGGAAAGTTACACGCCTCCCTCCACCTTGGCATAGAGAATTTGAATCACAAGCTAATACTCATGTTGGTCTAGAGATTAAATTCTCTACACCAGTGTAGTCCAAACTACCGCAAGCAGAAAAATGAAGTAGTATTCAGTTGAGAATACTCCGCAGGTGACTGGCCATAGCTAATACAAGTCCTTTCTGGACAAACTCTTTCAATCCATGTCTAACAGAATTGTAAGATCCTTTCAATTTTAGAATGTCCAAGTGCAAAAAGACATGTTTTGGAAGTGTAATAAGATATGAAGCTGATTTGCATACTCGGTGACTTTTCCAGCATGCAAAGCAGCACCGAATAGTGGAAGGGTTTTGTAAATTCCAAATGCAGTCAATCGACTCATGGTAAGGGGAAAACAGGTAATGAGAAGAGGAGTGGGGAGTTATACCGTCTCCCCAGGCCTGGTACTTTTATTCTGGTAGGTGATAGCTAGATTCAGAAATGACAGATACGTGGCACTCAGGTGGCCTCCTTTTTTCCACGCCTGTGGTGACATTGCATGTCTTAGAAGCTAGAAGAGTGACTCAAGTATAACAAGCACTCAGTAGATGTTTAAATGAGTAAGTCAATTATTAATTTTTGTGCCCATCTCTCACTGCACTTGGTTAGACCTCAAAATCCTTTGTAATATAGAAATCACTAACAATAAATCAAGACTGGCAAATGATTTGAAATCTGTCTTCCATCTCTGAATTAGAGATTTTGAGGCAGAAAATAATTTGATGAAAACAGAAGAAAGTGCTGGCCTTTGAAATCATAAAGCCTAAACTGTATTTCCTATTATATGAGGCACGATGAGTCCCTCACTATCGGTGCCAGTTTTCCCACTTGGAGAAGGGGAGTAATTTCTCTCCTGTCTGCTTCAGAGGCCTATAATGAATATCAGGGAAAATGACAGATGTGCAGTCCTTCTTCAACGAAAGTGCTTAAAAGAGTGAGCTTTATTATATATTCGGGTAGCTTATTGCTTTTGAAATTGGAGTGCTTAAAAAGTGATCTTAATAATATTGTAGGCAGCTTCTTTTTACATCTATGTTCACAATGATGGACCTAAATAGAAAAAAAGTAAAGCAGAGTTTCTGGTTAAGGAAGAGATATTTGGTAAGAAGAATTATTGTGTTTGTTTTTTGGAAATGGGGCATAAAAGAGTCAATGATTCCTCCAGTCCTGAATATTTATTGCTTAGAAGGCAGTGGAGTGTTAACCGGTCTAAATATATTGATAAAGACTACTACTGAGCTTAGAAAGGAGTTCGTTCTGACACGTTGGATTGTGGATAAGGTTGCTTTACATTCAGGCAAGCGTGAGACATGGAAGGCACTGAGGATTTATGGCCCACCAAGGTTTCTTTCCTTAAATGATAATATGAATCAATGTAGGAAAATGAGGATGTAATGAGTTATGTGTTAAATTATGTAAGACTACTTTCAAAATATTTAGACATGTTTCTAAAGATACTGGGGGAAGGTCGCAGCTGACCTTCCTGGGAGTCTGAGAGCTGACATCTCGACAGCAGGGACTGGGACTCAGGCAGACATACGCTCCAAGAGCAGTCCACGGCTCCTGACTCATAATTCAGCTCCTGGGCGAATACTATGAATTTTCAATTAGACTTAGGACAGAAAGATGGATCTTAGGTTTCTTCAATTTATAGTTCATAATTCTAGCATTTTATAACTAAGTGAAATTTTAAAGCTGGTTTCTGGCCATTCTATAATTAACACTCCTCTGTTTGTTGGATAAATATCAGAAATTCAAGCATAAACAAATTATCCTCAACATAAAGAATTTCCATTGCTTTTTATCTTTTAATATCCTGTAAAATGTTGTTATTGGTGAGTTATGAGCTAAAGCCAAAGCAATAGATCTTATCTGTCACACTTGACTCTGCCATTTGTTATCTGTTCTTCATCTTACTCTATCTAGTCTATGTATTTGGAAAATAATGGTACCAGAAGATAAAACTATCATACTGAAATTTACAAGCTTCGACATAGAAAATCAGGTTGGATGTGACCACGACTGTGTATTTCTACAATCAAGCAACCGAGTGCTTATTAGTAAGCATGTAACATTTATTTTATTTGTCAATTTATAGTTCCTGCAAGACTGAAGAGGTGCTAAAAGGATCTGAAATTAGGTTTTTGCACACAGGGCAATTATTTTATCCTACATACAGCGCCCTTTTTGAAGGGGTGGGGCTCTGTGCAGTAAAAGTAGAACCAATGGCCAGCAGATGAATCACTCTCACTCAGGGACATGCTTATTGATTTTAGAGAGAGGGAAAGAGAGGGAGAAAGACATAAATGTGAGAGAGAAACATTGATCAGTCACCCCCTACATGCTCCAGGGATTGAACCCACAGCCTAGGTATGTGCCCTGACCAGGTATTGATTCCTGACCAGGAATTAAACCTGCAGCATGTCAGTTTATGGGACAATGCTCCAGCCAAGTGAGCCCTACCAGCCAGGGCCAGTGGCCAGCACATTACGGAGCATGCTCTATTCTTTATTCAAGTTTAATAGCAGTATTGAATAAAATTGTCATGATTGTCAGAAAACTTTTCTGACTATCTTTATTTATCTAAAATAAACTAATCTTTGTTTTTTTTCATTTTGCCACAAAAGGGTGTGTGTGTTTGCCAAGTCTGGTAAAGACAGATGAGCAAATGGAAGAAAATGTAAATTAATCGCAACCCTACCACCTAGAAAGAAATGCTGTTAACATTTTGATATATATTTATACACATAAATGTATACACTGAGCTTTACTGCACATGTATTGTAATGTTATTTTTCTCAGGATACAAGAGATCATTTCATGTCATTAAATTCCTTTTATTGAATACAGCATAAGCTATACAAGCCTAACTGATGTATTTATTGAATTGAAATATATGAGTCAGGCGTGATAGAGAGTCTGCAGAGCTGGTACAAACCTCAGTCTCTAGGTCTCTGTAAGGCCAGTGGTTAGGATGACTCTCTCTTCACAAATGTTTGAGTGCTATAGACAAGGTGTTGTGCTTAGGGTTATAACATTTATTACCTGAACGATTTCATACCTCAGGCCTGCTATTTACCCAGTAATCATTCCTTCAATGAATCACCTATTAAAAAACAACTATGCCACACCAGGTCTGAACATATAGAGAGTAAAAGCAATCTCTACGGTAATGAGCTTGCATTCAGGTGAGGTAACTAAAGGTGCACAACAAAGTTGGAAATAACTTTACGTTATTATAGGGAATGTGCTGCGGTGATTTGGGAAAGGCAGCGGTCACTTCCATCTGTGTCTGTGAAGGTTTTTGGGAGAACTGGACTTTAAGTTAAGACCCTGACGTTTGAGTAAAATTTAGACATGGGAGATTGGGCAGGAGGAAATGAATGGAATATAAAATCACTGAAGCAGAGTGTGGAATGATTAAAGGGGCCACTAAATAGGTTAGTGTGCTTACAACAGAGAGCTCATGAAAGCTAATATTAGGAAAACAAGCATGTTTACATGTTGACAGGGGACTGAACCTACAACCCAGGCATGTGGCCGGACTGGGAATTGAACCAGCGTCCTTTGTCCTTGAGGGACAATGCCCAAGCAACTGAGCCACACCAGTCAGTACTGTTTTTGCCATTTTTTTTCGTACTCTTATTTCAATTGCTTTTTCTTTTAAGGTAAGGTGTGGAGATACATTGACCGCACAATTGCTGGCAGAGTCCACTGAGGCTACAGTCACGTTTGCTATAGCCTCAGTAGGGGCTACAGTGGCAGTGGCTTTGGGCTTCCCTTCACTGCTGTACAGAAGAGCTCAGAAGCAGGCAAGTATGTTAGATATTTAATTCCCTGCTATTTTTCTTTAATGGGGGTGGTGAGGAAGAAAGAATGCCTTTGGCTATCCACTCAGGATTTTCTCCACACTTTCATAGGTTCAGGGTGCAGGAGTGTGGCTCTATTGGTGAAAGAAGGGACGATTCCCTCTGCCAGTTACCCAGACTTACATCCCAAGAATTTAAGGTGCCATTGGCTCATTCACGCTCCAGAGAAACACATCATAAAGGTAAGCAGTGAACAAAGCATTTTACTTCACTGAGAACTTAGTGATGTTAGTTAGGCGGAACTTGCTTCCTCTGGACTGTGAAATTGCTGTCATGACTAGAAGCTTCTTCGCCTTTTACTTTTTAGAGTGCTCAAAGAAGATTTATGTATGTGGTTTAAAAGTTTCAACAACTTAAAAAATAGCACAATGAAAAGTATGCCTCCTCCTTGTTCAACTGCCATCCCACCTCCTGGTGGCCAACACTGATAAGCTTTTAGGTCAGCCCTAGAGAGATATTCTGAGCATTTACAAATATGTGTGTATTTCTATGACTTGGTGATGTTTTTTTCTACTTAAAAATCTCTCAAAGATCTTTACAGATCAGTCCATGGAGCTCTTTTCAACAACCGCATAAAATTATATTGGGCGATATCCCATAATTTCTTAAACCGGTTCCCTATTAACAGACACTTAGTGAATTTCCAGTCTTTGCCTGAACCAGCAAGGCTGGCTCCTCCTGTGTCACTGTGTCTGGACCATGTAGATGAACTCACTTCCCAGAAGTGGAGCTGCTGGGTCAAAGCACTTGTGCATTTAAACGGTGTAGCCATCGCCGAACACCCTCCAAAGAAGCTGCAATTATTTACACTCTGTGAATGGAATAGAAGGGGGTTGCTGGGAGCCATTTAACATACAGAGGGAAGCTGTTCAAGTTGATCTCCACTCTCCCTTGACCACTTCTCTGGTTACATTTATAATTGTACAGTTGGCATTTGAGGACTTTACTACTGAGTTTAACCGAAACTATACTTGTGATGCTGTTGTGATTTATGGTGATGCTGAAGCGGAGCAGGACTTAGGTGGGTGACATTCTGTCGTTTAAACTTACCCGTATTTTTTGGACAATAAGATGCACCTAGGTTTTAGAGAAGGAAAATAGGAAAAACAATTCGAAGCAAAAAAATGTGGTAAAATAGCCCTGGCTGGTGTAGCTCAGTGGATTGAGCGCGGGCCTGCGAACCAAAGGATCACAGTTCCATTCCCAGTCAGGGCACATGCCTGGCTTGCAGGCCAGTTCCCAGCAGGGAATGCACGAGAGGCAACCATACATTGATATTTCTCTCCCTCTCTTTTTCCCTTCCCCCTCTAGACATAAATAAATAAAATCTTTTAAAAATGCTTTAAAATATTTAATAACATAAATAACATAATATCTCACCAATGTAAATGTAAACAGAACTCAACAGCGGCATTAACAGCCATTATTCCTCCCAAATTTGGGTGGTGGTGGGGAGTGTTTCTTATAGTCCAAAAAATACAGTCCTCTGAAAAGCACGTTGGTTAGTCTCCAATCAGAGTGGCTGTGGCATATGCCAGCCTCACTGGGCACCCAGAGGTCACCTGGGAGTATGAATTTCTCACGCTGGAAACTCACGATGCCGGAAAACACAGCTTTGGAGCTGGGGACCTGCGGTGGGTTCACCAGGAAAGTGTTGAATAGAAGCAACATTTGAATAATGTTTTAGAGTCTTCCCTCCTTTTCTGTATTCATCTTTCCTACTGCTGATATTTTTCCCACAAAATATAGCCACAAAAAACAAATGAAGAAAGGTCACCAAAAACTGTCATTTCTACTTGAGTCCTAAAAGTTAATTTTTGAACCAAAATATCAAGTATGCTTTTAGTTTTGACCTGCCAATTTACCAAGTATAAAAAAAATTATCCCTTCCAGCCCTGGCTGGTGTAGCTCAGTGGATTGAGCGCGAGCCTGTGAACCAGAGGATCAAGGTTCGATTCCCTGTCAGGGCACATGCCTGGGTTGCAGACCAGGGAACACACAAGAGGCAACCATACATCGATATCTCTCTCCCTCTCTTCTTCCCTTCCCCTCTAAAGATAAATAAGTAAAATATTTTTTAAAATTTATCCCTTCCAGCCATGTAGCCACTTCCTTCACACCTTAGCTTGGTCTTAGTGCCGGTCAGACACCAGGAATGTTGGAAGGGTCAGACGGTTTATTTGATGTTTAGACAGGTGAGCGGAAGCACAGTTCCCGGATCGAGCAGAACAGGATCTGAGGAGCACAGAGGAGGGTGTGAGCTAAGCAGGTCGCAGGCATTGCCCACGCGCACACAATGTAGCCATGCTCTGTCTGGAGGGAGGAATACCAACTCTGGGATTTTCGTTTGAATTTGCCTCTTTTCCTAGTCTGCAAAGGAACAATCAACTGAGGTTTTTATGCATACTCAAAATCAGATGTCTTTAGCCTATCAATGGAGATTTTTCCCTGTGTGATAAAATTATAATACGTTGTTACTTAGAAGCTAGTGTTTAATTCCCACAGGAAATAAAAATAATGTGACTACAAACCAAAGTTGAAGAAAACCACAGTTGCTTAAAAATAATTAACCAGATAATACTTTTCCTCCATTTTTAAATTTCTAACTATAAGTCAAACTTCCCTAAAATGTTTGCAGCTAAACTTTGTGAAACCTTCAGCCCTACTCCAATATTCAGTCCTGGTAGCCTGATGGTGATTCATGTTAGAAGTGATGGTCAAAATAACTTCTGAGGCTTCAAGGCTAGATTTACCTTTTTGACCTTATACAAGGTCAGTACAAACCCTTGTGCAGTGTTCTGCTTTATGAAAATGCCTATAGGGAAGATAATTTGTCCATGTTTACCTAAATTTAAAGTGCTGAAGTCACCTCAGTGGCAAAATAAAAATGCAAATGGCTGGGTCCGTCCGCCCCACCCGCCGCCCCCCAAAGATTTATATGCTCTAGTTGTGGAATTGTGCCCTGGAGTCTGTGCATTACCAAGCCGAGAAACTGCATCTGGCAGATGGCCAAAAAGTAGATCATTCAGATTAGAGAATATAATTCAGAAAGGAGATGGGCTAGCTCTGTTTCTGGATATTTGAAGGTTTTAAAAGATAAATGGGTTTCTAAGCATTCTAGGGATAAAGGCGCCTTTGCCCAGAAAAAGGAATATCATGTGCAAAGACTCTAATATAAAAGAGAATGGATTGCAAACAGAAAAACTACAAATAATTTAACACTGTTTGACTTTTGGAAGGGATAATAGAAAAGGCGAAAGACTATGATGGGCATAGAACATTAAATTTTAAATACCAGAGTGACAGGATAGCATTTCTTGATTACCTGTTCTGTACCAGGTATAGACTAAGCATTTCACATGCCTTATCCCATTTATTCCTCCTTAAAACCCTAAGAGATTTGTACACTGCTCCCCTTCTCACAGGTGAGGGCCACAGAGGCTTAGAGAGGTAACTTTCCCAAAGATGCAGAGCTAGTAGAGAATTCTAGGGCCAGAATTCAAACCTTGGTAGCAATGTGGAAGATGGATATAGAAATTAGGGGTGAACTTACTTATATACAAGGGGAATAGTGAGGAAGTCATTGTAGGAATTTATTCTAGATATGTCACTTGATTAGCTATGTTGTGGGGAAGGGGGTGTATGAAGGAGAAAAAGTCTAGCATGATTTTGGGGATTTTAGTTTGAATGGCTAGATGGATGGTGAAGCCACTAAATGATACAGAAAAATATAAGCCCATCTTGACTGTAAAATTAATTGATTCCATTTGAGACATGTGGATGTTTTATGAGCTTGTAGGAGATCCAGATGGTAGTATCTAACAGTCCTAGATTCTAGAATTCAGGAACGAGATTTAGATTGAGGAGACAAACTTGAAAGTCAAATTTGTATATGTAAACCTTTAAAAATAAGGTTATGAACCATGCCTTGTGGAATATCAGGCTGAAGAATAGAATCCTAAGACTGATATTGAAAAAAGACCTTAGATACATCAAGAAAATCAAGAGACTAATTTTATGGACCCAAGAAAAGAAGAAATGCCTTAAAGAGTCAGATACAATGGAGATATCGAAAAATATAGATTAGTTCATATCTATAGCATCTGGCATTTAGTATTTGAAAGGTAATGTCAGTGAGCTCAACATTAGAGTGGGTTTATCTTTGACCAGGCTGAGCAAATAGAGTCAGCTAGTATAGGCTACTCTATTTTTTATTAGATTTTTCTTCTACAGATTCTTTAAGCAAAATTGGATCAATATCACTTCCCAAAACCCACCCTGTATTTTCTGTAAAAGCTATTCTGTGTAGTGAGTTTAGGGCCATATGGTTACTCTTTGTTGAATCTCTTATTTTTTAACAAGGTGTCTATTTGGGCAAGTTTCCTCTTTTTTTTTTTTTTTTGATGTTGAAAACAACAGATTTATTATTTTTTTTATTGATTATGCTGTTACAGTTGTTCTATTCCCCCTTTATTCCCCTCCACCCTACCCCCATCCCCACCATCACCCCCCCTTTAGTTTATGACCATGTGTCTCAAGTCCTTTAGATTCTATATTTCCCATGCTATTCTTGCCCCCCCCCATCTATTTTCTATCTACTGTCTATGCTACTTATTTTCTGTACCTTCTCCCCCCTTCTCCTCCTCCCACTCCCCTGTTGCTAACCCTCCTTGAGATCTTCATTTCTATGTTTCCACTCCTGATCTAGCTGTCCTTTTAGTTTGCTTTCGTTTTAGGTGTAGTTGTTAATAACTGTGAGTTTGTTGTCCTTTCACTGTTCATGTTTCTTTAACTTCTTTTTCTTAGATAAGTCCCTTTAACATTTCATATAATAAGGGCTTGGTGATGATGAACTCCTTGAATTTGATCTTATCTGAGAAGCACCTTATCTGTCCTTCCATTTTAAATGAAAGTTTTGCTGGATAGAGCAATCTTGGTTGTAGGTCTTTAGATTTCATGACTTGGAATACCTCTTTCCAGCCCCTTCTTGCCTGTAAGGTCTCTTTTGAGAAATCAGCTGACAGTCTGATGGGAACTCCTTTGTAGGTGACTGTCCCCTTAGCTCTTGCTGCTTCTAGGATTCTCTCCTTCATTTTTATCTTGGCTAATGTAATTACGATGTGCCTTGGTGTGTTCCTTCTTGGGTCCAACTTCTTTGGTACTCTCTGAGCTTCCTGGATTTCCTGGAAGTCTATTTCCTTTGCCATATTGGGAAAATTCTCCTTTATTATTTGTTCAAATAAGTTTTCCACTGGTGGCTGTGCCTTTCCCCCTTCTGGTACCCCTATAATTCGGATGTTGGAGCGTTTAAAGATGTCCTGGAGGTTCCTAAGACTCTCCTCATTTCTTTGAATTCTTGCTTCTTGACTCTTTTCTGTTTGGCCATTATTTGCTTTCTTCTGGTCCACTCCATTGATTTGAGTCCCAGTTTCCTTTTCATTGCTATTGGTTTCCTGTGCAATTCCATTCATTTCAATTAGTTTCGCCTTCATATATTTGTCTAATTTGTCCGTATAATCAACCAGTTCTGTGAGGATCTTGATAACCAATGTTTTAAACTGTGCGTCTGTGAGATTTGCTATTTCTTCATCGCTTAGATTTATTTCTGGGGCTCTGAGATCCTCCTGCGCCATTCTTGGTCTGTTCGGGCCCTTTAAGAAGTGGTGCCTTGGATTCCCAGGTCGCTGGGTTGTGACGCTGTATGTGGGGGCGTGGCCCGAGCGGGGAAATGGCGACCCCCCTCCGCCGCTTCTCACAGCTGGGTGCGGAGGAGCAGTGCCTTAGGTGGTTCACCTGGGCCGGGCCGCTCAGAGTCGCTGGGTTATGACGCTGTATGTGGAGGTGGGGTCAGAGCAGGGAAATGGCGGCGCCCTCCACTGCCGCTTGCCGTGGGGACCTGCCGGCCCGGTCCAATCGCCCACTCCCTCGCCTGTCCACCCTCGCACAAATGCGCGACCTCAGTCAACACGCAGCCCCAGCCCGGCTGTCTCCCCCGCGGTCGCTCGCCTGGTTGCTCGCGCGGTTGCTCACTGGGTCCAACCCTGCGCCTGGATTCCGCACCTGAGCCCATCTGACCGAGTTTTCCTGTGCAACCCTGCTCCGCCAGCCGCTGGTTTCGCCCCTTACCGGTCAGGCTGAAGAATTTGTTGTAACGGACTTCCGAAAAGTTCAATTTTCTGTGTTCTGGCTGTGTTTTCTGTTGCTAATATTTAGTTTTCTCTAATCTTGGTTGTGTGAGAAGGCACGGCACATCCACCTATGCCTCCATCTTGGCGGAAGTCATAAGTTTCCTCTTATATTGATATAACTCCCCAGTGAAGGAGAGTGAGTTTTATATGAGATTATTTAGGACCATGAAACTTCCAGAAACCTGTTTGGGTTTGCATAAAAACTCATAAATGGAAAGAAGAAACCAACTTTAGGGTGGGAGAAAGGGGTCAAAAAGGCAAACCTTTGTCCTTTGCGAATTTAATATTCAAATTATCTTCCTGGATTCTGTACTTAATACGATTATTCATTTTGGGGCAAAGGGGGAAAACAAACTTTTTTGTTCTTTAACACTCACTGACAAATTTTAACTTCTTCATAACCTAAAGTGTCTGGTTAAATATTATGATCTATCATTTTTCTGTAGGCGTCCTAGTTGGACACGTCCTAGTTGGTGGGCTAGAATAGAAAGCTGGGCAGGTTGCTAGAAGAGGCGAAAATAGCTGCCCCTTAGTGGGGAGGCAGAGAAGGCTTCATGCAGAAGATGGCACTTGAGCTGAATCCTAGCAGGATTCCAGATACAAGAACAGCATTTGCATGTCTGAGTGGATTCGGCATGTTTGAAGATTGTAAATAGTTCCATACAGTGAGAAGGAGATAAAGCCATGGTTCTTCATATAATGTGCTCTGCTAACAAAGAAAATTTTCTTACAAGAATATAAGTTCCAAATACTATAAATTCCAATGTGAATATATATAATTTCTTAATAGAGCTACCTGGACAAGCTTTTAACATCAGACTTTCCAGAGGTAGGTTTGGGGAATCTGTACCTTTACAAAGCTTATCTGGTGTTTGGGAATTATAGTTGTTGTTTATGGCAAGCCATCGGAGAAGGGTGCTCTTAATTATCTCACTTGTATGGGTCATTAGTTTTATTCTCTGCCGTAGGGGTCTGTGACATCCCTCCCTTCGGATCCCCACGGCTTCCCAGAAGAACTGCGGGAGGGGAAGAAGCCTGCCCCCACTTCAGGCCATGGCAGGTGGGGTGGAGGTTTCTGGGCAATCCCTAGTGTGGCGGCACCATCTCAACCCGAATGGGATTCGGACTGCAGCCCACTGTGTGTGATCGTGAGTGAAACAGACACTACTTCACCAATGTGCTGTTTATAGTCCACGCCTGGGACGTAGGGAAGATCTTTATACTTACTTTTCAAGGTCCTAGTGCACTTCCTAAGTGAAGTAAGCACTATGCAAATTTTTTAATCATAATTCTTTTGCTATTTCAAAAAAAATTGGTTTAACATCTATAGATCTAAAATGAATATATTGTTTGGGTGTTTTTTGTTTTGGTGTGAATAAATGTAGTTCATATGCTTCTGACTTTCTTTTATCCTCATAATGTGTTATATGGACTAAGTGGTGTGGATGTGTAAATGTAATCAGTTCATTTTCAGTCCAGACTTGTTAAGACAATCACTTGTGAGTAGGATCTGCACACCGTATACTTAAATACTCCTCAGATGCTTCCAAAGTGTAGTCCAGGTCGAGAACCACTCCCAGTCTCCCTGACCTGTCTTGACCACTCCCCTGCTTGCTCCCAGTGGGCCAACCCCATTGCTCAAACGGACTGAGCTTGTTCCTGCCTCCAGGTCTTGGTCGTAGTTGTCCCCATCAGCTTTCCAGACACCAAATTACATTTACTTGTCTTGCCTCCTCAGGCTCCTCTTGGCTGTAAGTGTCACAGACTTTCTTTGTTTTTGATGACTTGGACAGTTTTGAGGAGCACTCATCTGGTATTTTGTAGAACATCCCTCAATTAAATTTTGTCTGATATTTTACTCATGTTTTACTGGGACTATGAGTTATGGAAAGGAAGATCACAAAGGAACATGCCATTGTTGTCACATGCTATCAAGGGTAGATGCTATTAACATAACTCATCACTGATGCCGTTAATCTGGATCATTGATCAAGGCGTGTTTGCCAAGTGTCTCCACTGAAAAGTTGCATTTTCCCCTTTTCCATACTTACTCTTTAGAAGCAAGTTACTAAGGATGGACCACACTCAAGGGACTGGGTGTTAAGCTCTACCTTTTTGAACAGGGAGTATCTATACAAATTATTTAAAATTTTATATGAGAGATTTGTCTCTTCACCATTTATTTATTTATTAAATAATTTCTTTCTATTAGTATACACTCGGGAATATTTATTTTATAATACTACATGTATTTATTTTGTTGCTCAAATTGTTCTAGCTTTGACCATTGTGAACTTTTTTTGTAGGATGGCTTCTCATGTTTTTGAAATGCCTGCATCATTTGTGACTCTACAGAATGCTCCAGGCTCATCTTTCTTTTAAAAATTTGTATTTATTTATATAGAGAGGAGAAAGGAAAGAGAGATGGAGAGAAATATCAATGTGTGGTTACCCCTTGTGTGCCCCCACCCACAACCCAGGCATGTGCCCTGGACCTGGAATTGAACACGGGACCCTCTTGTTCGCACGCAGGCCAACATTCAATCCACTGAGCTACACCAGGCAGGGCCAAGTTCATCTTGTATATTCTCTGCTCAGTCTTAGAATCAGCCAGTTTTCCAGTGAGCTCTGATTCACTTCATTAGAGACTGGTATGAAAAACTAAGAGCTGGGTGCTGGGGATACTAGTTACTACTAGGGTTTTATTCTGGTAAACTTCTAGGCCTTCCCAGCTGACAAAGCTAGAAAATGTAGGAATCACAGTAACGTAAATATAAATACAAGTTCATGCAGATGTTCCCAATTCATTGTAGTGCCACATGGTTCATTCTAGGCCTCCCCCATCCTTTTGAAGATGTCTGTTGTATAAGAATTCTATCAAAGTGCATTTCTATGTACTATGAAAAAGAAGCCCTAACAGTAAGTGATTAATTAGTGAAAATTTCATGTACTGGAAAAGGCAAATATTAGTACTAATGCCTGAGGGACAGAAGAAGCTATGGCAGACTCACCTGTCAAGTAATATAGTCTTTTCTTGAACTCATGTGATGGACGATGATGCCTGTGGCAAGATGTGGGGACCACAGCAAAACCATCCTTCAGAAGGTGGAGATTCAGCTTGCTGAGTCAATTGAGATTAATAAACAGAATCAGCTGTAAATGTTTGTCAGCCACTTAACTGCAAAAAAAAATTGTCTGCAATTTTATCAGTGGCTCTTCTTGATTTATTTTTTAATTTATTATAATAGTGATGCTTGTAGGAAAAAACAGTTAAAGAAAGCTATCAAGTCAATCTAAAACACCCTTTCCATTTCACTAATCCATCCCTCCTCTCTGTTAAGTAATCAGTATTAAGAATGTTTTAATTATTTTATTTTCTATGAATATTTATGTACACAATATATATATTTAATACTATTTGTATATATCATATATGTTGTATTATCACTTTTTGCATGTAACATTATGTTCTATATTGATACTGATATGAAAAATGCCTGTGTGGGTCATTTTTAAAAACTTTTATTAACAGTTGCCTAACTTATTGGACTGGAGGAATATCTTTCTGAAGCTATTCCTGAAATGCACAGACCTTTGTACCAGAGGTTTTTGATATGATGGTGTAACAAAGTGGTATGTTCCACTCCTCCCAGCTTCTGTGGGAACTCTTCCGTTGATTCTGTTTCTTCTTGTCTCATCTTCATCAACCATATAGACATCCAGGCTCCACCCTCCACTGAAGGGGGCTTTTGAAGGGAACTTCTGAGTGCCCACGTTCTTTCAAAAGAGAAGTTTACCACGTGGGATGAGCCAGTCAGAGAGCTATGCCAAATCTGGGAGCTGTGATAGATACCGTTTTTGCTGGAGGTTACCAAGGACCAGGCTGGCTGACATAGCCGGGTAACACTCTCCGGAGACAGTAAGGATGGCTGACAGCAACACTGGGCCACCTCCCATGGATCGCAGCTCCCCTGGCGCTGGTTACCCTTTGGACTAGGTCTCAGTCTTTAGTGTACACCAGGATCGCCTGGAGGGTTTCTGATTCTCTAAGAATTTACATTCTTAAAGAGAATTTGTATTTCTAATAAATTCCCTTGTAATGTTATTCCACAATTAGGGAAAACCCAGTGCTCTCTTGCTAACTCCATATCGGTCTTTGTGCTTATGGGGAATTTCTAACGTACTTTAGGGAATTAAACTCACTTTGCAATTATATATCAGAATCTTTCTGTCTCAAACTAAATCAGCAGTTGTTACCATTTCAGTCACTTTCTTTCTATAATTCAGTAGTGACTATTTCTCTTTCCATAGCAGTCAGGGACACAAAAGCTATTGTTGGATTAAAGATAAGACCCTAAAAATATAAGAAGCAGGATTTGATTATGAGTAAATGGGGATAGAGGATGGAGAAATTCATCAATTGATATTGAGCTGCTATCCCACTAAAATCTCAGACTGTTGCTTTATAAATGCATGTTGCTCTGTCACATGCTTTTTACATGGTGTTCTCTACCAAATTAAAAGATATCTGATGACTATGCACATAAAATCTCACTAGGAATTGTGGTCTACATTATCAACTCTACAATGATTTTTGTTATTTCATTGTAGTGTGCACACTGTCTTCTATATAAGGAGTGAGTTTAAGAAGTTTCTTTACTACCAAGTAATAGTTTAGAGGATGACTATGAAAATAAGTTTAATCCTTTCATTAGAATGCATGGCAGATAGTAACAATGATAATAGCTACCATATGGAGTCATTGCCATCTGCAAGGTAGTTGCCAAGCACTTTACTTGAGGTAGCTCCTTTAATAATGTCATATGGAAACACACGAATAAGTCAGACTCATCATGCAAAGAATCAAAATGAGCATAGTTATGGCTTGAAAGAAGAGGCCTATGTGTGTTAAGAAACCTCCTTTGAATAAAGTGTATTGAAAAATAACTTCAGTAACTTCAGTAACTTTTGCTGAAGAAACACTTTTGAGAAATGAAAGATTTTCTAAGCTGCAGTGACAGAATATTTGTGACAATTGAAGGATTCTTTCTTCAGAGTATTTTCTTTAGCTGGAGTAGTTGATGGGGCAAATTAATGGATGTTTATTCAAGTTTTTAAACATCTTTTGGAAGCATATCAAACATGAGCAAATCTTAAACTTGCAGTTAGAGGGATTTTCACAAAGTGATCACCTGTGAAGCCAGCAGCCAGATGAAGAAGCAAGTGTCACAGCCCCCAGCAGCCCCCCTTGTGCTTCCTCCCAACATCCATCACCTAAAATGATTGGTGATTTCTCACCTTGATTTCCAACATCATAGGTGACGCGCACCTATTTATGAACTGATCACCTCATTGTAACTTCAGTTTTATCAATTTGCATGATTCTATAAAAGATGGCAATTTGAGACATATTTCTGTAGATAACGTTTGGATACTTTTAACAGTAGAACGCAAATCTGAGGCTACCTCATTTTGAGTGATTTTTTTCCATGTATTCTTTATATCACCGTGAGATCAAAATAAGCTCTAATTTTTCTTTTTTCCTTCTCAACTTAAAAATGGCCTTTGATGTTATTTGGTAAGGGCTTCAAAGGCATTTTATGGCCAAAAGTAGGGGAACTACACTAGTCAGAACTTCTTAGGCCGGTCAGGAGGCATGGTGCACCTTCCGGTGGGAGTTCACACAAAGTGCCCCAGGGGACTGTCTGGCTGGCACCTGGCTGAACTGAGTGTGCATTTTGGGAAAGCCAGATAGAATTAGCCAAGTGGTGAAAAATGTCATTTCTCATCAAACTTCTGTTTTTTCTTTAGGGAAAAAAAATCCACTCTTCTGGACCATTGCTGCTGGAGACCTTGACAAAACCCTGAAAAAGTCGACTGAGCAGATGAGAAATGTTTTAAAAGTCACTTTGCCTGCACTCAAAGTGTTGTCACATGCCGGGGACTTCAGCAGAACCATGCAATGAGGTGTTCATCTCCTAGGGCCCCTTTACATTTACAGCTTATACCAACAGGTGAAGAAACAATCAGAGGCCAGCTATTTAGTCAGAGGATTGGGTGAAGGCGATCAGGAAGCACAAATCCAGGGCCACGTGCCTAGGCCCACATAGGACTCTGTGTCTCTCTGGACTGCCAGTCCTCAGGAAGTGCTTCAGGGCAACCTGCAATTACCGACAGAGATTGCCCTTTTCAATGTAGTACAAAGTCATCTCCATTGCTGATATTTGGAAATGTAGAAATTTAAGATTTATTTTGGACCACTTAGGAAGGAAGTAGTTTGACTTGACTTAATCTTGTAATTCTCCGGGTTGCCACTGATACAGGTCAGAAGAAAGGCAAAGCACCAGGAGGTGCATGAAGACTCAGACTGACTACACGCTGACTCGGACATCGCCCTAATGCGGCTGAGCTCGCCTCTGGAGTTGGCCTCTGTGGTGAGGCCGGTGTGGCTTCCTCACTGCACAGAGCCTCCGAGCCTCCGGTTCTCTCCGGGATCTGCGCTGTGACTGGGCAGGGAAGTATTAGCGGACATAAACATTTTACATTTGCATAAACTTTAGTGCAGGTTGGTAATTTGGAAAATTTGTCATGGAAATGATATAAGGCAGTATCTGCTTTAACCTTTCTTCCTTCCCAAAGCTAGAAACCATGGTTTATTTGGTGTGATAGGTGATCGAGTTAGAGAATGAGCTATTTTCTATTTTCCCTTTAGGGTGACTCATTATGAGCAGGCTAGGCCTACAATCCCAAAAGCCAGATAAGGTTTTTAGGATTGCACTACTCTGTCGCACTACTAAACTCTGACTCAGCAGCACAGCCCAGCCACAGGCAGTGTGACAAGTGGGCGTGGCTCTGCTCCAACAGACTGCTCACTCACGAACTTTAAATTTTATATAATATTTATGTGTCATGAAATATTACTCTTATTTGAGTTTTTCCCAACCATTTAAAATGCACATACCATTATTAGTTCCCAGATTGTAGTAAAGAGACCCTGGGATGGGGTGGAAGGTGCTGGAACGCATTGGCCCGCTGTCTGGTTTGCAGACTGCTGGGCTAGTTACAGAGTGCTTACAGCTGCAATAATTCAGATCATACCAAATGATCTGAATAGGTCAATGTTTGCATATTGCCTCTTTGCACAGTAAAAATCATTTTCTACCATATTTTCCTTCTGCTTCTGTGTCATTTATTTGGAATCTGTGAGCTTGAAGGAGAGGATTTATCTTCATGCACAGTGTTGATGTTCAAAGCTCCTGTACTACCTGCAGCCAAACTGCTTTTCCCCAAAGTCTTTGCAACCACCATGTAGGAGACTTTTATCCTCTCTGTTTTGCAAATGAGGAGCTTATGGCCCAGAGTTATACAATGTACTAATATCCCAAGACTACTAAGTAACAAAGGTAGGATTTAAAATCAGCCATGGCCCAGCTGATAATTCTCAACTTCCCAGCCTGACTTGGGCTCTGTGTAATTTGGCCTCCACTTAACTGTTCAACTTCATTTCCTCCTTTTGTCCCTTCAGACACCGTGGTCTTCCTTTCTCTTAAACACCAAACTTATTCTGCTTTCTGAAGCTCTGCACTTCGTTTTCTTCCACTTAGAACATGGTGATGGGACTCGCCAGCGGCCTCCTCCTCATTTCACTCTCCATCTCCAATGTCACTCCCCTTCTCGGCCCCCTGTGCTGCAGCAGGCCTGTTCTGCACCTACTTTCTACACTACCCACTGTGTCGTCTCATTGTACATGCGCATTCTTGGCATGTTTTTATGTGATCATTTTCTGCAGCCCATCCCTTAGAGGGGGAACCTCCGGGGGCAGATCTCTGTCTAATTCAGCACCCTCTCCCCAGAGCTAGAAGTTTACCCAGATTAGAGTGAAAAGGAAATATTTACTGACAGACTGGTTGCAAAGCCCCTGAATAAGTATACCCATTCTCTGAAACCTTCAGCCTTTGCCAACTTCATGACCACCAGGTGACTGAGAGGTGCTTACAGTCTTATGGAAGAGGAATCTATTCCTTCTGACTCAAAGAAAATGAGTTCTTGATTTTGAGACATGGTAAGCAACACCGATGGGAGGCATGGTCCCTGAAAAGAGGAGTTTAAATACATTAAAATACTTGTGTGTTAGATTAGTGTATCAAGAACAGCATAAGATTTGGTCCAAACTAGGCTGCAGTACTGGTTCTGTCCCACAGGTGCTGTGAGATCGAATTTCCAGAGCTGTGCCCTTTCTGTGTGTGAGACCAGTGCGAGCCCACCCCATAATGCTGTGGTACTGTTGGGTGCTTGCTATATAAATGTAAGGTAATTTTTATTTTGTTCCAAAAGGTTTAAGACTATAAAATAGTAAACCTAATTGTTGTAATGTCATGAATCTAATGTGATAGAATTTCATGCAAAATATGTGTTAAGACAGGCATGATGGAGGGTCAATTATGAGAAGAAATTCTTTAGTGTCATTTTAAATTGGAGTTGAGTTTAGGCGACTGTGTCAATTGAGGAAAAAAGAAATATGATTTTAATTTATATTAGGAAATCATAGGAACATATTGCTATCGCATATTTATAATATATATTTACATAATGTATATATTTGTAATCATATCAATCACCTATAACACCAGTTCATATCTTGGTTTTTTTTCTGAGTTTTTATGTAGCATTGTTTAAAACACTAATATTTAAATTAGAAATAAGCTAGAAAAATGTTTCTGGTCTTGTTCTCTTGCCAATGTCCTTCCTTCACAAAGATGTCACATCTGGAAATGAAAATACTCTGCATTTTGTGTATATATGTATATACATATATATATACTTATTTATTTATTTATCTATTTATTTATTTTAACTGTTGTTCAAGTACAGTTTTCTGCCTTTTACTTCCATCCCAGCCCACCTCCCCAGTGCTCCCCAACTCCCTCCCATTTCCCACCCCCTTACTTTTTATCCATGTGACCTTTATACTTGTTCCTGTAAACCCTTCCCCTTTTCCCCTGAAATTCCCTCCCCTCTGCCCTCTGGTCACTGTCAGCCTGTTCTCAATTTCAGTGTCTTTGGTTATATTTGCTTGTTTGTTTGTTTTGTTGACTAGGTTCCTGTTAAAGGTGAGATCATGTGGTATTTGTCCTTCACTGCCTGGCTTATTTCACTCAGCATAATGCTTTCCAGTTCCATCCATGCTGTTGCAAAGGGTAGGAGCTCCTTCTTTCTTTCTGCTGCATAGAATTCCATTGTGTAAATGTACCATAGTTTTTTGATCCATTCATTTACTGCTGGGCACCTAGGTTGCTTCCACCTCTTGGCTATTGTAAATTGTGCTGCTATGAACATTGGGGTGCATAGGTTCTTTTGGATTGATGTTTCAGGGTTCTGAGGATATAATCCTAGCAGTGGAATTGCTGGGTCAAAAGGCATATTCATTTTTAGTTTTCTTAAAAATTCCATACTGTTATCCATAGTGTCTTTACCAGTCTGCAATCCCACCAACAGTAAACTAGGGTCCACTTTTCTCCACATCCTCTCCAACACTTGTTGTTTGTTGCTTTGTTTATGATGGCCATTCTGACCACTGTAAAGTGGTATCTCATTGTGGTTTTAATTTGTATCTCTCTGATAACTAGTGATACTGAGCATCTTCTCATGTGTCTCTGGATCCTCTGTATGCCCTCCTTATATTTTTTGATTTAGCATTTTACACCAGCTCAGGCACAATGGAATGATTGCAATTATGTTAGTGCAGAGCAAGTCTGAGCTTCAATATTTTTAACCTGACTTCTTGCATCCATCATGAAGCTCTCTTTCTGAATCAGTTTCTTAATTAGATGGTAGCCTGGTGAGTCGCCTATAGCAGATTCAGGTGCCTGTGTTAGAGAGAGAGAGATCTACACACGCACTTACTATTCTCCTCACCCAGGAAGGATGAAAGAGAGGCTGATCTGTGCTGGCCTTGTAGCTGGAGGGGGAGAGGGCTGTCAGGTGAGATTTTGCAGAGGAAGACAGGAAATCGTCATCTGCTAGAGAGTCTCCTTGCACAAGAGGAGATGACTCTCAAAGCCACAGACAGCTCTTAGTCTGTACTTCATAGCATCATGCAAGGTCCCCTCGCCCAAAGGCCAAAAGGAGGACAGGCAGAGTGAGTTACTGTATTCAAGCTTGCTGAGATGGTAGAGGTGGGTGGTAAGAATCTACAGCCACGAGAGCAGGGGGATGCAGCAAGGGGCCATGAGAAAGTAGATGATGCAGCACCACTAAACTGGCCTGCAGGTGGGAAGATGTTTTCAGATATATTTCAGGCTTTGGGAAGAGAGAAACAAGCAAATAAGGATTCTAAATTAGTGTATCCTGTTTATCACTGAAGAGTTTCCTTGTTTTAAATTCTTGTTAATCTTCAGTAAACTCACACTTGTTTTTCTACCCCCATGGAGTAAAATAGAATAAGCATGAAGAAAATAAGAATCTTTGAAAAAATGGTTTTTGTATACAGTGAAAACCAAATCGCAGAGCACTAGTTTAATTTCAGTGATATTGTAGATGTACTCACAGGGGCAATGACACTGTTGGCAAGTTCAGAATCATGTAATAAAAAGACAGAATATGAGCAACTACCTCACAAACACCAGCTTTACTATTTATGAAGCCAACTAAGGAGTGAGATTTTAGATGTACAACCGAAAAGAGTTTCTAACACTCTGTAGCCCACCTTCAATATCTAGTGTGGATTTGAGCAGCCCACCTAAAGGAAAGTGGTGATCTCCACAAGTTTCACACTGGGATAGAGTAGAGAGGAAAGAAATAACAAATCTCTAGTTTTTACAGCTTTTTGGTGGCCCCTCCACCAATCAAGAAACATGGACCAATGAATGTCACCTCTATGGGGAAAAAAACTGGGTATTAATCTCAATAGAAGTCCTTCCACCTGAAAGCATAAAGAGGGAAGGGAAGTGATCCCTTCTTCCCTCCGTCAATGAGATTTATGAAAATCTGACAGGACAGCTGATGGCACCTGGGATAACCGTGTGAGGTCCCCAGGTGCCTACTTTGAAGGGGACTAAAGTATCATTGTCCTATGTACAATGTTTCTTGTATCTTGTATCTTCTTCGATAAATGTCTTCATTTTTCATATTACATGGCTGGATACCTTCTGGATAGACCACATATATTAAAATGAAGAAGTCTGATGTCTTTAAATTTGTTCTTTCTCAGGATTATTTTGGCTCTTTGGTCTTTTGTGGTTTCATATGAATTTTAGAATATTTTTATTTCCGTAAAAGGTGTCACTAAAATTTTGACATAAACTGCATTGAATTTGTAGATAGCTTTCATTCGTATGGACATTTTAATAATATTAATTCTTCCAATCCATGAACGTGAGATAGCTTTTCAATTATTTGTGTTTTCTTCAATTTCTTTTGTCAGAATCTTATAATTTTCAGTAGAGAGCTTTCACATTCTCAGCTGAATTTATTAGTAAGTATTTTATTCTTTTTGATGATATTGTACATAAGATTTTTTGAATTTCTTTTTTATATATTTTGTTAGTGTATAGAGACACACTGATTTCTATATGTTCATTTAGTATCCTAAAACTTTACTGCATTTGTTGATTAGTTCCAACAGTTTTTTGGTAGAGTCTTTAGAATTTTCTATATATAAGATTATATCATCTGCAAACAGTTTTACTTCTTCCTTTTTTGATTTGTATGCCCTTCTAAAATTTTGTCTAATTGCTTTGGCAAAGGCCTCCAGTACCATATTGAATAGTGATAGTGAGAGTTGGTACCCTAGTCTTGTTCCCGATCTTAGATGAAAATGTTTCAACCTTTCACTGCTGAATATGATGTTAGCTGTGTGTAGCTATGTATAGATTTTATCATGTTGAGGTATGTTCTGTCTATATCCAATTTGTTGAGAGATTTTTTAATATCATGAACATATAATAGATGTTAGATGCTTTTTCTATACTAACAACATGATAATATAATTTTAACTTCCCTTGTATTAATGTGGTAAATCACACTTACTGATTTGTGTATGTTGAACCATCCCAGGGTCACTGGGATAAATCCCACTTGATCATGGTGTATTTTCCTTTTGGATTCATTTAGTTTTGCATTTAGTTTGCTAGTATACATGTTCCTTGACTTATGATAAAGTTACATCCTAAGAACCCCATCATAAGTTGAAAATATATTTAAGTGGAAATGCGTTTAATACGCCTAGTTGACCAAACATCATAGCTTGGCCTCAGTTACCTTAAATGTGCTCAGAACATTTACATTAGCCTACAGTTGGGCAAAATCATCTCACTGCCATTGACCAGCATCACTAGAGAGCAATATGATAATACTGTATATTGCTAGCCCAGGAAAAGATTATAATTCAAAGTATAGTTTTTACTAACTGCATATTGCTTTTTTACCATCATAAAGTCAAAAACTGTAAGTCAAACCATTGTGAGTCAGGGTCTGTCTGTATTTTGTTGAGAACTTTTGTATTATAATTATCAGGGATACTGGGCCGTGATTTTCTTGTCTTGTAGCATCCTTATCTGTCCTGGGTCTCAGGCTAATGCTGGCCTCATAAAATGAGCCTGGGAGTGTTCCCGCCTTTTCAATTTTTTTGAAGAGTTTGCAAAGAATTGGAGTTAATTCTTTAAATGTTTAGTAGATTCATCAGTGATGCCATCTGGTCCTGGACTTTTCTCTGTTGGAATGTTTTTGACTACTAAATCAATCTCCTTACGTGCATTGGTCTGTCTGATTTTTTATTGCCTTATGATTAAGACTTGGCGAGTTGTATAATTCTAGGTCACATGCCCTGCTTGATGACAAGGATACATTCTGAGAAATATGTCATTAGGAGATTTCCTCTTTGTGCAAACATCATAGATTGTACTTATGCAAACCCAGATTGCATAGCCTACTACTGTAATAGCATGTGCTCTATTTTTACATGACTGGCAGCACAGTGGGATTGTTTACACCCACATCACCACAAACATATAAATAATGCATTGCACTACCATGTTAGGATAGCTACAATGTCACTAGGTAATAGAAATTTTTCAGTTTCAGGAAAATATTATGGGACCACCATCATATATGTGGTTTGTCACTGACTAAAATATCATTATGTATGGCCTGGCTGCATTTCTTCCAGGTGGTCTGATTTGGGGTATATCATTTATTTATTATAGTCTCTTTATATTTCTGTGGTATCCGCCATAATGTCTCCTCTTTCATTTGCAATTTTATTTATTTGAGTCTAAGGTATACAAATTGACATAGAATGACTTTTAAGAATTTAAAGAAATGCAGTATGAATAAATTATTCATTATTCCTATTCCAAAATTAAAAAACAGGAGCTCTGATTAAAGCAAATTTCTAGAACATGTTTCCTTGGTGTTTCAGGGAGACGCTGGTGGACCATTAGTGTGTAGACATGAAAACGATCTCTTTTGCCTCTGTGGCTTCATCAGCTGGGGAGCTGGCTATGCCCGACCAGGGAAGCCAGGTGTATTTGCCAGGGTGAGTGTCTTCCTGGACTGGATTCAGTCCCCAAAATGGTAAGTATCTTTCCAATAATTATAAAAACCATGTCTCTTTCTTTAGATTTCCATCAGCATTAAGGAAGAGAAGACTATAAAGTAATATTTTATTTATTTTAGTTTTAAAACCCATTAAAATGCACATTAAAGTTCTGTAAGAATATGTTCCCCCTTATACAGAGTTAGGGTAAAGCTGACTTTTCCTCAGGCTGTTCGAATACTTGACATGCATTTCCCTTTAACAAAAGCGGCTTTGGTACAGACTATGTGTGGTCTCCAGGCACTCATTTTTATTTATTTTTACCCTGTTCTCTCCAGATACAAATTTTGCTTCACTTCAGATAAATAATAAAAGCAAAACCTTAACAAGGAAACAATGGCCACCACTCATAACTTCAACAGACAGTGCATCTGGGCTGGGTAACGGATATTCATGTTATCCCATTAAAACAGCTAGTAAGAATTTAGCAAAAAGCATTCCATGTCTGGGCCCCCTTATTTTCCTTGGAACACTCTAAGCTCTGTGTTTTCATTCTGTTAGGGAGTTCAAACTGAAAGAGATGATATTTGTGATTGTGATGGTCTGGGGATCTTTTCTACTTCATAGATACAGTGGTCACAGGTTAAAAAAAATCTTTTGATTGTGAACAACTGCCTGAATTTGAAGTGCAGAGCATTATTTTGACCTCTGAGCTATTTATTCCTATATAAACAAAGGTTCTTATACTTTCAGGTGTCTTGTTCATGTAAGACTCCAGCTATGAGAACCCCAAGACTAGCATGAGGGTTACTGTCTCTCTCGATTCTCCCATAATTACTGTCTGTTTTCTAATAGGATTTTTATTGTTAGTGAAGAACAAACAGTAGCCTGAGGTTTTGAAGTCTGTAGTAGACTTGTGGGGAGATGAAAATTCTATAATATCATCATTCTTGGTTTTCTAATGGTCAGGATCTTTCCCCTTTCATTTAGCTCTTTCCCACCCACTCCCACATATATTTGACCTAGTATACAGTAAAAGGAGTTGGAGAAAAATTGAAGAAGATGCAAGCAAAGGGGGTTGGGGAATTGTTAGATCGATGACTCCAGCAGAAGAAAGGGATGAAATCTAGTGCTTGGCCAGAGGGATTGGTCTTAGGAGCAAAGCGCAGTACCTCCATAATTGCCAAATGGAAGGCAGAATATTCAGTCACTGACACAGGTGTATGGGTACATGTAGAGATGGGAGCTTCTGGCATTTTTTTCTAATTGCTCCTGTTTTCTCAGCAAATGCAATAGGGCATTATGAAGGAAGGTTCAAGAGTTTTAAAAGGGAAAAAAAGGGAAAGTATGAAAAAGTTCTCTAAAAAAAGTGGCTAAGTGCTTAGACTAAGAAAATGTAGTAGAATTATTGGGCAGCATAAAAACCTCTGAGATTAATGATGATAAATTCAGAAGGAGACCAACCAGTTGACTTAATTGTACATTCTCCTCTGTAGACACTGAGCACTACCACATAGATGCAGAGCAGGCAGAGAATTCATTCAGTTGGTATGGATTTTCCCAGGGATGCAAGGGTATGAGGGAAGTGAGAGTATGTGTGAAGAAGGGACTAAAACAATGGGTCATTGGAATTGAAGTAGGAAAGGAGTAAACAAGGATGTGAGATGAGTCAGGGACCAAGGAAGAGGGGACAGGGTAGGTAGTTAGCAATTTTCCAGCTTTTTCATGCCATGGCACACAAACACAGTGTACTAAAATTCTTTGGCACACCAAAAAACATATGTTTTGCTGATCTAACCAAAAAGTTAGGTATAATTTTGATTCATTCACACCGGAAAGTTATTGATGAGTTGGTTCTTGACATTTTTTTAATTTGACAGTCTAAGGAAAAAGAGGTCAGTGCTCCTCACTAAATAGTCAGGTATTGCCTGTTTTAAAATTGTTGTGGCACACTATTATGCCATGGCATACCGGTGGAAAATCCCTGGGATAGTTGAATTGCAAGTCTCAAAAGTTGTAAGGAGTTGGAGGAACTTAAAAGACAGAAGTTTATGGTTGGAGACCGTGGTGCTTAAAATTGAGATTATGAAAAGCTTGGGGTTTCTTCTAATGAACAGGCCTCTAGGGACTGACCTTTGGGATGAGGCTGAGCTCGGGTCGGGGGAAGTTGAGAAATCGACAAGCTTCAGTTCTGGAATCATCATCTCCATTATAGGGATACTGAAATCAGCAAGCGTTGGAGGAATAGTGTGGGAGGGAATGTCTGCTAAAATCTAGGAGTGAAAAGGAATAACTCAGAGACCAGCTGTGGGCGATATGGTCTGACAACACAAGAGTCAAAGAGTCAGAACAAGAGTCAGAGTCATATTTAGATTAAAATGAAATCTGGAGCCCTGGCTGGTATGGCTCAGTGAATTGAGTGCCGGCCTGTGAACCAAAGGCCACAGGTTGGATTCCCAGTGAGTCAGTTGCCTCAGTTGCAGGCCAGGTCCCCGGTTGGGGGCATGCAAGAGGCAAACGACTCTCTCACACATCAGTGTTTTTCTCCTTCTGTTTCTCCCTTCCTTCCTCCCTCTCTAACAATAAATAAATATAATCCTTAAAGAAATGAAGTCTGGAATTGGGGTTGAGATAGAGAGCAAACTTAGGTCCAGGATTCTAAAACCTAATGATTTCAATGGGTTGGTTGGCTTAAATAATTTGAATGTGTACCTAAGTAATTTAATGCAGGTACAGCACTGAGAATATGGGTGACATGAGCAGGGAGAAGGGTCAATAAGTGGTAGTGATGTGTTCTTTGACCTATCCCATTCAGGCTATTGGAAAATAAATGTTAATATGTAGAGAAAATATTTCTCACTTGTATATGTTCAGGAATTCTTATGCATGCTGAAGAACTTGGAAAGTTTTACACATGAATCTGCATTGTTTTATTTTAGTTCTAGGACTATTGTATGAGAGAAAAATGTTAGGACTATGCCACATTTAACACCCACCTGCTCTCACCACTCGTTTTTTATGTAAGGGAATTAATGCATCTTAGCTATTTTTTAATTGTTCCCCATTTATAAAAAGCAGTGACTGGTTGGGAATTCATGAATTTTTATGATTTGTCTCCTTTTTCAGGCATATTTGTCACAGAGGATTCATGTGGAGAAGAAAAAAAATTGAAAAGATCGGAAAGACGTATTAGGGGCAGACTATGAAAGACATTGTGCGGTGTACTACTTTAGCTGCTCTAAACAAAGAAAGAACTCCGTTCTTCTGTTTCATACACTGTTCCCAGATTGGAGGGCATGGTAGGGGAAGATTAGAGACTGGTAAATCAGTTAGGTTACTATTAAGTCAAAGTAGACTTAATAAGCCTATAAATTACATTGCTGTAGCCATATAAATGAAAAGGAGAATTCGCAGAGAAGCAACAGAAGACTGGGCAGTGGACTAGCATCCTGAATTCTTGCAGCATTTTATTTCCCTTCTACCACCCTTCATTGCTACCTGGTTAGATTAATAATTTTTCTACATAATACACATATAATCATGTATATATTAACAAATACATAATAAAATGTGTTAATTTAAGTATAAGTATTTCAATATGTAATTGCTCGGAAGACTTTTATCGAGGGACTAAATAGGCATAAGGGAAGAAGGAACAGTCAAGGATGTAACCTGAAGAAGGAGAAGCTGGTTACAAAATCAGTGGGCCAGAGAGCTACCGGCAGCTGCAGCTCTGCAGGTATCCCTGCAGGTCTAATGGCAGCCTTGAACTTAGAAATAAGTCAGAGAAATGAGAGATATTCAAGAGCTTTCAGCAAATTCTTCTTTTCTTGACCTCAATCACAAATTGCATGCATGTAATCATTAGTCCCAGTAGGATAAATGCTCAGTGAAATTAGTAAAGATTTAGGAACAGATCTTTAGTTGCATCTCAAAGAAGGAAAGAAATGAAGACATGCCGGAGTAGAGAGTGTAAGCCATTGTGCATTTTCTAAGAAATTTTAAAAATTCAGTTAAAAGTCATTTTACATCATTATAATTTAAATTCTACTCTTGCAATCTCATGTCAAGAAAATAGGACACATTAAATGGGATGATCTTTTTTACCGAAGGACTTGTGACGAAGTATAGTAAAGTTTTACTTTCCTCCTTGTAAACCTAATTTTTCCAACTTTGTGATAGAACCTCATTTTTCTCGGCTTTGCTTATGTTTGTCCCTGGCATCTGTGGGTTCTGAACTGCAGGCTGTTTCTCTGAAGTGAAGCTAGAAGAGCCCAGAGGCTTTTAATCAACTCCAAGGTATCCACTGGGTTATCAGGGAAAGCTGGAATGTTCTTGGATGCTCAGAGCCTCACCAAGCAGTACAGCCAAATTTACAGTCAAATACCTGTCACTCCCTGGGTCTCATATGTGTCAAGACTCAGCCCTGATTATTTATGAAGAAGGCCACAGGGAGAGAAGGACATCAGGTAACCCTTACTGGCGTTTAAACTTCAGGCTGGAACTCTGTTCTGCAGAGGCGGTCCTTGGATTTGGTAATAATACCGCCAAAATGGAGATCCATGTAATAGGCATGCCTTTTTTCCTAGGCCCACCTAATATGTTCAAAACATACAAAACAGGTATACTAAAGGTTGAGTGTGTGTGTTTGTATTTTATTGCTTGTATAGTCAAGGGAAAAAAAGGCAAAAGGGGCAGACTTCTTTAAACATACCAAAAACATGCCAGAATGCCTGAACTGTGCATATGCAAGAGTCAAGATGGTTAAAAATGCGGGGTGGGAAGGCAGTATTAAATTTTTAAATGAAGCAAAATATATTAAAGGCTTTTAAATTGGCAGAATTAAAAACATTGTTAGTAACATGCCAGCTGTCATTTTATCTCATGTGCCAGCAAACCCATTTTTGTTCAACAAAATGAAGATGCCACATCTTGTCTGTGTCGGTGTCATACAGGCCTTTTGTCTCTCAGTGAAGAGGAAAGTGTTGGAAGTAATATGGTTAATGGGGAAACCTGGAATGAAATGTTTGTGTGTATGGTGCACATACCTATGCATGTGCTCGATTCAGGAGTACATGGAGGCCTGCGAAATTGCTTTGAAAGTGAGATTATTTTCTTAGGTTTACATTAGGGTGAGAGGTTAAATCATTAACTTAAAAGGCAAACACAAATTTTTCACATTTTTTAAATTGTTGTTCAAGCATAGTTGTCTCCATTCTCCCCCCATCACTCCCCCCACCCCGGCCAGCCCCACCTCCCACTCTTGATCCAAACTCCCCTTTGGTTTTGTCCATGTGTCCTTTATACACATTCCTGAGAGCCCTTTCCCCCCATTGTCCCCTCCCACCTCCCCTCTGGTTACTGTCAGTTTGGTGTTAATTTCAATGTCTCTAGTTATATTTTACTTGCTTGTTTTGTTGATTAGGTTCTCACCTATAGGTGAAATTATATGGTATTTGTCTTTCACTGCCTGGCTTACTTCACTTCGTGTAATGTTCTCCAGTTCCATCCATGCTGTCACAAAGGGTAGAGACTCCTTTCTTTCTGCAGGGTAGTATTGCATCATGTAAATGTACCATAGATTTTGGCTCCACTCATCTATGGGTTTGGCAAAATGGCAGAGGAGTGAGTGGAAGCATTGCCCCCAAGAGAAAAGGCACACACATTTGTTAAATGGATCTTTCTTTCAAAATACTATCTCATTTAGACTTCAGAAAAACTATTAACTGGCCTGTCCAGTAGGGACATCTTTCCCCTACAACCAGACCTCTTAAAACTGCTCAAGGTCTTCTCCTCATAGCTGGATGGAATAAAATCCAAATCCTCACCTACCTTTCTCCTGCCAGCCCCCTAACTCCACATGCTCTGGGCACTTTCATTCTCACCTGAGGGCCCTTGTGCACCTACTTTACCCAGCTGTCCAAAGAGCTTCTTCTCATCCCTGTCCCTCACCCTCAAGTATTGATTAGAATGTCACCTTCCTAATGAGTCCTACCTTGATGGACATAAATTGCATCACCTCCTACCTGTGTACTTCTTAGTGCCCTTTCCTTAGCAGTTATTGACTTCTCATATATTTCGGGTTTTTCTCATACCTGTATCTTCCCCTTTGAATGTGAGCTTCCTGAGGGCTGAAACTTTTGTCTCTTCACTTTAAGAATCCCCAGTGCCTAGAACAGTACCTGACACATGGAGGACACACATGGAATGAAAGCAAGAAAGAAAGAGAGAGAGAGAGAGAGAGAGAGAGAGAGAGAGAGAGAGAGAGAGAGAAAGAAAGAAGAGAGAAAGAGAAAGAAAGATCACCTCCTCAAAGACACCTTATCAGTCTAAAGTGGCATCATTTATTCCCTCCTGACAATCAGTTTCTATCATATTCTGCTAGTTATTTCATTTTTAGCCTCGGTCTTTATGTGAAATTGTCTTCATTTACTTGACTAAAATGAAAGCTTCACAAGAGCAGGGATCTTGCTATTTATTCTGTTCCCTTCTATATCTCCCCAAATTAGGATAACACCTAAAGACTCAGAACATTTTTCACATGAGTGTGTTCTGCTAAATCACTCCTCAGAAAGGCTAAATCAGTTTTTGCTGCCATTAGAAATACATGGGAACCTCTTCCACCATGCCTGTTGCCTAATATATAAATTTGACAGGCACTTTTACTTCTCAAAAATATTGGGTGTATATATTTTTCATATATTGCTTAGCTATTTGTATTTTTTATTTTTTGTCATTGTCATATACTTTTAAGTGTTATTATTTTTATTGGTTTATAAAAGCTTTTATAAATAAAGACATTTTTTTCTTTATCACAAGTTGCAAGTGCTTATTCCTAAGGTTGTGATTTGCCTTTAAATTTTATTATATGTTGGTGTAAACATTCTAAATTTTATTTGCTTAAATATCTTCATACATATCTCTGATCTGTGATTCATCTCATTGCTTTTACGTTTAAAAAATAATTCATCCTGAGTTCTGGAAAAAATTAATTAAAAATGTACTTCTTTAGTTCCGTAAAAATGTATTATATAGTAAAGTAATGCTATACCTGTTTCTTTAAAAATAACTTATTTTTCTTCCAGTTTATATCACTATCTTTATTATATATTAGGTTCTCATATAGAAAGACACATTTTTTCAGGACAAACTTTCTTCTGTCATTATAACCAATTGAAAAACCTGCTTGACTTTTATGTAGACAAACTGAGGAACCACTGTAATTTTTCAACCTGGCATTTGTTCGCTTTGAAATTGTCGTCTTGATCTTTTTAGAATTGTTTTGTCTCCTCAGATAGCTAGCAGAACTGTGGGACTGTAATTGGAACATTACCCTCATTCAAGTTGGATAGTATTCTTCTACACAGCAAAGTGCTACCGTCTCCCTGTGGGAGCCAGCAATTCATTCCAGAGCTGCATTTTTCTCTACTTGCTACAAATAAATATTTGCTCAGTCTGCAAATAGTACTTGAGCATGATTTACCCAAATATGTTACGCCAACTAATCTTTTCTCCTTCGTGGATGCAATCTCCCTCTCTTCCTCTCTGCTAGCCTTTGTGGAGCACCACCTGTGGGCCAGAGAGCGGCTCTTCCTGGTCTTGGGAATCCAGTAGTGAATGGATGGACAAAAAGTGCCTTTCCGTATCCAGCTTATGTTCCAGTGGGGAGAGGACACATAACAGGATAAAATAAAATGTATAATGTGTTGTGTGGGTGAGCTGGTTGTGTGGGTGAGCTGGGAGGGACGTGAAGTGAGGAGGGAGGGAAGTAGTACCTGGGATGTGTGTAGCATGTAGTTGTGCATAGTCTAAGCAGCAAATGTCTTTCTGAATAGGAGGCATCTAAATGAATGTTACAGAATGACACAGTGTCATTCCAATAGTAGATGACTGTGATGCTAAAAAACTCACAGGTTCTTTCGTATTTTCTTTTTTTTTTTAAACAATTTTATTTATTTATCTTTAGAGGGGAAGTGAAGGAGAGAAGGAGAGAAATATCAATGTAGGGTTGCCTCTTGTGCATCCCCTGCTGGGAACTGGCCTGCAACCCAGGCATGTGCCCTGATTGGGAATCCAACCACGATCCTCTGGTTCGCAGGCCCATGCTCAATCCACCGAGCTACACCAGCCAGGACTTCTTTCATATTTTCTTAATCAGCCCTCTGAACTGTTTTAGAATCATGATTATAACTTTTTTCCCATCTTTGTCTTCAGGCTCTCAAAGTAAAGCACTTGAAGAAAGACTGATATGTAGGGGGAAAATTAACTTTCAGATAGAAAAAGTTTTCCATTATGGATCTTCATGGTAAAATATTTTAAATAATTATATTAATTTTGTAGGAGAAAAATGGCATTTCGCCATCACTTAAAGATAAAATAGTTTCCTGCCTACTGCCCTTCAAGGAGTCACGTGACACGGCAGAGTAGGCCATGATGGTATCAGACTCATGGCCCCGGTCCGACCCTCCCCACTCAGCATACAAGTCTGTGACTTTGGGCGAGTCACTTATGTTCTGGAACCCTGTTTCCTCATGTTGTGAACTGGAGTAAATTTATACCTGATGGGTACACACTTGCAACTAATAGACAAATAAGACCCAGGGATCTAATGATGCACAGTTTAGTGAGTGTAGGCAGTAATATTGTATTCTAATCAACAAACTTGCTAAGGTACTAGATATCGATTATTTCTACCACAAAAAAAAAGAAAGAATTATGTGATGTGGTCAAGGAACTAACTATTGCTACAACTGCCATAATTTTGCAACATATAAATGTATCAAATCAACATGTTGTATCCCTTAAATTTACACCAAGTTACATGCCAGATGTATTTCAATAAAAACAAATAATGCTTGAGAATAAATAGTTCATGTACCTAAAATAGAAAACCTATAAAAAAACTTGAGTCCTTGTTTTTTTACTAGATTTTTTTTTTAACATAGGTGAATTATGTGGAAGAAGCCTTTACCCAATGATTTTCATGAGTTTCGGACCACTGGTGAGGGTGGCATTTCATTCCCTGTACAAGGTGCTTTGGGCAGAAGTTATATTGTTTTTAGAATCCAAGGTATGTTTGGTCATTGTAAAAATGTATAAAGTTTAAAGTCAATGCTTTCCTTTTTAGAAATATTCAAAGCTTGTACATTGTGTAAGAAGTCATGTTTCTGTGGGCAATGAGTTAGCAAGTTTGAGGGGATCGAGGTTGGTCAGGCCCAATAGAGAAACTGCTCCATGGACAACTGGATTGACTTGTAAACCATCCAGCACTGTGATTTCTGGACACGGCTAAAACCATGTCCAGAAATGGACATGGTTTTAGTGGGGTGCAAAGCTATGTTTTCTATTGTGATTGCAATTTTACACCATGGAGAGCCTTTTCTGTGGCTGTAATTCTCGTGGGTCAGAAGATCTGATTTGAAATCTCAGCTGGCTCTGGACCGGTTGTTCCCTCTCTATCAGAGTTTTCTTTAGAGGAGTATTATGATAATAAAAAGTTAGAATGAGCTTTAAAACGAACTACACAAACATTAGATGCTAGCATTATAAATGTAAACTATGGAATTCAGAGTTATCTATCAGATTGCATTTTAGGACATATGATTAGTGAGGATTTTGTACTTTTGATGAGCATAGGTAACTGAAAGCTTGTTTCTCTCCTCCGCCCCCAAAATCACTGCAAAGATATATCTGGGGAAAAGTTCAGTGAATAATAAAGAAAAGCATGCATATCACATGAAAAGCGGTTTTTCCCCAAAGCACTATGTTAAGAATGTTGCCAGAACTGTGCGTGGAACCAGCCTTGCCTGCATTTACCACACATTACCTTCCATGGACTGTGCCAAACACAGTGTCAGGGGCCGGTTTCCTGTAGTCTTTGCCCGTTTCAGTTAGAGATGTGTCAGGGACACTCAGCACCTACCGTTAACTTTTTTAGAGAAGAAAATGTGCAGCTTTGATCTGAAAAGGCATATAGCAAACCTTTTAAAAATTAGTTTTATTCTCATGTCCTTTTCTTTCTTTATTTCTAGGTCCAAAATTCAGTAAAATAACCAGAATTCCTCAGAGTTCAAACCAAGAGCACGTGGCCACTTGTAACCATGTTATTCTGACCAAACCAGCAGGAATCATACAGATCCTGACATAGTTTTACAGAAGTACTAGGAGGTGAGGACTGTTAATTATGATGAAAGAAGTATGGGAAGGGTTACTCGACAGGTAATACCCCTTAGTATGTGCCTGAAGCATTATTTTTCACCTGATCTGAGGCCTTTAACATACAAAAGCTAATTGTAAGATTATTCCCATTAATAAATTGTGCTTTTTGAACTAAAGAGATCATTTATTAGGCAAAGTGGAAAGTCAAATCTCAGAGTTTTAGAGATTAAAAAATATATATATATAGAATCTTCTGTCACTTAGTAGGTACTCAGTAAGTGATTCTTAAATTGACATGATGGAAATAGAACTTTCCTGGAATGAAACAATAAGATAAATTTAAACAGATAAGTGAAAAATGAAGTTTTATGTAATATCAATCTGAAGTAAATTTATGCGATTTGGGGGAGTTTGAGGCAATTCAGACAAGAGTAGATCCTTCACTCTAAAAGGATGCCAGTCAGAATTCAGAGTACTTTACATGATTAACCAGCCATTCACCATGATGCACGAATTTACTTAAACCTTTTGACAAAGTAAGAATTAGAGAATCTTTTTTAATTGTTGTAAATTAAAGTAGAAATCTTTCTTTTACCCAAGCACAAAGAAGCAGATATAAAAACTAAGGCATACTAAGTCAATTACAGTGATGCATTAAATTCTGAACAAAGTAAATAACAGTATATGCTTTTTAGAAATCATTTCTGACATTCTTCCATCTGTGCCATAGATGCCACTAGAGGTTATTAGCCTCCAAATCACATCATTTGCCTAGACATTATCAACTTCCACATGAAACCGACGCCCTTGGCCTGCCAGGGTCACCTGTGGGTTAATGAAGGACTTGGATCAGGCTAGAAATTAAGACGTAACTAGTCTCCCATGAAAAACTATGTTTTTTATTTTATTTTATTAAATATTCTTAGACTGTTTTATATTCAGAGTGTGTCTTACAGGTGATATAAACTGATCTCTTATACGATATTGAAATAAGTTACTGTTTTGATTTTTTTAAATTTGTAATTGACACTAACCAAATGCTCCTTCAATTAAGTTAAAAACAAAACCCAACTAACTCTTATGCTGCTTACCTGGGTCATACCTAGATTAAACTTGCCCAGAGATACCAAAAATAAAGGATGAATAATTAGTTTTAAGTGAATGTAGCATAAGAAAATTGGGGCTATAACATCAGTGAGGCAAAATAATATGTATAGGAAAAGGCATTAAATGGGTTTGTCAATTAGATAGTAACCAGAAACCTAATTAAGGTGACAAATTTATTATTCTAAAAAGAGACAGAGAGAGAGAGGAATCTAAAGGTATGTGGATACACAAGTTCAACAGTTCAACCCTGTCGAGACTGAAGTTACTGCAGCTTTCTTGGCCTTTTCCTAATAGTTGCATAATGACTATTGCAGTCCTTGCCAACACCCTGGAGAAAAAAGGAAGACAGGGCGTGGGGAAGGCTCGTCACCATGGACAAAGCAAACACATTTCCCAGAATCCTGTAGCAGGTTCGAGTTTCTTTGCCCAGTTTTGCCACGTGGCCACAGGGGACTTGGGAGAAGGGAAATGGAAACAAGGTTTAGGCTGGCGGACCAATGGTACCTGATGTGATGGGATCTGACGGTCCTGGGTTCGAATCTCAGTTCCACCATCTGGTAGCTCAATGTCTTTGGGACTGTTCCCAAAGCTTTCTAAGACTCAGTTTCCTCATTTGTGACATGCAGAAATAATGTCTACTGGTCGCTTCTCATGTGATTTATGAGGACACCCCACCATCACCGCCACACGCTCATACACGTGGACTATAAATTCCCAGTATACTTAAGGTGATACCTATTGACATAAGGTGACTGCCCAGAGGGAGGGGATGTGTGGCATTTTGCTGGACTTTGACTCCCTAAAAGTGTGAAACAACCCAGATGCCAGAGTTGATAAATTGGTCCATTGTGGAACCACTGTCCTTTTTTCTTCTGGACTTGCATTACCGTCCCAGAAGGGAATGTTAATAAACTCAGAGCTTCCCTGGTTCCTGAGACAATTTTGAATCAAAACCATCATAGCTTTTTACGAGGAGATGTAGGATCTGGGCCCAGCATCTTTGTAAATTATCTGTGCTTCTTCCTTTCTTGCCTTACAAAATACCAGCTCTTTGAACTGCCTCATGAGGTGATTTTGAGAATTTAATAAGAATGTATGTTAATTAGTATAAAAGAAACCAAGCTTCTGCTGTGTTTGAGTTAGAAATATACATTCTTGCCCTGGCTGGTGTGGCTCAGTGGATTGAGCACGGACCTGCAAACCAAAGGATCATGGTTTGATTCCCAGTTGGAGCCCATGCCTGGGTTGCAGGCCATTTCCCAGCGGGGGACGCATAAGAGGCAACCATACATTGATATTTCTCTCTCTCTCTCCTTCCTTTCCCCTCTAAAGATAAATAAATATAATTAAAAAAAGAGAAATATACATTCTTATTTCTATCCTTTAAATTGTGCTGTGCAGAAAAAAGATTAGACTCTTGTTTCTCTATTGCCTTTCCATGCATGAGTTGTCTGAGCACCCAGTTTGGAAGAACAAAGAAATGTAGAAAAGCAGAGAGATAGTATATTAGCTGTATCAGTTATAATTCATAATGTTAATGAACTGCGTACCTATTCTTCTTTACTTAGAATTAGTTCCTAAAACATATGCACTACTTCCCATCTCCACCCCCAAAAGTTTTAATGACCCTATTTCAATTTTTGCAAGTAAATGTTACAGGCTCCAGGGGCTAACTCAGTGCTTGAAGTCAATAGGTTGTTCAATGAATATTTAACAGAAACAAGTACTATGATTTATCCCTATAATGCAAGGATCACTTTTTTAATATTGAAAAATATATGTCATATAACTAGGTCAAATTAAGAAAACTAGGTATAAATTAATTTCACAGCAATTATATCTTTAAAGTCATACCAGTAAAAATTAGTTAACAGATATAATGGAAAAATGACTTTAATTAGTTAACAACAAAAACCATAAAGATAGGAACAACCTTAAAACAACATATGAGATATAGCATCAAATGTAAAACTTGGCACACATATACACATCTACCATACTCCCAACCCCTCCACACAGAGATCAGAATAGAGAAAAGTAGCATGTTCTAATACTGGAAGACAGAATTAACATTAATTTATCCCAAATTAATTTACAGATATATTTCCCAACAAAATTCCAATGGGAATTTTTCTTGAGACTGAGGAAGAAATTAATAATAACTCTAAAGTATATCCTTAAGATAACAGCACTAGCTGAAAATGTTCTTCTGGGGTGGGGAGGGAGACAAGATGAAGCAAATTATCAGGCATTAAAACATACTTTGAAGTAGTGATAACCAAAACAGTATAGTGCTAGAGCAAGAAGAGACACACATGAGTGGACCAGAATAGAAATCAGAAATGCAGACATTAATATGATAAATTTGGCATTATAAATCAGAGAGGAAACTAAATTATATTTTCATCATATTATAGAAGAGCAGATTGAAAAGTTAAACAAATTTTACTCAGCCTTTAAACATATAAAATATAAGTAATTATTTTAACTATGGATGGAAAGGGATCTTATTATATAAAAGCAATGAGCGAGAACAAAAAATTATCAATAAATTCCTATATAATTGAAACCTTTTCTGCTCTAACCAAAACCAAATTTAAAAAGCAAATAATTGGCATTTTCAACAACTCTGAGAAAGGGTTAAGATAGTTAACATAGAGAATTTTAAAATCAGCATTAGAAAAGCTCAAATTTGTAAAACTGAGTGTGTAGGTCTCAATATCTTTGACTCAGCTTTGATTAAGTTCCAACTTAAAACCAGAGTCTCCAAAGCATTTGACTTTTGTTCATTTTCCAAGAGAATTACAAACCATTGACCCAAGTTATTTGGGGAACATTAAGCGCTGGAATAATCATTAACCTTTTTTAACAGATAAGAGAGGTTAGAGAATATTTACAATCGGTTACTATACAATCTAAATTAAATCTTTTTATTTTGTGTCTTGTCACAATGAAGTTAATCCTCAAGCCATCTGTTTCCTAAAAAGGCAGAGTTTTTCTGCCATAGCAGAAAGCAATAGTTCCTAGGATTATTGACTTGCAACCTTGAAACTCTGAATGGTAGGTGCAGCATACTACCTTTGTAAGAATGTTTGATTCAGAAAATACTGTGTATGATCAAAGGTGAGATGGCTTGTCATAGGAAGCAGATTTAAATCATCAGCCTTCTGAGAACCCTGGACTCTAACCTTTCTAATCAACTGCTATTTGACTTAACAAGTATAAAGCTCAAATTTATTTTTTAAATTAAAGTAAAAATGTAAAAAAAATTTTAAATAAGTACAATAAATAAGGGTTTAACCAATGAATTCTGAAATACAATTCAGAATCACTGTTTGGGTAATAGACGCTAATAGGAAAATGGGCAAGATCTCAGTGAGCAATTTAGAGGCAAATAAATAAATATGAGAAAAATATTTAGCCTGGAGAAAAATTTTATCTAGTAAATTGACAATAAAGATTTTGGAGAAGGATTACATTTATTAAATAAAATGCAATGTAGCTGACGTTTTTATGTTGTCATTGAGGTATAGTATGGAGTATGCTTTCTGGGGAGAGGTTTAGAAATTTTTCAAAAGCTGAATTTTGATTCAATGTTTCAACTTTTAGCCATACCTATTAAAAATATACTTTTCACATGTGTAAAGACATTTATGTACAAGGTATTCATTTAGCTAGTGTTATTTATAATGGCCAAAAAATTTTAATGGAATATTGCTTAAGAAAAATATTATAAATCCACAGGTAAAAATGTTATGCAGGCACTAATTATTTTCACATAACTTTTTAATACAATTGAAAAAATTTACATGTAATATTGAGTGAGAAGATCAGAATGGAAAGCCACATCGTATAATTAAATATTTCTAAAGTGCTACATGTGACTAAAATAAAGGTCTAAAGTTTAAGTGGATATTTCTGGAGTACGAGATTATGAGTAATTAGTTTTGAAATTCTCTAAATGTTCTTCAGTAAATGAACATTGTGATCTTAAAATAAAACTATAAAAAGCAAAAGAAGGAGGGAAACTGCCCTGTGCTAGAAGTTGAATTAGCGTCACAGGGGAGAACTTCATGACAACATTCTGGCTATTGGCAGTGGGCCTCCTGAGACGGAGAACCGTCTCAGAAGGAGCTCATACTCCATCGCCTTCTAAAGGATGCCTTGGAGATCCCGGGGTAATGGGAGGCTGAACCATTCCTAATTAGAGCCAGGATTTGGTATCTCAGGAGACATCTAAAAACTATTGCCTAAACAATTTCATTTCGACTAGCTAATGGTTTTAACTTTCGTGCCAATTACTGCAACCTGCTTCTTACTCAGTTGACTGTGCTGTGAATACATGAAGGTTGTGTATTGCAAAGGCTTGAATACACCGCCTGTGTATGAGCATTTTTCTTAGGTCTGGTAACAAGAATAATTTTTTTGTTCCTTGAGGAACCAGCTAGACCCTGTCACCTTCTCTTGTAATATATAGCTTTACTATATCTGTCAAGGTTATTCCAGATATTATACCGTGTCCTAGTTGGTTTAAACCCCTTTCTAAGAACTGCTTAGGTTCAGGAATCTAGGGCTTAGATCTCTCTATTCTAATTGGGTTTTATTCTGCTTGATTTTCCCTTCTCTATATTGTTGGGAATAGATATGTTATAAATTTGTAATTTCAAAAACAGGATTTTTCTCTCTTATTTTACTCAATAACCTTTGCCTTGATGCATAGTAAAAAAAAATTTCCTAAAAAAGTTACGTGAAGGACATTCACCTTCATTGAAATCTCGTGGTCCTCTTATGATGCTGATTCTCATGTACGTCAGTTTGGCCGTGGAAGAATTTTCTCTGAGACATTCTTTTCATATTTCTGGGAAATCTGTTGCTTTTTTTCATTTTTGTTTACCTGCTGGTTTTATTGTGCTGTGTTCAGAAGACTACTGTTACCAAATAAATAGATTGGAATTCTCTATTTCATGTGTCAGCTTTGGGGGAGAAGACAAAAATAATATCTAAGGTTGTCACTTCTATAATCTGTGGAGGCCTCAGTCTAAACCTCCATAACATATAAGATTGATTGGATTTATTATGTTTTTTGGGTAACACCTAAGAATGTTGTCTATTTGTCTTGGTACTTGGAATATTATAAAAATATTGTAGGAATATTTTATCCCTATTAAAAAATTTAAGTAGCTTTTCCCTTCTGAAATTCCTTAATGTGTGACTATCAAGAGTAAATTAGTTCTCTTTTACTTGTTTGGTGTCTTGCTCTTATACATCAGTTGCAGGAGGGTTATTGAAAAACAGGCTTTGCCTGACATTGCTGTGGTTTGGGCAAAGGCACTGATGCTATTATGAAAATTGAAAATTATTGCGAATTATAGAAATCAGGTATCATGGAGAAAACACTTGCAATTTTTATTATTAGAATTGCTCCAGTTCTTAAGATTAATTCTTAAGATTTAATTCATCCCCATTAAAAATGTTAACTGAAATACAATTGAAGAGACATTTCTACAAAACACAGGTTAGTTAATTTAGTCTCACGATGTGAGATGTGCTGGCGGAAGATAACTGGACAGGCTTGCGTCAGGCTGTGTGTCGAAGACAGCAGGGGGTCCAAGCCTCTGGCGTCTCACGGCCACACTGGGAGAAGAAGAGTTGTCTTGGGCCAAACATTAAATACACGAGCGCTAATAAAAACAAAAAAAAAATCTTGTAATGGCTTAAATAAATTTACGATCTTGTTTTGGGCCGCATTCAGAGCCCTCCTGGGTCACATGTGGCCTGTGGGACACCCTTACTAGGGACTCACAAAAGCCAACAAGAATAAAATCTCACATTTAAGCTCGTCATTATTCTACCAGCAAATGTTTTTAAATGTATGCCAGGAAGATTCAGCAGTGAACAAGACAGTCCCTGCGCCAGTAGAGTTTACAGTCTCATGGGGAGCTAGTAAGTAATCAAATAATCATATAGAAAAACATAGAGTAAAAAAGTAAATCTATTAAGTTTGGAAGGAAAAATACAGAATGCAATGAAAATATATAACAGAGAAGTTCTGTGTAGTTTGGTAAAGGATGGGGATGGACTTCTAGGAGAACTTTAATTTCTCTGTTTTCTTACAGGAAAGCACCATGAAATTCATTTCTATTTATCATCTCCCCTTTTGCCCTGGACTCCATCATCATAGGACTTTTTTTCTCACCATTTTGCCGACATTGTTCTTGCAGAAACTACCAGTGACTTCCCAAAGTCCAGACCCAGTGGTTACTTCTCGGTCTTACCAGCAGCGTTTGACACAGATGAAGTCTCCTTCCTTCTGGAGCCTCACTCGGCCCCCAGCTCCGGGCTTTCCCTGGGCTGTCTTCTCACCTCCCGGTCATTCCTCACTTTCTCTACCGCTAAAGGCTGAGGTGTTCCAGGACTCAGGAGCTGACTCTCTTTTCTTCATACTCACTCTTAATTGAGTGAGTGTGCAACCCCTGGCTTTAAATGCTGTCTACGCACAGATGACTCCCAAATGCTTGTCTCCAGGCCCAGCTCTTTCGCTGCGCTCCAGCACTGTGTATGCAAGTGCCTCCCTCCCCACGTGGATGCGTGGTAAACATCTCCAGCTTAATACGGCCAAAATTCTACTCTTGATGTCATACCCCTGCCTCCAAATTCTTCCTCTACAAAGCTTTCCCCTCTCAGTAGATGACAACTCCATTTTACTAATTTATTGCTCAAGCCATTAATTTTTGTTGTCTTGGCTTGTTTTCTCACATTTCATATTGGATATACTGTAGTTCACATGTGGGCATTTCAGTAAAATAGATCTAGACTCTTAACTATTTCTCTACAATTCCAATATAACATTCTGATATGAGTGTCTTTTCAGTCTGTTATACTCATATGAACTAACATGATCATTTTAAAGCAAATAATTCAGATATGTTATTCTTCTGCTTATAATCTTCCAATGTTTTCTGAAGTCATTCATACTGAAAGTCCTTACTTTGACCTACAAGGTGCTATATGATCTTGACCTTGGCTATCTTCTTGATTTGTCCTACCATTTTTCCCAGTACTTACCACACACCAGCCGGGTCAAACTTGTAGCTGTCCCTCAGTCACATCAAGCATGCCCCATTGCTGTTGTCTCTGAAAATGACAACCATGCCTCATGAATAGTTGGCGCCCAATAGTTGTTTGTTTGAATAAAGGAAATTACATTACAGACAAAGCAGGTTAGGAAATAAAGAGTAAGAAGGTTGCTCCTTGTCCAGTGAATTGGTATGAAATGTATCTGTTCTGTTTATGGCAATCACCTGGCTGAGAGCTGAAGTATAAGTTAAAATTAACTTGGGAGGCTGTTATTACACATATTTCATTCTGGTTTTCCAGTAAACACAGAAGATCTTTAGTGCAGACATTTTTCTAATAACAGAAAAAATTATTAGATTTACATACTGTGTATGAGGTTTATTAAAGATCTGACTCATCATTCATGTTCTTGAAATTACAAATTAAAGTATGTCAATAGAAATTATGTTTCATCTATGTGAATTGAAAACATAAAGCCATAAAATATCATACAATTTTTAAAAATTTACATGTAGCATAGAAAAAGGCCTGATGGGATTTATATTAAAATATCAGCATTAGCTACATATAGGATGGAACTACAGGAGACTTTTTATTCTCTTTTTTGAACTCTCTAGTTTTGAAATTTTCTACAATGTGCTGGTATCACATCTATAATCAGAAGAGTAAAAATTAAAAAGTATTTGCTTGGATGTATTGACCCTGAAGATTCTCTTATTCTAGATGCCATGAGAGGAAAAGTTAAAGATAAAGGTAAGATTATAAAGGAGGGAAGGAATCCAATTGGCTTAGATTCAGTTACATAATATTATGGAAATAGAATAAAAAATATCCGCGTTGCTAAGCGCTGTTCAGTAAAAAATGTACTGTGACTTCTGTCAAAAACTTCCAGGTCTCTGTGTCCTGATTGTAGTTGCTTTATAGTGAAGTATGGACTCGTATTAATTTTCTCATTGTTAAACTTTGGAGGTAATGGAGACCCAGGGTAGATTAGAGAGTGGAGGGTAAGGGGGTGGCATCTTATCCAATTAATGGGTAAGAAAATCATCTGTTTTGTTAATGGGAATCCTCCTAGCAATTTTAAGTCTATTTATTGCCAGTCTTTCTATATACTCATATTTTATGTCTTTTGCATTATGGATATATTTCTCTGTTCTCTCTTGCATGCACACATTCAGTTTTTTTCTTTTTCTCCTTCTCCTTCTCCTCCTCCCCCTCCCCTTCCCCTTTCTTCTTCTGGCTGCGCCAAAGTATAGTAAAACTAAACACCTAAACTTATTGATGAAATAAGCCAAGTTTTGGATGGCATTAATTTTAGGTTGGATGATAATACCTAGAATATTTGGAGGAGTCCAAAAATATGACTGAATTCCTCAATTCTCTTTTCTGGTGTAGTAGCCCCTTGGCCCTTATGAAACTTAGTATCCTGGTTTCAACTTTTTGAGAGTGATTTAAATTTTCCTACCAATAAATATGTGTAATTTGAATTTATATGCTGTGAAGCTGAATTTTAGGTGCACATAATTTTGCTCATGTATTTAGTTTAGCCAAGTACTCAGATCGACTTTTTGAATTGCCTTGTTCTTTACTCTTATTTTGTAATGTTGAAATTATTTCTTACTGCATTTGTAGGGAAATAAAATATTATTGTATTATTTACAAACTTAAGGAAGTCCTAAAAGTCTTAGGACACATCTGAAAAAATGTCAAGTGTGAGTTCACTCATCTCTAGACTGAAGATAATATAATTTTTCATGATTGTGACCATTAAGATTATATACCACATATAAGCAATAAAACTAAATTTAAATGTGGAAGTTGATGATTTAATAGTTCACAGTTTGTGAGTTTAAGTCATAGAACTTCAGTCTGCCTTTTTTGAGGGGTAAGTTTTTCAAAACAAAAACCATTTAAACCCTGTGTTGATACATAAGGAACTATGGATGCAAAGGAACAGTGACAGCAATTAATAAAAGTATACTATACTTGAAGTTTTTTCAAGATTTTACTCATTTATTTAGAAAGGGGAGAAGGTAGGAAGAAAATGAAGTAGAGAAACATCTACATGAGAAACATTGGTTGGTTGCCTCTTCCATGCCCTCAACTGGGGACCTGGTCAACAGTCCAGCCAGGAATCGAACTGGTGACCCTTTGCTTCCTGGTGGTCCATCCAACCAAACGAACTGCACTGACTAGCACTAGAGTTGAAGTTTTAATGACCCACTTGTAGACATTCAAGCTAGATTCAAGAAGTAACTCAGCTTTTTTATTATTGTGTTAAATATATTTCTTTCTTTTTGTGTTAAGGATGTCCAGTATTGGATTTGATTCCCATTAGTTTTGTTGAAATCACACCTCCCAATTATCCCAATATTTATCCAAACATGCTGAACTGCACTTGGAATTTTTATTCCATGTCAGGAAATACAATTAAGGCAGTGATTAAAACCTTAAATAAAAGAAGAATCTTGGAATTGTGAATGGGATTATGTCAATATTTATAATGGACCAGGTAAGCAATGAAGATTACTTGGTAAATTCATCTTTCTTAAATGGCCTGTGTTAAGTGCTGCTACATATTTATATAATTATATATGTGGAAAGTATGACCTAACAATTACTTTGAGAAGAATATCACTTGTTGTCAGTGATTTTTCCATCAGATCCTTAATCAGAATCCCCAGACACAATGGGCTGAGCATGAGACCACACACACTGGGTTTGACCTTTAACCTCAGCTCTTCTTGATTTCAGTCCAGTGACTCCTATCTCCCTTTATCATTTGAGAGCACTCTAATTTGTTCTTTTCAAGATGTAATATGTTATAAGAGGTTGTATTTTCTAAACTGAATAGTTAGGTAACTTCTTGGAAAATTTCTTTCCTTAGGTTTCATTCTCAGAGTAAAGGTGGCCATTTTTAAACTCAGAGCAAATTAAAGAGGAAAAGGCTAATTAGGTTGAAAATCTTTAAAAGTTTATTGACCACACAGTGTCTCTCATACTTGGACATCAGGCAATATCCTGTTCTGAGAGTGACTCATAGGGGGAAAGTGTTCCAAAGAGTTTGTAATCTAATGTTGCATCACCTTCTCCAGTCTCCTCTCATTGCTGCCACTTAGGACACCATTACAAGCCACCTGTCACAAAGGACAAGAGGAGAGTTTATGACAGTGTCTTTTTCTAGGGACCTTGACCTCTTCTGTGATATTCCAGGATTTTATAACACCTGTCTGTTCAGCAATTTGCTTCAAAATTCCAAGGTTGCCTAACTTTTTCTTATCTGTGATTTTGGTGCCTATCTAGATTTCTAAAACAATTAGAGTATAGGGGAGGGGAAGATACAAAATTTCAAGCTATTCGCTCTCCTTAAGATTAGTTGGAGGAATCTACAGCATCAGACCTTGCATATCTAATGCTCATCAAAGCCCTTGAGCCAAAGACCCTGGAACACATCTGTAATTGAACAGTTCGGATTTAATACTCACTGCAAAGAGGGAGATTATGTACTGTGGGAAACCATGAGGTCTCAGTTAGAGGGTGTTAGAAAGGATCTACTATAGGATTTGGGCTTTGGTTGAGTGATTTCAGAGAGGGTTTAAGGCACTAGTGGACTTGGCTCTACATGGATGCTGTCAGGAAGTGGAGCAATTTTATGACTGGATCTCAATCACAGGGAGGCCTCGTTTGAATAAGGATAAAACTGCAAATGAGTAGTCATCCCTCATTTTAGCTGGGGGCAGGTGGGTGGGAGGAGAGAGAGAGACGGGGAATGTGTTTGGTGTTTTGGTGGTTACACACGACCTTGTTTTTGACTCACCTCATTACAGACTCAGAGAGCCGTAGCTGATGTTGATGTTCTGTGACATTGTTTATGTCCAACAAGAGAACAACACGTTCTAGCTGTGAGCATCACATCACCAGTTCAGGGGCTGCTTTTTGCTTTTTCACTCTTTTATACTCCTCAAACTGGCAACACTATCCTTTTTTAAAAGTTCTGATTAATCAAAAATTTAGAGGCATCAGATGATTACAAATGATACAAGTTATATTTCTATAATTAGCATATATGATTCTGTGTAAAATGAGGAAGTTACCATTTGTTTACTAGCTTATACATTTTACTTCATACAATTTTATTTGCTCATATCATTTTTCAATGAAACATGTAATTTCTATAAGGCTTTTTTATAGCTATTGAACATAGAGCCTCATCGCTATTCTCCTAGCTAGTTACAAGGGCTATCTCTTATACAGAAACACACTGGCTACAATGTCTTAGTTATCTTTTCTAACCAAATCTCTTCATTCACTTAAGTATAAGTCACCAGTTTTTAACTTAGTTTTTAATCATTGATGTGACTATAAATGCACTGGTAGATAGCCACCAAATAGTTTCCTTTTTAATGCTTTTACAATATTTCAGTGAAAAGAAATTTAGCAAAATTAAGGTCATCTGGTCACCTTTCTTCATTTACTCCATGAAAGTATTTAGTAAACACCATATTAAATGTACAGGTTAAATTCATTTATTACTGAGTATTTCCTAATGTATTAGGCACATTAGAGACACAGTGGTGAACAAGTCAGATGACCACTGCCACCTTCTCTTAAGAAGACAATAAAGAAGAAAGAGATAATACCATTTAATAATACATATCTGAGGCCTTCTCTATCCCATAATCTAGACAACCCCCCTCCACTTTTTCTTCTTGGCCTTTATCATGACCTAGCAGATATGTATTTATTTACTTGTTTAAAATCTTTCTCCTTCCACCAGAATGAAAATTTCCTGAAAACAGGACTTGGTCCGGTTTGTTCATTGCTGTATCTGCATTGGTTAGAGCCCTAGCACGTAGCAAGGGGGTGATTTGAGGGCTGCTCCGGCGGCCGTGTGGAGGAGTGGCTTTTTGGGCAACAGGGTGAATTATATCAACAGTTAGGAAGCTATTGGGGTAGTCTTAGACCTGCATTGTCCAGTACGTGTTGCTATTAAAATTTTAATTAGTTAAAATAAAAGAAAATGTGTTATTAACCGTCTTTCAAGTGCTCAGTTGCTACATGTAGTGATTGACTACCATACTGGACAGGGCTGATACAGAACACTCCACCACTGCAGCAAGTTCAATTAGTAGTTTTAGATAATAGATTATCTTACCTTACAGAAGGACCACCTTACCAACAACAGGGTATAAGTGAAGTGGGAAGATCTGGCATAGAATTAGTAGAATTTTTGATGGGTTCAGTATGGAATTAAACATGCAAATCGAGGATGACTCTTGGGTATATGGTTTGAGATGTTGGAGGTGGTATTTTTAGAGATGGAAAACTAAATTGGTTGGGAAAGATCAGTTTGGGCCATATTACATTTTCAATGCTATGCTTAGAGGTAGAACTCTTGAGCTAGAAGAAAACTTTATAAAAATTTATAAAAATTTATAGAAATATAAATTTAAGAGTTATTAGCTTCTCACAAAATCCCTTTAGTTATCCTTTCTCCCACATTGTTCTCAAAGTTCCAAACATGCTCTAATATCACCCATCATTTAAAACAATGTCAAACAAGAAATTTAGCTGTTGTCTCATTTTTCTGCTTCCTGTCACAATAAAGTCTCTTACTTACAAGCTGATAGATTTAGAAAGTTAATGGGATCAATTTGAGATGGTCATGGTGAGATCAAACAGTTACAGAAAGGAAAATACTAATAGAGTTGAATAGATATGAGGTGGTGATTTAGAAAGTAGGTGTTTCAAATAAATATTTCAGAAGTGTCAAATGGTTTTGATTTTTCAGAGCAGTGTTAGTAAAGAATTAAAAGATAAAGAGACTCATAGTTCCACAGTAGGTCAAACTTAGTGTTGGCACTTAGCTGGCATGCATTAGCTTAGTCTCACAAATCTTAACAGCCAAAGTCCAATCTGATTGGCTGCTGCCCTGCCTCATGGATTATGTTATCCTTAGTCATGCAACAATTTTAAGGAACATTAACAAACTGGAACACAACCATACAGCATAAATGACCAGAATGCTAAAAGTTGTGGATATCTGGGCATGTTTACCTAGGAGAAAAGACAGAAGGATCATAGCCTTCTTTTCAAGTATTTGTGGAATTCTTAATAGAGGCCATGTATGAAACTTGTTCTGTGTAATATCTAGTAGTTATTGAGTATTTACTATTATTCAGGCATAGTCCTGAGAGCTCTCTTAATCTTCTTGAAAAGCATAGAGATGTAGTTACATTAGTCTCATCATAAATCTTAGGAAATCAAGTCAAAAGAAGATTGAATAACTTACCTTCAGTGACATAATAAATACAGAAAGTAGGATTTAACCCGAGCAATCTGATTCCAACACTTACATTCTTGGCCACTATACTGATGGCAGTCATTACTGTGATGCCTTTTGATTCAACGTGAGAAAGAGCAGTTTAGCGATTGGAACTGTTCAAAAAGAGAAAATGCTAATGAAGTCCATGTCATATTTTCAAGGCTAATAATCATATGTCCAGGGTTATTTTAGAAGGAACTCGGTATTAGATAAAATGCTAAATTAAGTGATCCCTCAGTCCTGTGGTTAATCTAGTCCCTTACTCCTCATCTAGCCACCACCCATCCTAAACCTACAGATTTTGTGTTGCATGTATTTCTGTCTAAGCCATTAGTAGAAATCCTGTACTTGAAAGAACCAAGGAGAGAACCATTTCCATACCATTAAGACTTTCCCTCCAGGTTAACAGTGCCTGGTTATTTGATCAACAGTGAAACTTCCTAGCCGAATAATTATCCACTTGCATTCTCTATCTGCTCATAGGGACATCATAAGGTACTTTGTTAAGTGCTTCACTGAACTCAAGATTCATTAAGTTTATCTCCTTTCCCCTAGTCACCATCTAATTATCTCTTCCAAAGATTAAATTAGGTTTATTTAGTGTGGCATGATAAGGATCCCACGCTGGCTTCATGTGACCACCGAGTCCTTCTCCAAGTGCTCAAAAACCATGTCTAATAATTAGCTGTAAAATTTTGCTGAGGCTTATTTTTATTTAACAAACCTAATACTTTATGCCAATTCATTTATTTCCATGTAAGTATTATCACTTTTATGTCTACTACGCAGGTGAGAAATTTGAGACACAGAGAGAGGTTAAGTCATTTGCCCAGGGCCACATAGTTAATAAATTGCAGAGGTGGTTCAGACCAGCATTTGGTAGATAGAATCTGCCTGTAAACACTAAACTGCATCACTTCACTGATAAATGACCTTGAAATCTCGCCCCCACCCCACCCACACACAACTCTTTGTTTTTTCTGTCTCCTACCCATTCTCCCAACCCAATCTCCTTTTTAAACAGATTAGCATTTTCCCATTTCCATTATTTTAAAACTTCTAGGGGGTCGTTGTTTCTCTGCAGAATCCCGTTATTTGACATGATATGTCCCAAAGTTCCCCATCACTTTCAACTCACTGCACAGTTTATTTGAGGAAAACAAAGACACAGAGAATAAATATTCCCCTATTCTCCATATTTCTTTCTCGGATTTCTGAGATAACATTATCTTTAAGACAAATCAATGTGTGTCATTGTTTTAATTTAGGAGAATTTAAATTACAGCAGGGACAGATAAATTACAGCAAATGTCCTATTGCTATCAGAATCACTTTTTGTGTTTCTAAAGTAAGAAAGGATCCTCATTAATCTATATTTGGGCAACCTGCATGACTTAGTTCAGGTTCTATAAAAAATATTCCAGTGTCTGGGTGGTTTGAACAACAACCATTTATTTCTCAGTTCTGGGGGCTGTGAAGTCTAAGATTTGGCATCTGGTGAGAGCTGGCCTCCCACTTCACAGACAATAGTCTTTTTGCTATACCCTCACATGGCGAAAAAGGGGCAAGGTAGCTTTTTTGGGTCTCTTTTATAAGGGGGTTAATTCCATTCATGAGGGCCCGACCCCAAAAGCCTCCACGACCCGCTTACCTCCTAAAAGCCTCACTTTCTAATAGCATCACATTGGCTTAGGATTTCCATACACACATTTCAGGGGCAAAGGGGTGGGGCATAAATATTTGGCTCATATACTATTTTTTCTCTGTCCACTTACTTTCACCAAAATGCTTCTTTTCTCATTTTTTTATAATCATAAATTGGTACACAATTGTATATCATTTTCATATCAATCACTAACCCAGCCTTTCCCCTTTGACCTTTTAAAAATCTATTTCTTTTCACTGTTGCAATGAAATCATGAATTCCATCCTACAGATCTTCACCTTGTACTGTTCATAATTACTCTTTTGTCAATATTAACAGTTTAGGATTTAATATTGCCTCTTTTTACCATCTTTTGCCTATGTTATTGACTAGAGTGTTTTAATTATTCAGTATTTCTCACACTGCAGCTCATTCATGTGGCTCCAAGAAAGAGTTTGTCTTGATTTCCAGGGGTGCTTACCCAACTGTGCATTTGAAGACTGATGAGTCTGTGGGAGAAAAAGGTTTTAAACTTATTGTGGAAGATAGGATTTAGAAAAGCAGTATTAAGTTGCCTATTAGTAGTAAGTAATTATTTTAAAATGTTTATTAAAGCAGATGCCACAAAAGTCTTGAAGTAGAACTGGCCAACACTGGTTTAAAGGTCAGTTACAGGATAACTTCATTTCGAATCATTCCTGACAGCATGAACCTTGGGGAGTTCGGATACATCATCTGAGGTAATTAAGTTAATTGGGGTGTGTGTGCATGTATGTGTGTGTCTCTCGGTCCATGTGTGTGTTATTTTTCATTTAAGAAATAATGATCAACATAAAAGTCAGCTACTATGAAAAAGATCCAGTGGGGATATTCAAGTTGAAACAAAGCTAGAGTTCAGTGTTTCCATGTGTGTTACAATGTCTCTTTTATTAAGTAACCACCCTCCCAGTCCTACAAAGGCCTCAAAGGAGAATATTGTAGCTGAAAGTGTAAAAGCTTCTCTACATAAAATAGAAACAATTTAAATAGTTTTCTACTGATTGAATCTTCCTTTTTTTAAAATAAAGATTTTATTTATTTTTTAGAGAGGGGAAGGGAGGAAGAAAGAGAGGGAGAAACATCAACGTGTGGCTGCCTCTCACACGCCCCCTACTGGGGACCTAGCCCTCAACCCAGACTGGGGTTGTGCCCTAAACTGGGAATTGAACCGGCAACCCTTTGGTTCACAGGCCGGCACTCGATCCACTGAGCAGAGCCGCATCAGCCAGGGCCCAATCTACTTTTTAGGCAGAATTTCATTAGTCGTGCTTAAGATTTAAAAGCCTAATAAATGTGTTATTAGGAGATTGTTTTATTAGAATATAATTTCAGGAAGCATTTAATCAATTTGCATTTGGAAGTCCTTTTTGATGTCACTTTGTCTTTATTATAGGGAAGTGAATGGGCTCTCAGGAGAGTCCTCGATTTGGGCTATAGAGGGGTGAATCTCACCATTCCATAGGTGTGATTTTTAATAGTTTTAGGATGCTCACCTAGTTGACCATTGCTTTTATTTTCCCATCTCTACATCTCTACACCGAAACTTCATTGTCACAGTAAAGACATTTAGGCTGCCTATTTTTTTTAAGTATTCCTTTTGCATTTAGTTCCAGCCAAGATAGAAGTATAGGTAGATTTACTTCACTTTGTCCCACAACCAAAACAACAATGACAAACAACTTTGTTATAAACAAACAAACAAACAACAAAAAAAACCCCTCACAACTGCCAGAAAATCAAACTGTGTGGAAGTCCAACAACCAAGGAGTTAAAGAATAAACATTCATCAGATTGGTAGGAGGGGCAGAGATGGGAAGCCAGGGAGGAGAGGGCGTGAGACAAGGCAGTGGCTGGCAGACCAGGTGGGCAAGGCGGCAGGCCAGTGGACCAGGATATTCCACATCGTGTGTGGATAAGTTGAGAGGAACAAATGGGGAGCAAGGCAGACTGCTCAAACCAGGTTTCCAGCGTGGGAAACTAAAGCCTCAAAACCTCAGACTATAAAATTCTATGGGAGTTGTGGTGGCAGAAGAATCCTGCAGTCCCCCATGGGGGACTAGAAAGACCCATGGGGTTTCTAGAATGTACAGAAGCCCATCCACCTGGGAATCAGCACCTGAAAGGGCACAGTCCATTTGTGGGAAGTAATGGAAAGCAGGCAAGAGCAGAGTAAGTGGCATGGTTCCCTCTCTGACCCCTCCCCCACATACAGTGTCATAATCTAGCTGAAGTAGGTGGCCCACTGTGGCAAATACCTAAGGTTCCACTCCTTACAATATAACAGGTGTGCTGAGACAAAGAAATATGGCCTATATGAAAAGATAGATCAAAACTCCAGAAAAAGAACTAAGTGATGAGAAAATAGACAACCTATTAGATGCAGTGTTCAAAACAATGGTAATCAGGATGCTCACAGAACTGACTGAGCTCGGTTGCAAAATGAAGAAAGAAATGAAGGCTATACAAAGTGAAATAAAAATATACAGGGAACCAACAGCAAATGGAAGGAAACCGGGACTCAAATTAACAATCTGGAACAAAAGGAAGCAATAAACATCCAACTGGAACAGAATGAAGAAACAAGAATTCAAAAAAAGACAAGGAGAGGCTGAGGGAATTTTGGGACAACTATAAACATGCAAACATTCGAATAATAGGGTTACAGAAGGAGAAGAGGAAGAAAAGGAAATTAAAAACTTATTTGAACAAATAAAGAAAACTTTCCCAGTCTCATGTAGGAACTAGACATGCAAGTCCAGGACGTTGAGAGTCCCAAGGAAGTTGGATGCAAGAAGAAATAAATCAAGGCACGTCATAATTACATTACCTAAGATTAAAGAGAAGGAGAGAATCTTAAAAGCAGCAAGAGAAAAGAAGAGAGTTACCTACAAAAGTTCCTATAAGACTGTCAGCCAGTTTCTCAAAAGAGAGCTTACAGGCAAGAAGGGGCTGGAAAGAAGTATTCCAGGTCATGAAAGGCAAGGACCTACATCCAAGATTACTCTATCCAGCAAAGCTTTCATTTGGAATGGAAGGGCAGATCAAGTGCTTCCCAGATAAGGTCAAGTTAAAGGACTTCATCATCACCAAGCCCTTATTATACTAAATGTTAAAAAGATTTATCTAAGAAAAAGAAAACCATCAAAACTATGAACAGTAAAAAAACAACAAACTCACAACTATCAACAACTGAACCTAAAAAACCCCCCAAAACTAAGCAAACAAGTAGAACAGGAACAGAACCACAGAGATGGAGATCGCATGAAGGGTTATCAGTGGAGAGAGGCTGTAAAGAGAATGGGGGAAAATGGTACCGGGAATAAGCAGCATAATTGATAGCCACAAAATAGATAGGGGAGGTTAAGAATAGTAAAGGAAATAGAGACGCCAAAGAGGTTACATGTACGACTCATGGATATGAACTAAGGTGGGAGGAGGGAACACTGGAGGGAAAGGGGTGCAGGTTGGAGTGGGATAAAGGAAAGAAAAAAATGGGACAACTGTAATAGTATAACCAATAAAATATATTTAAAAAAATAAGTTATTTCTTTTTTTGCAAGTTGAATACTAAAAAAAAACATTGCTATGGTACGCGTTTACAAACAGTCCAAAGTTATAAGACTTGCTACATATTACCACATGTAATGTAGATTGTAAATGCCATAAACACATGCACTAAGGCAGCAAACCTTAATGCACTAAAAACATGTTTAAATAAATACCTTTTGTGGGCTTTTCTGAGACTAAGATAGCTGAATTTTGAAGAGTTTGCATAGTTTTTGGAATACGTATCTAAAGGAGGCGGGAATCCTTGTTTTATACATATCTAAAGAGAAAGTTGCAATGAGTTTTGATATAAATATTGAATAAACAAGCAAATCCACTGAATTAGAATAGCTTTCTGGTATAAAAACAAAATTTCAAGTACATAATTTAGCAACTAAGCTTATTTTATAATTCTTAAATTATATGGCTACAGAAAAGCTTAATTTTCTTAATATTTAAGAAAACACTTAAATAAGTCTTTCATTTTTAATATCATGGTGGACTTCTTTTTAATTCTGAGAATGGAATAAACACACAGTTAGAAATTTTCCTTATCCTTTTCTTTTATGTACAAATTGTATCTTGAATACATGTATTGTAAAGTATTTTGATGTCTACAAATGTTATACTAAGGTAATAATGCCACAGAAGGAACAATGTCCAGTAATTTCATAATTAAGTGCAATTTTGTTTCTTTTTTAAAACTTGATGTATGTTCCTATTTACCTAAAGATGTATATATTAATGCTTTAGTTAACTTTAGAGATTTTTGCTCACTTTAAGAATTCTAGTTTTGAACCGACAAAAGAAACAAACACCTCTACTCTGAAATTTTAGTTGATTTCGGTAAGTATTTTTATCTAATGTTTTGTGGTTACTTTTTTAAGGAATGACACTAAAGAACAATAGCAAACGATGGCCAACCTGGAATTCCAGCTGTTGATCCATTTGTCACAGACGAGTCTGAGAGACACCGAGAGGTGTTAACCGGCTGAGCTCGGGGAGCCCAGGGTGCCTGGTGGCCCTGTCTGCTGAGTCTGCAGCACCGAGGACGTGACTGCGGAGGTGCTCAGTATGAAGCGGTGGGTCCTGACAGCAGCCCCCTGTAACTTCTGGTGTGCGCTTGTGGTGCGTGGGGTGCGGAGTGCGGGGAGGGAGGGCCCACTGTGGGTGTACTCTCGCTCTCCTCGTGACGCAGGAAACTCCCAGCGTCAACTCCCACTTGCGAATGAATGGATGTATTCTATTAGGTTGACGAAACTTTCTGGGCTTCACTAATACACGTTGTACTAATTGCTTTCGATTTTAAAAACTACCTCTTCCTTCTAGGTATAATTTAGTTAATAAGCAACTAACAGCACTTCCTTCTCTATAAAATGGAGATAATGTTGTTTTAACATCTTCTAATTAGTTTCTTAATATCGTATTCATACCTAGAGTCCAGGGGTTGTTCAAATGTGGATTCACTTTCTTCTTCTTCTCCTGTTCTAACTCGTCTGATCATTAGACCGACTCCCAAAATAAATATGTAAAGTTCCAAATATTTTTGTAAATGCCCTTTTAAAAAAAAGCTTGTAAACTAAACTAAAATAAAACAAAATAGTTCACCCATTTTTGTCCATCCCAGCCTCTGCCTCTGGCACCCACCAGTCTGTTCTCTATACCTATCAAGCTTTAAAAAAAATATGTGTGTGTGTGTGTGTGTGTGTGTGTGTGTTAGATTCCACATACAAGAGAGAGTACATGGTATTTGTCTTACTCTGTCTGACTTATTTCACTTAGCATGATGATCTTCAGATCCATCCACAAATGGCAAGATTTCTTTTCATGGCTGAATATAATGACATAATATGTATATAAAAGCAAAATGTGTTAAAAGTTTTTACTTTATAAGAATTTAGTTCATGCTTCTGTGAAGTTTTATTGTTTAAAAAACTGACTTTAACCTATCACTTCAAACTACTTTTCATTTTGATATTAAACAGTGTAACTGAGTTACACCTCAAAACATGTAACATGTTTTGGGAAGAAAATTGCGTCCTGTGTCTACTTTTTATAATTTCCATGATTGTCAATTTTGTGTTGGCATACATACCAGAGACCATTTTTTGTACATTTACTGGGAACTTAATAAGTTATTTGCCTGATAGAAAAATACAACTAAATAAATGAATGGAAATGCCAGATTTAATACATGCAGTCCCTAGACATTTCTTTAAGAAACATTATATTAGGGAGCAGAGTAATATTACTTTAAGGTAGCATGATTCTTAATTGTGAAAGAAATATTACATTGTTTTATTTAATGTTATGAAGGCAAGAAAGTAGGTACGTTAAAGGACGCACAGACAAAGCCAAAGGGGTAGGTTTCGAGGGTGGAGGTGGGAATGGGTACACGAGGGGGCTGAGGTGTGGTGAAAATGGAGACAACTGTATGTGAGCAACATTTACAATAATAATAATAATAAAAGAAGCTTTTGTTTTCTAAGAATTCAACATAACAAAGGTTTTAATATAGATTAGAAATGTTAAAATACATTTTTACTAATTTTGAAAAATTACAGCCTTATTAAAAGTGGTATCTGTTCTCTCACTCCCTTTTTCTATACAAGTACTGTCACAGACAACCTGGTAATGGAAGAAGTTGCCTCTGGCACATGGAAAATAGTGATTTGATAGCAGTGGAAGCTCTGTGTGCTCACCCTGGCTTCACGTGGCTTCCTCCCAAGGACGATCTATCCTTGTTGCATCTGGAAAAACCTGTTGCACGAGGTCAGTATGAGTAACTCTTTTCCATATTTTGAACTTTGCCGTATTGTTTGTACTTTATTTTGCTTAGACATGCTGTTTATACTTTAAAAAAAATCTTCATGGAAGGACATGCTCATTGATTTTAGAGAGAGGGAAGGGAGGGGAGAGAGGGAGAGAAACATCAATGTCAGCGACAAATAGTGACTAGCTGCACCCCCACCAGGAACTGAACCCACAAGCTAGGCATGTGCCCTCACTGGGAATTGAGCCTCTACTCTTCACTTTACAGGATGACACTTCAGCCAACTGAGACAATGGCCAGGACAGAAATGCTGTATATATATCTGAAGTTAAATAATTAGTTCAGAACTTTCTTATACTCTATTTGCTCTAAAAACCTGCATAAACAATTTTTATGTGCTTTTAGTTAATGGAGGTATGGAGAAGATGCCAAAGAAATACTTTTTTTTTCAGCGTTTATAGTCCATATATTTTTTATTGTTGTTTAATTACAGTTGTCCCCAATTCCCTCCCATTACTCTCCCCTTGCTGTAAGAAATATATTTTTTTAACTTTGTTCTGTTTATTCTTCTGAGACTGTTGCATCCTATGAGGTTAACCCAGAAGCTTAGAACAGAAACTGAACCAACAGATGTTATATTTCCTCTACCTTCATGACCTAGTAAAATGTGTCTTTCCTTAATGTTTCCTTCAGCCAAAACTACCTTGAAAAGTGTTAATCTGCCTCCGTCACCTAGTAGCCATGCAGTCTTGGGGCAGCGGATGATATAAGTGATGTAAGTGTTCTGAGCCTTAGTTTTATCATTTGCAGAAAGTAAGTAACAGTAGCACACCAACCTGCTTAACTCAGGTGAACGTTTAGTGGGAAAGCAATGTATTGTGGGAAATGTAACTAAAGCCCGTGGGTTGTCCCCACGTTCATAGCCATGGCCCTACCCCAACTGTCTCTTGTGTTTCTGCATTCTCCTGTTCCTCTGCTGGTAGCCTCACCTCCCCTTTTATGTCTTTTCAACGCATCCATCTTGCAACCCTCCACTCATGGTTCAGTTCACCGTTTGCTTTTTGTGCTTGTACAACTGAGTCAGTGAAAGTGTCTAAGAACAGTGCTTCTTAACTTTGGCTGTACATTATAATCCTTTAGGTTGCTTTAAAATAAGACAAAAGTATAGGCCAGGATGCATTTTGGACCAATTAATCGCAATCTCAGGAGTGGAGACCTGACATCAGTATTTTTCCTAATTTTAAAATTTATTTTAATGAGACTTTCTATGTTGAGATTATTGTAGATTCACATGCAGTTGTAAGAAATAATAGAGACACCAATATACTCTCTTATATATATAAATATTATTTTTTATCCTTATTTATTCTATTATAGTTGTCCCAATTTTTCTCCCTTTGCTCTCCTCCATCCTGCCCACACCCCTGCCCCTCAGTCAATCCCCACACTGTTGTCTGTGGGTCATTCGTGCATGTCCTTTGACTAATTCCTTCCCCTTCTTTCCACCATTATCCCCCCTCCCTTCTGGCAGCTGTCAGTCTGTTCCATGTTTGCATGTCTCTGGTTCTGCTTTTTTTTCATTAGTTTACTTTGTTCATTAGACCTCTCTTATAAGTGAGACCATATGGTATTTGTCTTTCACCAACTGGCTTACTTCATTTAGCGTAATGCTCTCCAGTTCCATCCATGCTGTTGCAAATGTAGGAATTCCTTCTTTATTTCTTCTGCACAGTATCCCTTGTGTAAATGTAAAACAGTTTTTTTAATTCATTAATCTCCTGATGGGTACTCAAGCTCTGTTCTGACACTTGGCTATTAAAAATAATGCTGCTTTGAACATTGGGGTGCATAAGTTCTTTTGAATTGGTGTTTTGGGATTATTAGGGTATATTCATAAGTGGAATCGTTGAGTCCAATGGACTCTTTACCTATTTGTCACCAATGGTAACATCTTGCAGGATATTGACATTGATTCAGTAAAGATACAGAACATTTCTATCACCACAAGAATCCATGATGTTTCCCTTTTATGTTAATAAATAATGGTACAGTGGTCTGTATATTGTGTGCCATGAAAAATGATGTGGTAGATCTAAATGTAATGATATGAGTGATATAACCATAATTTAGTAAGTAAAAAAAATCAGAACAAGAAAAATGACTCATTAACAACATGTAGGTAAAGGGAAAATGTTTTATTGTAGCCCCAGGACATTTGGCAGGACATGATACGACAGACCAATGACAATATGTGGAGGCAGAGAACATAAGATTTGTAGGCAGTTGGCACATATATGGAGATAAATAGCACAAGAATAGACAATATTTTATTAAGAGATAGCAGTAAAAATTAAGGACAAATCATTTTAAAGATGGTCTTGGACAGCAGGTATGCTGAAGCATTTAAGTATGTAAACTCTGGATAAGAATGAAGTGAAGCATTGTGGGAAAACAAACGGGAGCACTGCACTCAGTGCATCATGTGCGTAGTGTCTACACACACAGACACACATGTACACCCACAATATTTGCGTATATACAAATTTTGATGATAAAAAGTGAATATTTAAATGTATAATGTATTAAAATAGTTTAGATATTTTGCCTTTATTAGATGTACAATACGTATTAGCTATAAAAATAGGTCAAAGGTTTTAAGTTGCTCCAAAAGTGGTTTTCCCCACTCCTCATGTAGTACAGTTGAAAAAAGAAGGTAATTATATTCTCCTCCACTGTCATCTCAAATTCAACAAGGTGATGTCCTGTAGGCACATGGGCAAACAGGCAGACACATTGGAAAAAATGTCTGTAGAGGAGAAAGCAGGAGGCCCACATCCCCGTGTAGAGTGTGTGCTTCCGTGGTCCTAGGAGGATGCAGAACTGTGTGGAGCAAAGTGGCACCATGTAGATTGGGATGATCCTTTCTGAATAATTAACAGATGTTATCTTCTCAAAGACTTATTTATTAAATTACAGTGTTAAAAAGGGTAGTGCAGGTCAAAGTAGACATTTCTAGAGTTATCACTAAAAAAGCAAACAATGTTAATATATCGATCCTATGGACTAAAGGATATTTGCCTTTTTCTTTCTCATCTTTTTGACTAGGAAAGTTTATATCCCCAATTTGTTTGCCAGGAAAAGACAGTAAAGTAAATTTACTTTCCAAATGTATGACTTCTGGCTGGGGACTAACTGACCCACATCATGAGTATATTCACTACTTCTTCCAAAATTAGAATCCAAATACGTGAAGTGTAGTGTATTATTTATTTTCAAATTTTTTCTGTATTTTTATAGGAATGATAATAGAAAAAGTGTTTTTCACAATGAATCTACAAGTGACTGCTTGTGTTTTAGGCCATCACATTTATTGATGTTAATTCACTGGGAGTAGTTCACTGATACTTGTAAAAATATGTGTTGGAGTATATCTAGTGATTATATGACTTAATAAATGTTTGTGTGTTTCATTTATATGTAAATATTCCCTAATTGCTCCCTGACCACACACACTGTCACACACAATTGTGTTCACAAGAATATGCCACTACTGTGGAAACCCACACATACAGATATGAGCCTGGCCCTTGCTGGTGTGGCTCAGTCAGTTGGGCATTGTACTGCAAAGTGAAAGGTCACCAATTTGATTCCTGGTCCGGGGTCCAGGCACATGTCTGGGTTATGAGTTTGGTCCCTGGTCTGAGCCAAAGGTAACCAATCAATGTTTCTTACAACAATGTTTCTCTCCCTCTCTTTCTCCTTCCCTTTCCCTCTCTCTCAAAAATTTTTTTAAAAAATGGCATGAGCCTATTCCCAAAGATATGAGACATTTTCCTGAAATGATAGGCTGGTAATAATGATATAAATGGGTGTAAAGATTATGTGCAAAAAACTAGTTCATATAAAAATCAACTCATGACCCTGGTCTCACTTCCACTACATCCTACTACTGGATTAACAATTTACAAACATCCGATAAATGGAAGACTAAATCACAAAGCAATTTCAGTTGCCAGCTCCAGAGTCAGCACTTAGACAAAAGGACTGTTAAGCAAAATTCAAGTCAGAAGAAAAGAACATCCTGAAAACAATGGAATAAAGTACAGATTTAACATGCAAAATATTAATTGTGTTGTTTCCTTTATCAACAACTAATTTGGATGTAAGCTTTATTGTTTTTCTTCTAAAAATGATACTATTTTTCTATCATCTTAGGACTGTACTGAAGGAAAAAGACCCCACATAACATTTTTTTTGGTTATTTCTGTTATGTAAGCCATTGTGTAGTAATAATAGCAGCTTTTTTTGTTCTGTTTTATCTGTTAATAAATCAGCTAACAGCATCATTACATTGCTGAAAGGAAAGAATAGAGGGATTTAACCTTTGAAGTCCATCTGCAACGTAGGGATTTTTTGTTGTTGTTTTATTTTTTAAAAGCCTTTGCCTGGGTAATATGTGTTTTTATTCCTTCTCTATCAGAAAATGAACTTTCTAAAACTGTGCAGCAGACAGAGGTACTACTGATCAGTAGTACATCTTATCAAAGTTACTGGGGACTGGCTATTCAAAATACCAACACATGTGGAGGGGCCACAGGACCATCTTCATGCACAGTAATTCAAGGATTGCATTGATGGGTGTAGGAGCTTTCTTCTCAGTGTGTCTCACGAATGGGTGTTTGCTGACGATAGGAGTTATAAATGTATGGTAGTTTTTAAATGCAAAGCGAGAAGAATAAGTACATTGCTAAGTTGATGTGCTGGGACTGTTAATTTGATACTTGAGGTGGACTCAAGTCTCAGAAGGAATTACTCAATCATTTGTTTACATAAACTATGTGAAATTAATGATATCCGACTCTTTTTGACCTACAAAAAAGATAATTTGTTATGGTTTGATTTCATAGCTGAATTAGGTAGCTCAAAGTACCTACTTCTAGTAGTACTAAAAATATTAATGAAGATGTTTTCCTGTAATTCAAAACTTATCATTTACTCGTTGTATTTAGTAGATCCTTGAAACTTTCTTCATGGCACACTTTATTGTCGGCATTGAATGAGTTTATGCTCGATGTATATTTTAGCCTCTCCTTGAAAATACAGGTTTTGATCTGATTCAGATTATATATAACATCATCTAAGGACCTGACAGCTCTGGTTTCCTATGTAGAAATCAGAGTTGAGAGAGTTGAGACACTGTTTGCTTGTCCTCTGCTGTTGGGGTTAGCCTCAACCATGGATCATGCAGCCAGGAGAACTTCTCTCTTTGTGTCTGTTGCAGGGAGATTCTGCAGGATCCCTGCAGTGTGCCCAGGACGAGCAGTACAGACTCCTCTGTATTGTGAGTTGGGGAAGCAATAACTGCCATCCCATAGCATCAATGGTCTTCACCCAGATTTCTGTGGGCAGGGATTGGATCACATCTGTCACTGAAGAGAAGCATGATCACTGAGACAGAAGCTGGATGGAATTGTGTTATAAATGGGAAAGAAAATGAGTCTCTTACCAGTGCAAAAACACTCAATATCACTTCCCTCATCCTTTGTATTCAGGAACTTGGATTTGGTATATCTCATACATTCAGTATTAAACATAAGTCACAGAAACATTAATGTTACTTCATGCCTCCTGGGAATTTATAATCTGAAATGTCATTAAGTTCATACTTAGTGTAAGATGTATATGTCATAGTTGAATACCATAATATACACTTTCACTATTTTCCTAGTTTGGTAAACACTGGAAGACATGAAGTTGAATGTTATTCAGTCCATAAAATTATTAATTTTATTCAAGGAGAACAATACCCTGCACTCAGGAGAGGTCCCCATTTCACAATTTCAATGAGCAATGGATATTTAAGAAATTATTTATCAGGCTTATATTATCATTTGATTTTTTAAATAAAATAGGGTATTTCAATTGTTTACAAAACAATTTATCTGTGTCTATGAGATTAACCATTTCACTATGCTACAAAAATGTGAGGGAGGTAGAAACAAATGAACTTAAAGTTGATTGAAAGTTTTTTGACTAGTCTTTTGGCAGGAAAGACTGGAAATGAAATTGCATCAGTGGAAATTATTTGTCCTTAAATGCTAGAATAGTTTCAATTTAGTAAAATTTAATATTTCATTAAAGGTTAATTCACTAAATAAAAAGGCAGTTTAGTATTGTGGTCAATATATTTCCCTGCCTCTCCCAGCTCTCTGACTTTGGGTAGATCACTTAACTGTCACTTGACTGAATTTTCTTATGAAACAGGTAAATAATGGTACTACCTACAGTTTTAAATGAAATCAGGCAAGTAAAGCATTTAAAATAGTACTTACTGGAAAAAAAACAGTGCTTACTGTGTATTACTTGTCATTATGCCTTTGTAAGACTTTTTTTGGTCAATCGGAAAATTAAAATCTAAATGTTTGATTGGAAAATCTGATAACGGGTATGCTTACTCTCAAATAGTTCCCTTTCTTCCCAAACTCTCCTCTATTACCTCATATATTGTGAAGTGTTAAGAAAGGGTGAATGAAGTTGAAATTTTTTAAAAGAAATATTTTAGTGCATAGTATGTATTGACAATATAAGGGTGAGAAAGACAAATGCTCTTTCTTAAGGAGCATACTATGTGGAAGACAAAAGCATCGAACAAATAATTAGAAGCGTTGTCTATGTCCTGAAGAGTAAGTTTAAATACCCTCAGCAGGGGCAGGGGGTGGTGTAAAGGCAAAGACCGAGAAGGTGGTGCAGAGTTAAGAGGACCGTTACACAACCTACGCCTAAGTCTTTCATCCGTAATGAAGTACAGTAAAAGGAGTAGAGAGTCCCTAGCTCTGTGGCCTTAGTCAGAAGGTAATTTACCCCTTCCTGGAGAAGCTGATTGTTTACTGGCCACGTGGTTACATCTAAAATAAGTTTCAAACGCCCGACCTCCTCAGCGACGCCCCATTCATCTTGACCACGCCTCTTGATTCACGATACACTTCCTCCGCCAAGGGGCTATCGCGAGAACTCAACAACGTCTCCCTTCCGACAGTCGTAGTGGTAGTACTTGCTTTTGTTCTCGCGATATTTCCTGGTGAACGGGAGCCCGGGCGACCCGGGCTTCTGTGAAACATGGCGGTCGGCTGGGACCGAAACACAAGGTAAAACACTAAAACCCTGCCGGGTTCTCTTCTCTCGGTTGTTCCAGGGCTGTTCCGGGCGCGAGTATAGTGAAGGGGGCTAGAACTGTCGTAGAATTGGCTCTATGTCTTCATCGCTTTCCTCGGGAGAGCGGGCCGGACTGGGTAGCTGCTCCACTTCCCCCGGGGGCGTTACTGGCAGGACCCTGGGCAGCGCTACGCCTGGGAACTCCCGTCTCCCCAGCTCGGTTTCTCTGAACTATACTGCAGCTTGAAGGAGTTTAGGTGTTTCCTCGGTAGCTACTGATCCTGACCCATTGCTTCTCACAGTGCCCAGTACCCCGGAGGCTCCTCCCGTCCGCAGGCGAGGAGAGTCCCGTGTTGTAAAGACCATACGGTTGTATACCGATCGTCCCGGGTGTCTGGCTCCCCACTATCATTCAAACAAATATCAAATTCTTGGGAATAGGTTTCTCCCTCTCATTAAAAAAAGATCGAGGTCTTGGCCTTGCCTGGAAGGAGAGTTTCGCACCTTGCTTGGAAAAATGGGAAAGGGGCAGGGCAGGGTGAGATGTTGCAGAAGAGACAGGTACGAGAGTCACTATTTAAACCTTCGAGGATTAAGAAACCCTTGGAAAGCAACGTGTCAACTCGTGGTAGAGAATAGAGAATAGCCTTTGGTAAAGGCTGTAGAGTTGAAAGAAAAGTTGTTATTTGAGAAAACACGTTCAAGTAACTTGTATTTGGGATTTAATGTCCTCGAGACAATGCAGAGTTACATAATGTCTGTTAAAATGTTGCAAGACTAGCTTTCAGAAGCTATTAAAATACGTGAAAAAAAACATGTATTCATTTGTTTGAAGTGATAAGTCATTCTAGTATACAGGCATTATAAAGGAAGAAGGAGTCAGGCTTGTACACAGAAGCATTCGGGACACACTGGCTTACTTAATTTGTTTGATATATTTAAATTGATGCAATTGTTCCAGTTCCCAGAGGAAAAACATGAGAAAAAGAAATCCATGCGTTTGAGGGTGAGGTGGCATGGGGTAGGGGATGAGTTTCTTTCTTTTTGAGAATAAAGTTTACGACACACCTGAGTGTTGCAATGGCTTGAGGGTACGTATCATAAAAATATATCAAGCTTGAAAGCTCTTTCAAAAGAAATTAGGCCTACTCTGGAACACCACCAAGAAAAAAGAATTAGAAAAAATTTATTTTCTTTGGTAGTTAGTGATTTTAATTGGAAGAAAAAGTGATTTTATTTTTAATAGAAGTTACTTTCAGGTAGTCTCTTCCTGCTACTAATCCTAGTTCACAGTTTTCAGGATTCTGATTCTGCCCCTTAAATGTCATGATGGGCAAATTAACCTTAGTTTCCTTATCTGTAAAATGGGAATAATAATGCCTAACTTATGTGGTGATTGGTGAGGATTAAGTGAGTTAAAACATGCAAAGCACTTAGAACAATGCCTGGCATAAAGTTAACATACATTATGTGTTAGCTCTTGTTATTTTTAAATTTTTGTTTTCTAACTTCTAAGGTTACTCACAAAATGTTGGCTTGGTACTTAGTAAAAATACAGACTGAAGAAGACTTTTTAAAAAAATTTTTTTCTGACCCCCAAATTAATGAAATAGTCATTTTATATGGTTAGTTAGTATGTCTTTAAACTCCAATTCCATTTGCTTGCTTTCTTCAGCTGTTATCTTCTCTAAGGTAAAAATTTGTCCTTCCTACTGCTTCATATGGTTTTATTCCAGTGTAAGTCAGCACTGTTGCTGTCTAAGTGCATTGTTAACCCATTCTCCTTGCTTTTGGGGACATTCATTTTATTGTAAATAATATTTCATGTTTCTCTGACTTTTTTCCTTACCATTCCTTTTTTACTTCAGTTTCATACACTTTCATTGAGTAGTTACTATAGTCAAGCCATTTTTTTGTCCTTGGTTCACATTGCTGCTCGGCACTTACTGATACTTGTGGGGTCACTACTCTGCAGTCCCTTCCCTTTTATTCTATCGATTTATATCATCCTCAGTTTATTCATGTTATTAACTAATCTCATATAGCTCCCATTTTCCTTAAAGACTTAACATAACTCAAATATCCTACAAATCTTTGCATTTCTTTTGAAAATTAGAAACAGACATTTATTAAATGACTTTTTTTAATCTTGAATAAATACTGTGAGGTAGCCATTATATCCCTTTCTCTCCTTTTAATATAAAATGATAATGGAGGATTCTGAGAAGTTGAGGGTTTTCCCAAATTTGCCACACAGCTAACAAGTGCCTAAATATTACCCCAGTTTTTCTGATCACAAAACTTATCTTTATAACTATCTTATTTGGCTTCCAAGTAAACCTTTTAATCACTTAGAAGGTTGTTAGATTTATTTGAATTATATGATGATAAATAATTTGGGAAACATAACATTTAAGTTTTAAAGTAGAAAGAATCAGTACTTCTTTTGGATATCTAGGATTATAGACTGAAACTAAGCTATCTTTAATAGAAATATTTTATTGTAATGTATCATAATATTAATGTGAAATTATGGATGTTATAGTTTTGCTTTTCATTTCTAAAGTTCAGTAGAAGACTTCTTATGTCTTCTTTCTCATTCTTTTTTAAAGGCTTGTATTAGTTTAAAGGGCTACCTTAACAAATTACTGTAAACTGGGTGCCTTAAAAAAATAGAAATTTATTCTCTCACAGTTCTGGAGGCTTGCAGACTGATGTCAGGTGTCAGCAGGGCCACCCTCCCCCCTACAGCTCTAAAAAAGGATTATTCTTTGCCTTCTCTAGCGTGTGGGCAATCTGTGGCACTCCTTGTCTTGTGCATGCATCTAATCTCTGCCTCTGTCTTCACGTGACATTCTTCCTTGGGTCTGTGTGTTTTCACATGTTTTTTTTTTCTTTTTGCTTCTTTATTGGCTACTGTGTAGATTCACATGGATTTCTTAATGACACCAGTCATTTGATTTTGGGCCACTATAGTCCAGTATAATTTCATTTTACCTAATAATATCTTCAAAGACCCAAATATTTCTGAATAATGCCCATCCACAGGGTTAGGACTCCAATACATCTTTTTTTTTTTTTAAATTCTCACCTGAGTCCATGCTTATTGATTTTAGAGAGAGGGGAATAGAAGAGAGAGAGGGAGACAAACATCAATGAGAGAGTGAAACGTTGGTTGCCTCTTACATGCACCCCAACTGAGAACCCACAATCTAGGCATGTGCCCTGACCAGGAATCAAACCTGTGACTTTCTGTTTACGGGTGACACTCCCAAGCAACCAAGCCACGCTGGCCAGAGCTCAATATATCTTTTTAAAATTATTTATTTATTTATTTTTAGTGAGAGGGAAAGGGAGGGAGAGAAACAGCGATGTGAGAGAGAAACATCAATCTGTTGTATATATTCCACCCAGGGACAAAGTTCTCAACCCAGGCACGTGTCCCGACTAGAATCAAACTAGTGACCTTTTGGTTTGTGGGACGATGCCCAACCAACTGAATGACACTGGTCAGGGCTCAGTATATCTTTTTGAGGAACACAGTTCAACTTATTACATGTCCACATCTATTAACCAATTAAATATTTCTCATTGCCAAATAAATTTTAAAAATAGAAGTTAGTTCATAAAACATAGGTAGCTGGAAATAAACTGTGTTTCCATTTTTGTTTGGAGAGGTAAGAAAACTTAATTGAGACAGACTAAAAAGTCATGAATTCTATATTTTAATTTTGGCAAAGCATCTGATACTGATAGTCTCATTGTTTTCAGATCAATTCAAGGATAAAACACAGGCTGTGTGACATTGCATCTGTTGAGGTTGATGGTGTGTGTCTCTGTTCCAGCATGAAAGGTTTCTTATTTCCTATGCAGTTTCTCAAAGCATTGTCCTAGTGGCAGTGGTCTTTCCCTGGAGTTTTTTTGTTTGTTTTATGTTTTTATCATACATGCAATTTAGAAGAGAAATTGGAGAAAGCAGATATGGCACTGGAGATTGTCAAAATATGAAGAGCGGCACCAACCAGCGGGCAAAGGAATCTAGTGCAACAGCTAAATTTTTAGATTTTGTGGAGCAGTGCTAGATATATATAGAAGAAAAACGGAGGAGAGTGTGGATTTGAAGATTGACATACAACTGCGGTTTTTAACTTTACTCAAGGAGGACATCAAAAAACCCAAACAAATTCTGTTACGTACTTTTATCATTTCATTAAAAAGAAAGACATTTTGATTTCTGCATTTTTTTAAATGGCTGACTAAACTGGATGGAAAGACAAGTAGAGTGGGCAGGGGAGCAATAGAACTGGATAACTCAGAGGAGCCCAGGAGACTGAGACCACAGGGAACATGAAGAGCAGATTCTGTCCTAGTGAGCCAGTTACAGAGCTTGAAGGATAATTGGTTCTGCTTAGAGAGGAAAGTTAGTGTCTTGGATTTTAGACTGGAACAGTTTTAAAAATAAAGAGGTGATAAAACTTGCCTTTCTTGTGTGAGTGTGAGGCTTTGCATAGAAGAGGTAGGTCACTGGAGTACATCCGTTCCATTTACATGGTGGAGGAATACCATAGGATGAATGTCATCAGGTCGTGAGTTTCAAAAAGATGGTGGTGGAATGGGGGAGAATCAAATTAAGCGATCCAGATGCTGAAGTCATTAAGGGATTTTAAAATTTTTACTTTCTTATTGAATTTTCAGGGTGATATTGGCTAATAAAATTATATTGGTTTCAGGTGTACAATTCTATAATATATCATCTGCGAATTGTATTGTGTGTTCACCACCCCTAGTCAAGTCTCCTTTTATCACCATTTATCTCTCCTGGAAATTGTAAATATATCCAGGTGGAGAAAATGATAAGTGCTAAAGCGAGAGTGTACACTATGGTTTGGAACATGGACTCTGGAGCCAGGCTGCTTGAGATCAAATCCAGGTTCTATCACCTGTTAAGTGGCCTTGCAAAAAATGACTGCACTTTTCTGTTCCTCAGTATCCTTATCTATAAATGAGACAAAGATAGTATATAATTGATAGAGTCATTTAGAGGATTAAATGACTTAATATAAAGTGTTTCAAATAATACTTAGCACTAATATAAAGGTTAGCCTATAATTCTATGTAGTATATGTGTTTGTTAGAAGATAGACTTGAGAAGAGAACAAGTGCTTGAGAAATCGTGATAAAACATACTACTTTGTTTGCCCTTTAAGTCTCAGAAATAAAGTAAGATTTAAAAGGAATAACCACCAGTTGTACATCATGTTTTCATCTTGACAGTGGGTAGAAGGATTGTTTTTAGACAAACTTGTTAATAGATAACTTGTTCATATCAGAACAGTGGCTCTGTAGAATAGAGTGGCAAGTATTGAAAACGCAATGGGTTTCTTGGATGTAGGTTAGTGCTGAATTAACAGGAATGGGACAGGAGTAGCAATAGAGTGACAGTACTCCATTCTTCTTAGAATAGTAATCATGGGAAGTAGAAATGGAAGAGCGAGAGATTGAGAAGCAGCCAAGTGGGATAGATCAGCTAGCTAGATTTTTTGTTTTTACTGATTCCAGAGAGAGGGAAGAAGAGGGAGAATGGGAGCAGAGAGAGAGAGAGAGAAAGAGAAGCATGCACCCATTGCCCCACCCATCTGGTGTCCAGTGGTCGCTTCTTGTGTGTGCCCTGACCAGAGATGGAACCCACAACCTTGGTGTATTATTGGGATGACACTCTAACCCACTGACCTACCCAGCCAGGGCATTAGTTAGGCTTCTAAGGGAGGAGTGCTGAATAGGCTATATGAATTGTTAGAGGCTTTGTAAAACTAACTTATATATCTTAATACTTATATATAATTTAAAGTAAGCATTTATAAAGCTTATAAAATATAGAAAATTCAGGAAGTAAAAATTTAGTTTTACTCATTTGCCCAACAATGCTATCTGCTATGTGCCATCCTCTCTTCTAGGTGCTCAGGATATATTGTAGTGAACAAAACAGAACACTTACCTTTGTGGGCCTCACATTTTTATATATTTATTTATCTAAGAATGATGGTTTGTTTTGATTGGAAAGTTGTGCAACCATGAGTGTTACTGAGGAAATTTCCCACCTTCCTTTTTTTTTCTACAAATGTCTATCACATGCCTGCTATACTAGGCACTGGAGATACAAAGATCAAGTTAGACGTGGTTCCTTAGAAAATAGACAATTAAACAAGCAATTAGATACAATATTCTAGGAGCACATACTATAGTATTTTTGAGGGCATAGAAAAGGAATCTCCCCACCCCACCCTGCCAAGAGAGACATGTCTAGCCTGAGACTTACTGAGTAAGTAGGAGTTAGTCAAATGTAGTGGTGGGGGGATCAGGAGGAAAGATCATTCTGGCAGAGAAAACAACATGTTGAGGGACTAGAAAGTTATTTAGTTTGGATAGCATTTAGACTTTGAGGGGTTAGGTTTAAAGAGAGGTAAGCAGGACCTGGTTTTTGAGGGCTTTGTAAACTTTGTTAGGATAGAATCCAAACTCTTCAAATGTAATGGGAATGAACCTATTCAAAGATTTTTAAAGAAAATTTATGTGATTACTTTAATGTATTAAAAAGATTATTGGTTGTAGTATGGAGAGTGAATTGAAAAGCAAAGGTTGTTGCAGCAATGAAGTGATAGATTGGCAGTTGGGACCAGAATCCTAGGTAAGGAACTTCTCAGTGAGCTTGGAAAAGAAAAGACAGGTTTGAGAGAAATTTAGGAAGAACTTTAAGAATGTAATCATGTTTCTGGCTTGTGTTTTGGGGTTTGTGTTTTGGGGTACATGCTGTCATCATTGACTAAGAGGGGCACAGGAGAAACAGGTTTGGTAGGGTGAAGTATTTGTTTTTGGACTTTAGTGTGAATTGTCTTTGGAATGCTCCCATGAAAATGTAGTAGAGGCAGAAAGATGATACATGTCTGCGGAGAGCTTTGGGCCGGGAATAAAGATTTGGGAGGAATCAACATGTAGATGGAAATTGATGGGAGGGGAGAACATTTGGGGAAACTGTGGAGGTTGGGAAGAAGGCCTGTTGAAGAATTGGGAGGAAAAAGAATCCACAAAGTAAGCCAAAGAAGATCTTCGAGGTAGAATGAAAATCAGGAGGCTATTATCGCTTATGCCAAGGTAAGAGACTGTTTTGAGAAGAAAAACAAGTGATGGACAGTGTATTTTCTGACAGGCAAAACTAAACATGTGCATTGGATTTATTACTAAAGTTGTTAATGACCCTCTTAGAGAAATTTAGTTAAGAGGTGAGCCCGTGCTGAGGAAGTAATCACAGTGGATGAAGGGGACAGCTCATTGTTTTAAGTTTGTATATACTGATAGTTATGCAGTCAGAGATCAGTACTTGGAGTTGGACTTGAACTGCAGTGGAAAGTTTTTTGTAAAGATAAGATTGAATATATTTAATATTTAACTCCAGTAGGAAAGCATGAATAGGAATGGGAAGATTGAAGGAAGATCAATCTTGGTGCAGTTACTACTAAGCAGATACAGAAAATAAATATAGTTATTCTGTCAGTTAAACAATTTTAAGAAGCAGGATCGTGTTTAATGCGTAACACACACTGAGAAGCTAACTTTACAAATGAGAAAACCAGTTTTATAACTTTCCTGGAGCTTAGAAAATGTCATTTGTTTTGTCTACATGTTCTTTTTTCTTAGGAAAATCGTATGCATGAGAAGTAAAATTATAATCTGAAGTCCACTTTATGAGCATGGAATCATCAAGGGAAGTTAGTTGAATGTTTTTAATGGCAAATGAAATCAATCTATAACTGCATCCAGTTTCATTGTAGGGCAGTAGCTTCTTTGTGGACGGCGTAGTAGTGTCCCTGCTTCGGGCCTGCTCTGTTTTGAACAGTATTTGTGATTGCTGCAGTTTTTACTTCTCTCACTCTCCTTTTTCTCTATGAATGCTCTCTTATGGTCTATTCTTCTGTATTAACCCTACCCACGGGATTTTACACAAATCTTTCTGCTTCTTCTTTTAGTGGCATCTGTAGTCATATGATTTATTCTGCAGTTAGTTTGAGTATATTAATATTTTTAATAAACTTTCATATCTGGTAATGCTTTATAGTATCACTTATAGTATTTCTATAAATGTCATAAAATTATATAAATATTTGAGAATTCAGTTATTTTTATGATCTTGTAATGTACTTTAAATGTAGTTGGCATACTGATCAAAAAGTAGCAATTTTAAAATATTTTTATTGTAAAAATAGATAATTTGATAAGTCCAACATTTTGCAAAGAGGAAAATTAAAATCCTCCCATGATTTAATTTAAAAATTTTTATGTATAGACCTTCAGTTTGTTTCTCGAATATCTTTTCTCCTGTCTTCCATAAAACTGAACCCATACAGCCTACTGTTCTTTTCTTAAAATATTATTATGAGTATTTTCTTATTAAATTTTGTCTTTTTAAGATTTTTAGTGTTTGCATAGAATCAGAGCTTTTAATTAATCATAATTTTTGTATTGGATACCATGGATTTATTTCTATCTTCAGTATAGTTAAATGTAACTATATGAGGAATATCTGTAAGATTCACTTTCTGTGCGTAACCCAGATTATTGCCTTAAGATACATTCCTAAAAAAAGGAATTTAGTGAAAAAAGGAATGGTGAATAGTTATATTTTCATTATCAATATATGAGCATGTCTATTTATTAGTGGGGATGTATTATTTATATATAAATTATTTATTTTTTAAAGATTTTATTTATTTATTTATTTTTAGAGAAGGGGGAAGGGAGGGAGGGAGACATCAGTGTGTGGTTGCCTCCCAGATCCCTCCACTGGGGACTTGACCCACAACCCAGGCATGTGCCCTGACTGGGAATCGGACTGGCAACCGTTTGGTTTGCAGACCAACACTCAATCCACTAAACCACATCATCCAAGGCCCTATATATATAAGTAATAGGAGAAAAATATTTATTTTGATTTGCATATTTAAATATTATGAGTGTGGCTTTCCTCTATTTAATGTGTTTGTGTCTGTAAGTTGCCTTCCATTAGTATTTTTTGTCATGGTGAGAGGGAGAAAGGAGAGGTGTGAATGAGTGTTGAGCTTTCTTTCTCAAGGAGGAATGAGAATATTAAGTTCTTCCAAGGACATTCGTCAGTTATCTAAAAATAATATAAACCTTTATATCTTTTTAGAGGATACATTTGTTCATTGTTTATTTCTTAGCATGACTATATGAAAGAAGAAGGTTTTTCTGAAGATGAGGCGACTGAATCGGAAAAAAACCTTAAGTTTGGTGAAAGAGTTGGATGCCTTTCCAAAGGTTCCTGAGAGCTATGTAGAGACTTCAGCCAGTGGGGGTACAGGTGAGAATATCAATTCAAATTAAAACACCTTCGCTAAATGCCTCTGAGTGATCCAATCAGTAACGTACAGAAATATAGCCATGAGGAAAAACTCATCAATGTATTAACTTTTTTAACTGCCCTGTCCTCACGTAATGCTGTTTTGCTCTAATTTGAGTGTGTGTGTATGCATGTGTATTCTTTTCGGCATCTAACTCAGTATAGTCTGCATTTAGCAGTGTTTATTGAAACATTAATCCTGTTTTACTGTTTTGGCTCTGGTGAGTTATATATGATTATGTGAACAAGATTGTTATATATAAATATAATTTAACTCAGAATAAGTTATTTAATGATGTTAAACTGCCTCAGTGTTATTTTGGTTAAGAATAAATCAATTTAGACATCATTATATAATAAGAGTTCTTACATTTCACCTTACTGGAGAGAGGCAACATGGGGTAATAGTTAAGAGTGTGGAACCAGACTCTCAATTTAAATCCTCTTCTCCTCCCTAACTACATGACCTTGAAGAAGTAACCTGTCTCTGCTTTAGTTTCTTCTATGAAATGGGGCCAATGTCAGTATTTATATAGTAGAGTTGCTGTGATGTTAAATAAGTTAATATTTATAAAATGCTTAGAACAGAGCCTGGTACAGATAGAAATATGTGTTAAGTAAAACAAATAATGGAATAGATAAGCAAAATATGGAACTATAACACTATTTCCTGTTATTTCTTTCTCTGAGAAGAACTGATAAAATAGTGTTTCACATAAGATTGACATTTCATTTGGTAAATGTGTACTAAGGTTCTTACTATTTCTAATCTTGTGATTAATTTTTGTTATAATCTCTTGTGATTAATTTTTTAAACAAAATTAGCTCGTTTTTTTTCACAATCCATTTTAAGTGTGTTTTGTCACTTAAACCAAGTATATGGTAGTTTTTTCCTTTTTGTCATGTCTTTGAGCTGCTTCTATAAATGAAATGATATGTTTAGGAGATTCCAAAGTAGATGAGAGTTTTATTAGAGATTTGGAGGTATATGTTGTCTGAATTTCTGGCACACAGATTATTGTGGCTTCTCAAGATTTAAAAAATTAGGCTAATTTTAAAAATTGGGCTGTAGGCATAGATGCATTTTTAATTTGAGGGGACCATTTTCAGATTTGTGATGTGAAATATATGCCTCCTTTGATTATTTACTATGTCTGTGACACTGCTATATGTAAGAAAGCATAAGTTTTGTGTCTTTAAATACTGAAGAAATAAAATGCTTTCTCCATAGTACAAATGTTTGTGTTTATTTGTGTGTTCATTGATCATTAAATCTTATTTTCTGAGCTGTTTTAGGGGGGAAATCTATCATAGACATTTTAAGAAAAATTTTTTATAATAGTGTCATGGCAGCCATGAAGTCATTCTTTGATATATTTAATCTCACTAAAAGTAGTTTCCTAGTATTTACTTATAAAAGAAGTTTTAATTGTTTTTCATTTTTGTTTGATTTCTCAGTTTCTCTAATAGCATTTACCACTATGGCGTTATTAACCATAATGGAGTTCTCAGTATATCAAGATACATGGATGAAATATGAATATGAAGTAGACAAAGATTTTTCTAGGTAACTTTTCTTTTTGAAATACCTTTAGATTTAAATTGTTTTAAAGATAATATGCCATTTTAAAAAATAAATTGTTTTAAAGCTGATATGCCTTTTAAACAAATATCTATTTATCTAAAAATAAATATTTTGCTTACTTGGTTTACTTTATTTCTGAAGAAGTAATTCTTATAAATTGTCATTTTTGCATGCATTAGGTAAAACATTTTAGAATCATTTGAATACTGGTTAAATTCTGAAAGGGAGGTTCTCTGATATAAATGCACTGTATAAAATGGTTAGGAGAACATGTTTTTTTGAAGATACTGAACTGGTAGGAATTATTTAATGTGCTAAAACTTTACTTTTTAGATTTTGAAATAGCTTACTGATCTGCATAAACTGGAAAATAAACTGAAGATACATTGTATATGCTTATAACGATTTTTATAAATTACATCCAAACTAAATTTTAATGTAAATAACATCACTTAAAAGTTTGAAAATACAGTGCCTGAATAAGGAGACAAGTATACTTTATTTTATTTGTATTATTGGGATATTTTAATTGATCGAAGATAATAGGTTTATAAGATTGTACTAGATGGGAGGGACATTTACTTCTCAATTCTAATCATAGCTCTGCCATTTACTAGCTATGTGAGTTTTTAGGGAAGTTACCAAATCTGTATCTGCATGTGTTTCAGTTTCTTTTTCTATTAAATGGGGGTAATAATTATAGTACCTTCCTCATGACACAAGTGAGAAGTCAGTCAACATTTATTAATTGCTGTTACCTTGGGTAAGTCATGCAGCTGACTTATTTTGGGCCTCAGTTTCCTCATTTATAAAATGAAGAGTATTATTCTTGATAACATGGGTTTTCAAACACTGTGTTATTTTTGTTATTTTATTTGTTTTTAGCACCAATGAAACACTTTTTTCTTTCCCAAATGTAGTCTTACATATAAGACTAGTCTTATAAGTAAGCCCAGTGGGGAAACCCAGAAGCCTGTCTACTTGTTCTTCTCTCCTGGTTCCTACAGCATCTCCTGAGCCTAAACCCCAAGGTTATTTGGAGCCCAGTTTGAACTCTACACAACTTTGAGACTCTGAAGTCCTAAAAAATCTGTTGAAAATTATTTTGAAGCTCTAAGTATTTTGAAACCTGATGCAAATTCTTAGAGTGAAAGAAGTTTTGATAGGCAGCACAGGATGAGACTGATATTGATTATACTCATTCTGTTATTTATGGTGCTTAATTAATTCTAATATTTGAAAAGCAATTTAATTTGAATTCATCATTTATTTAATAAAGCATTTTTAAAAGGCCATGCAAAACTTTAAGCATCAGAGTTTTTTCCCGGCAGTTTGGCTGCATTTATTGAGTCACCCAGACCTAGTTTCCAGTTATGCCAGTTCAGTGATTATGTGATCTTAAGCCAGGCGTTTGTACTGCCCTGAACACCACTGTTTTATCTACAGAACTGTGAAGCCACCACTTTATAGGTCCATGATAAAAAATATAGAAGATAATTAGAATGCTTGATGTATAGTATTTATTTGACAGAGGAGAAACGTTTGCAGTTCCTAACTCTTGATTTTGAAAGTTTTAAAAGACTATTTTAAATAAGATTTATGTAAACAAAGGCTAAAACTTATTTTTCTGAGTTTCTTGGAGTTGTTTAATTTAATAAAATTAAATTGCATGATACAGTATTAAAAACCTGTAAAATCAGAAAGCCTTTTGGAATGATTGGAGAATAGAATTTTAGTTTCAAAGTGCTTTTGTTTTTGCCATAAGAAATGCTTTCTAAGTTCTAATTGATATATTCTTGAAATCCAAGTTTTTCAGAGAGTTGACTTATATTTCTCATGTTTTTTATTACTTGGTGGGTATTAAAGTTTCCTTTTTGTCTTTTAGCAAATTGAGAATCAACATAGATATTACTGTTGCCATGAAGTGTCAGTGTAAGTATACCTTTAACTTGATGAATCCATATATAGCTATAGTTCAAACAGTTGCTAGGAAAAAGTAAAACCACTGGTTGTTTTAACTGTTTTTCCTTTACTGTATCTTAAAATGCTGTTGCAGTGTTATTTAATAATGTAAGTTTCCTCCCCCAATTTATATTCTTTAAATTTTTTCTTTAGAAAGAGAAGAGATTCAGCTTTCACATTAGTATAATTAAAAAAAAAACTGAAGGAAATTTTTGTGAATAAAAGTTTTAGTGTAGGTATATGTCCTTCTTTCTTGTTTGGATTACCAGTTTTTATACCCATGTTTCTCAAGAATATCCTGTTTCACTCTTCCAGTTTATTACCCTTTACTCTTTCATATTAAAATATATACCCAAGTGTTTGAAGTTAATAGTGATCTTTTTTCTGTTTTGCTTGTACTGGTAGAAGTGAAAAGATGTTAATATATTATATTCTGGGTAATGTTTGAATCAGTAGTACTCTAAAAAATGATGATATTTTTACATAAAAGTTATCTTTAAATTACCACTTGAAAAATAGAGACAAATAATTTAGTAGTTCAGACAAAGTTTTTTAAAGTGTGAAATAGTGTTATCCAATTAAGGAAGTTAATTTCTGGGAAATTTTATCACAGGAACCTTAAATCTTTTTACCTTTTCCATTTATTTTTTTCCTTATGTTAGTGATTTTAAGAGAAATACTTTGTATTGAAATTATGAGCTGGTGTTAATACTGAACACATCATATTTTACCTTATTTTAGTTGTTTGAATACCATTAGAATTCTAGCCTTTTCAAATAAACATTTTCTATTGATATTTTAAAAATCAGTAGCTTTGCCTTAAGATTTCGTTTAATCTAAAATAATTCTTAAAATTAATGTTTTGTGTAGCAGCCATTTAGTACTCATGATTAGATTCTTACATTTTTTTTGCAAAGCTCTTCAGTAAACTTTATACTGTTTATGGTGACATTCTGAATTGTCTTTTTACTGAGCAAGAAGTAAAAAAAATATTAATTTTTGGAATAATTCAACCAAATCTATATAATGCTACTATTTTAACTTAAATAAACATATAGGAAAGTAAGTTTTCTGGTAATTTGTTAGTTTATATCAGATATAGTTGGGCTCTTAACATAGAATATAAAACTTCTAATTTTTTTATGCAGATGTTGGAGCAGATGTATTGGATTTAGCAGAAACAATGGTTGCATCTGCAAATGGTCTAGTTTATGAACCAGTAAGTTTGATTCATGTATTTTTAAGAGTAATATGCTTTAAGAAATTGTTCCCTTGAAAACAGTTTTTATATTTTCTTTGGTTTTGTCTCAGCGAGTTTTTAAAATATATTTTCTCAATTTTAAAGAAGTGCATATTCTTTGTAAAAATGTAGAAGGGGGAGTTGTATGTAATACCAAAACTTGAGATAATCATTGTTAGCATGGTTAGCATTTTGAATAAGCCTTTCATGTCTGTTTTATAACCTTATTCTTATTTTACATTTTTGTTAATGTTTTCTAATAGTTTTCCTTTCTAATAGTTTTCTAAATGTTTTCCTTTTCTCTTTTTTTTAGAGTTGCTATAGTGATGAACTATTCTTTTCCTCTAATGATTTGGAAATTCTGTGTCCTTTTTGTATTTCTCTTAACATAATCAAGAACGGAGCAGTTTCTAAGAAGAGAAATTTCATGTGCATTATTCCTTTCTTTTTCACATCTCCATTTCCCAAAACTAGTGAGATACTGACATTCTCATATTTTTTTTATGGAACAAATTGTGTATAAGGTAATCGACTTCAGAAATCACCACTAGCCTTGACTGCTCAGTTGATTGGCTGACCTCCCACTGAGCAAAGGTTCACTGGTTGGATTCTGGTGGGGCATGTGCCTAGGTTGCGGGTTAGTGGGGCATGTGTGAGAGGCAACCTATCGATGTTTCTCTCTTTTTCTTTCTGTCTCCTTTCCCCTCTCTCTAAAAATAGGTAAATAAAATCTTTAAGAAAGAGGAAGAAATCACCATCACATCACTGGGGCAGGTATCATATTACAAAGGCTGATAACAAGTCATGACCAGTGACAGCCAAGAGGACAGCTAGATCAGGAGTGAACAATAGAAATGAAGATCAGGTGGAGGGTTAGCAACAGGGGAGTGGGAGAGGGAGAAGGGGGGAGAAGGTACAGAAAATAAGTAGCATAGATGGTAGGTAGAAAATAGATAGGGGGGAGGGTAAGAATAGTAGGGGAAAGATAGAATCTAAAGAACTTGAGACATGTGTTCATGAACTAAAGGGGGGGAATGGTGGGGGAGGGGTGTGTAGGGTGAAGGGGAATGGAGGGGGGAAATAGAGCAAATGTAATGGCATAATCAATAAAATAAAAATATATATTTAATTAAAAAAAAGAAGCAGTTTTGCCTTGAGTTGCTGACTGCTTTGTTGGCATTTTGGTAGTTACGTTTACCATGCATTCCTGAGTTCTTCATTTACCATTGATCCCCTGAATGCCTTTTTAAGCAAAATTGCAAAGTGAAGACTAACAGTGATAGAGGAGAATTAGAAGTAACTGAATCTGAGGAGCAAAAAAAGGAGCCCTTAGGTTTGTTTTATTATAAAATTATTTTTAGCTTAAAACAACAAATATATTTATTTCTTTTGGTATGCTCTTTTTAAATAGAAATTTCTAAAGAAAAAATTTAGTACCTTTCTTATTGTCATTCTTCTTTATTCCCCTTCAAAAATTGATATCACAGTAATTTTATATGAGGTTAAGTATCTTAAAAATTTAGGCACCATGTTGCTGTATATTACACTTGTCTGAAACTTTAGATCTGGAAGATAATTATTAGATACTTCAAGATTTGCATTACATTTTATATTATTATAATAATGATTATTCAGTTTTACCTCTATATGCTGTTATTCTTTCTAACATTCTTAGTTTCTTGATTTTTGTTTATTACTGTGTTGGAGGAACTTTTTGGGACTATTTATCAGCAGAAATGTGATAAATGGTCCCAAGGACTCTAGGATGACTGCCTGTGCCATTCTGCTGTTCATACATGTAAGCTTGCTTGAGGAGAAAATTCATTCTTGCTTTTTCATGTTTTGCACTCAGAATTTTATAGACATTCCTTGTCTTCTGGCACAATTATTTTTTTCCCTTCATATGTAATATATTTACTTTATCTACTTGAATGCTTTTTTACTTTTACTGTTGAAATCCAAATATTTATCCTGTATAAATAATGTGGATTCCCTTTAGGGATTTTCATCCTTGGCGATCTTAATTTTTAAGTGTTTTTTTTGCTCGTTTATTTGTTTTAATGATATTGAAAGAGTGTTTTTACCTCTGCTTTTTAAAATTGTCATATGATATCGAATTTTATAGAGTTGTTCTGAATATCTTTATTACTCCTTACATTAGATACATATTTTGAACTTTGCCTCTGAGTTCTGAAGATTATTTTGATCCGGAAGGACCAATCTTCTTTTCAGTCTTCCCTCCCTCCCTCCCTCCCTCCCTCTTTCCTTCCTTTATTTTTAGAGAGAGGGGATGGAAAGGAGAAAGAGAAAGAGAGAAACATCATGTGCAAGAGAAACATAAATAAGTTGCCTCTCACATGCCTCTAACTGGGGGTCTGGCCTGCACCGGAGGCATGTGTCCTGACTGGGAACTGAATCAGAGACCTTGCTTTTTTTTAAAAAAAAAAGTTTGTTTTTATTTTTGTACAAGCATATTTCCATTTTGCCTCCACTGCTCTCCCCTGCCCCACCCACCCCCACAGCTCGCCCTCAATACTACCCCACTTTGGTATTGTCCATGGGTTCTTTATACATGTTCCTTGATGACCCTTCCCATTCTTCCCCCTGTTGTCCTCTTGCCCTTGCCCCTCTTGTTACTATCTTCGTTCTTTATTTCAGTGTTTCTGGTTATATTTTGTTTGCTTGTTTGTTTTGTTGATTAGGTTCCACTTATAGGTGAGGTCATATGGTATTTGTTTTTCACAGCCTGGCTTATTTCACTTAGCATAAATGTTCTTCAGTTCCATCCATGCTTTCGAAAAAAGTAGGAACTCCTTTCTTTCTGCTGCATAGTATTCCGTTGTACCATAGTTTTTTTTATCAACTCATTTACTGATGGGTACTTAAATTGCTTCCAGTACTTGGCTTTTGTAAATTGTGCTGCTGTGAACCTTGGGGTGCATAGGTTCTTTTGAATTGGATCCTTAGGATATACTCCCAGCAGTGGAATTGCTGGGTCAAAAGGCAATTCCATTTTTAGTCTTCTGAGGAAATTCCGTATTGTTTTCCACAGTGGCTGTACCAGTCTGCATACCCACAAACAGTATAGTAGAGTTCCCTTTTCTCCTCAACCTCTCCAGTTCTTGTTGTTTGTTGATTTGTTTATGTTGGCCATTCTGACCCTGTGAAGTGGAATCTCATTGTGGTTTTAATTTGCAGCTCTGACGGCTAGTGATGCTGAGCATCCTTTCATATATTTTGGGGCCCTCTGTATGTCTTCCTTGGAGACGTGTTTGTTTAGGTCCTTTGCCCAGTTTTTAATTTGATTATTTGTGTTCTTGGAGCAGAAGTGTGTGAGTTCTTCATATATTTTAGAGATCAAACTCCTGTCAGAGGTATCAATAGCGAACATATTTTCCCGTGCAGTTGGTTCCCTTTTTATTTTTCTGGTGTTTTCTTTAGCCACGCAGAAGCTTTTTATTTAGATGAAGTTCCATTTATTTATTCTTTCCTTTATGTCCCTTGCTCTAGGGGACCTATTGGTGAAAATATTGCTGCATGGAGTATCTGAGATATTTCTGCCTATGTTCTCCTCTAGACTTTTATGGTGTTGTGACTTACATTTAAGTCTTTTATCCATCTCGATTTTATTTTTGTGTATGGTGTTAGTAGTTAAGTTTCATTTTTTTTGCATGTAGCTGTCCACATGTCTCAACGCCATTTGTTGAAGAGGCTATTTTTACTCTGTTTTGTGCTTCTGCCCCCTTGGTTTAATGTTAATTCACCAAAGATTGATGGGTTTATTTCTGGGCTCTCTGTTCTGTTCCATTGGTCTATGTGTCTATTTTTATGCCATTACCAGGCTGTTTTGATTACAGTGGCCTTGTAATACAGTTTGGTATTGGGTATTGTGATCTATTCTACTTTGTTGTTCTTTCTCAGAATTACTGTGGCTAATTGGGGTCATTTATGGTTCCATATAAATGTTTGAAATGTTTGTTCTGTATCTGTGAAATATGTCATTGGTATTTTAATAGGGATTGCATTGAATCTGTAAAATGCTTTGGGTAGTGTGGACTTTGATGTTAATTTTTCTAATCCTTGAACACAGTATTTACTTCTATTTATTTGTGTCTTCCTAATTTTTTTCTTCAGTGTTGTGTAGTTTTCTTGAGTACAGGTCTTTTACCTCCCTGGTTAGGTTTATTCCTAGGTACTTTATATTTCTTGTTGTTATATCAAATGGGATTTTTTCCCTGAGTTCTGTTTTTGATATTTTGTTGTTGTAGTGCAAAAATGCCTTCAATTTCTGATTGTTGAGTTTGTGTCCTGCTGTTTTGCCAGATTCACTTATTAGGTAGAGTAGATTTGTGGTGGAGTCTGTAGGGTTCTCTTTGTATACTATGATGTTATCTGGAAACAATGACAGTCTTACTTCCTGCTTTCCAATTTAAATGCCTTGTATTTCTTTCTTCTCTGATTGCTTTGGCTAGGTCTTCTAATACTATGTTGAATAGAAGTGGTAAAAGAAGACATCTTTGTCTTGTTCACGATCTTAGTGGGAAAGCTTTTAGTTTTGCCCATTGAGCATCATGTTGGCTCTAGGGTTTTCAAATACGGTCTTTCTTATGTTGAAGTATGCTCCCTTTACTCCCACTTTGCTGAGTTGAGTATTTTTATCTAAACGGGTGCTGTACATTATTAAATGCTTTTTCCGTGTCTATTGCTATGATCATGTGATTTTTGTCTTTCCTTTTGTTTATGTGATGTATTACACTTATTGATTTGTAGAGATTGTACCACCCTTGCACCCCAGGGATGAATCCCACTTGATCATGGTGTATGATCTTTTTGATATATTGCTGGATGTGGTTTGCCAATATTCTGTTGAGGATTTTAGCGTCTGTGTTCATCAGCAATATTGGCCTGTAGTTTTCTTTCTGTGTTGTGTCTTTTTCTGGTTTTGGGATTAGGATGATGCTGGTCTCATAAAGAGAGTTTAGGAGTCCTCCCTCTTCTTGAATTTTTTGCAATAGTCTGAGGAGTATAGGGGTTAGCTCCTTCTTAAATGTTTTGTAAAATTCTTCTGTGAAACTGTCCAGTCCAGGGCTTTTATGTGCCAGGAGCTTTTAATTACTGCCTAAATTTCACTAGCTGTTATCAGTGTGTTCAGGCTTTCTGCTTCCTCTTGATTCAGTTTTGGAAGATTATATTTTTCTAGAAATTTGTCCATTTCACCCAGGTTTTCAAATTTCTTGGCATATAGTTGCAGGCTAACGCTCAGTCCACTGAGCCACACTGGACAGAGCTATGTTTTAAAATTCAGTGATTATATTTTCCACCTCTACTATATTGTGGATCACTCCATTTTTTCTCTGTCTTCATGATGCCAGTATGTTTGAGAAACAATTAGAAAAACTAACATTTTTCTTCTTATGTTTAGAAGTGGTATCAGAGAGGAAAATTAGCTCTAGTACTTCATATTGACCACTTCTTTAAAATTAATAACTCTTAATATGTCCCTTGAGTAATTGATTTACTTGTTCATCTTTAAAATAGGGAAGTAAGTGGCCTGATAAGTAATTGAGAGTTGATGTAGAGTGTTATTGGTTCTTACACTTGCTCCTTTTTTTTCATACCTAGATGAAGGAGGTTATATATACTGTGTTTCTGTGTTAGATTAGATCCTCAGATGGTTTGAAAGGAAAAGAGGAAGCTGCAGATGTGTCTGGGATGGCAGAGTGGTTCAGGGCATCCCACATTTCTTTTTCTGTTTGCATTAACAGGCTAAATTTGGTAAGAGTGACTTCTTTCAACTGGTGTAACTGTCCTCATTAGCAACCAGCAATGACAGTGTTTTTGCTTAGTTTAAAATACTGTCCAGGCCACATGTAAGCTAGGAAATAGCACCACTGTGGAATGCCTTCCCCGTGTGGCCTTGGACACTGGATTGAACTAAAAGTGTTGCATGGATGAAGACTGCCTATTTCTGAAGTCTCTTTTTATCTTTTGTAACTGTTTTTTCCTTTGTTCCTCTGACTTGGAGATTTTACTTGCTGCCTAGATGTACTTTTCTCTTCCATAAAATAAATTTTGCATTGGGCTCTCAATTTAGTTTCCCTTGTATTCTGTCTTGTATATGTTCTTGAAAATTTCTAGCATATGGATGCTAATTTAGAATGATTTAAAATGATGACATAGATTGTGTCCTAATTTTTATATTTCTTTGAGCATTGTGAAAATTTATTTATGATGAGACTTAATCATCTTGAAATTATCCTCTAAAATTTTTTATGCTGTTTCTCTAGCATTTTCTATATATTCAGAGTGTCTGTCATTCCCAGTCTCTTTTCTTCCCATTTATTAAGTCCTTGATTTTGTTTATATATTTTCTTCTGAATTGCTTGTCTATCTAGATTTTAGCTCCTGAGAAGTATTAACTATTTTTACTTTATAGTTCACAAAATGTATAGCATAATGCCTTGTAGGTAGTCAGCACTAATGAATTGTTAGAATCATGTAGTGATAGCTTCATTGATTCCATTGTAAACAGTTTCTGCCATCTCTTCCATTTATTGTGGCGTAGGAAAGTTTTATTTAAATTTAACTGTCATATGATTATAGGTCATGCCTTAGCCAGAAAGTTAGGAACTTAAAATATTTAATTGTATATTCTTTATCAGTAATTTTTAAAATGTTTAACAATGTTTCTGGTAAGTATTCATTTCCTTGTCCTTATATATATGAAAATATTTAAAATAAATACTATATTTAGTATAAAATATTAAGTATCTTTAATATAATAAATATCATTAATACAGAATTGTTTAAGAGATCATTTTACTTCCAAATTTTCATTCATTGTTTTAATATACACTCTGGATTTTAAATATGTAATCCTAATAACTTCACTAGCCCCAAACCATGATCACACAATATACCATGATAGTTATTATTTTGCTATTATGTTATATTGCTTTTTTTAATTTAAATAAAAAAATTATTTTAAAAAATGTGTGAAGGTGAGGAATCTGGCAGAGCTGGATTTACAGACTGACCTGTACTATCTGATTTTGAAGAAAAAATTTCAGCCTTTGAGTGCCTTCCTTATACGCAAAAGGAAAAGAATAACAACAAACTCATAGGGTGGTTATGAAGGTTAAGTGAGATAAAGAATTAGGTAGTATAGTGCCTTGCACAAAGTCGGCCACGCAATAGTTTCTTTAACCCCTTGTGCTAAGCATTATACTAAGCATTTCGGGGAAGTCAAAGGAAGAATCACATAGTCCCTACTGCCACTTATTTTATTCACAAGATGACTGGGGAGCAATTGCATGGGGTGTGTTTTATAGATATAAGCGTTATTATCCTCATGTGCTGTGGTGTGAAAAGGGTTGGGAAACATGCTGCAGACAAGTTCAGCAGGAGGAGTAATCAGAGTAATTTCACTGAAATCAGAAAGATTGGACAATTTAACCTGGAGCACATGGTTTGTAGATGTTAGATAGACATAAGGGTCAAAATTACAGGAGAAATTTCCTGTAGGTTGGTATAAATAAATTACCAAAGGTACAGAAATAGAACTGTTTCTAATAGAGTGAGAGATTGTCCTACTTTAATTTAAAACCAAGAATTTATAAAGAGAGACTAGTAGGTTAATGCCTAATTATGGAAGGATAATTAAATAAGTTAAAAAGTAGGATTAATATGCTTTGTTATAAATTGCTTTTATGAAAATCAAAAGAATACTTTTTGTTGCAAAATTAAGTTGTGAATATCACCACAAACCATGAGAAACTTTATTTTCACCAAATTATATAAGTAGCCAAGTCTGATTTTGAACTGATGAAGATAGTGCCCAGATAAAATTTCTGGAATTATTCTTTATTGTTAATACAATTAAGAATTATGGTGTTATCATTTAGCCCATTATAAAAATTTGCTGATTTCATCATGGTATTATCCGAGCAAGAATATGTGCTTTGAAAGCTTAAATATTATACTTAAGCTGTATGTCTTTTTTTTTCTTTTTAAATATCTAAAGTTTCATGCTGGCATCATTTAAATGATTTTAAGTCCTAAAATACCATTTTGTACATATGATAGATTACCAACTTATATCCATTTTCATAAATGTAGATAGCTAGTAGGAAAATATTTGTGATAAAATTTCTTTTACTCTTTTTCAATACAGATAAAATACATTTAAGTTTTTATAGTTTGACTTATAGAGGATGAAATAAATATGAATACTTGTTTTTAAGAACACTATAAGCTTGTTTCTCAAAGAAAAAATTCAAAATTATTATTATAAAAGCCAAGAGAATTTGACAATGTTGGTGATTATGTTTTCCTTTATTTCAGGTAATATTTGATCTTTCACCACAGCAAAAAGAGTGGCAGAGGTAATAAGTAAACAAAGTATTGTGATCCACAGAAATTGGGTCCCATTTTGTCTACTGTAAATTATTCATACATTAGTATATTTCTCTCATCATTTCTCTGGGTGAAATATCAGCAGAATATAGTATATAATACAATCTTTAGACTTTCAGAAAATTTATCATGTTTTAAAGTCATGTTTATCCTATTTCTAGTGCACTTTGGATAATGAATACACTTTAGTTCTTATTAAAAATTTTATTAACTATTTAAAAATCTAAAAAAGCAGTATATAATCATTGTCTAACATTCAGTTTGAATAGAAAGGCTATAAAGTAAAAGTAAAAGCCTCCTAATCATTTCATAAACCTAGTACTGACTAGTGATAATAACTAGAGTTAAATGTCTTGTGTAGCCTTCTAGAAATTTCTGTTTACATATAATTTTCTTTTTCTTTTTTTTTTGCGTATTTATGTTATTTTTTTCTAATACAAATGGGATCATTTCATATGTTCTATAATTTGCTCTCTTTTTGTCTAATGTGATCCTTTGTATAGCTTCCTGTTTATGTACATATAGTAGTCCATTTTATGGATAAACTATAGTTTATCCAATTGGGTGATTACTACGGGTAGATTGCTTGCCAAGAGTCTAATATTGAAAACAGTTCTCAGTGGCCCTGGCTGGTTTGACTCGGTTGAAGTGTGGTCCTGTAAACCAAAAGATTGCAAGTTCAGTTCCTGGTCAGGGCACATGCCTAGGTTGGGGGTTTGCTCCCAGTTAGGGTGTATACAAGGGACAGGCAATTAGTGTTTCTCACATCGATGTTTCCCTTTCTCTCTCTTTTCCTGCTCCTCCAAAAATCAGTGAATGTCTTTAAGTGAGAATTAAAAAGAAAACAATGCTTATTGAAAGTTCTTGAACCTAATTAATTCCTTAGGTACTTGGGTGCACATGTGTGTAGTTTCTAGATTATCACAAGGAAAAAAATTTAAGTATGTTTGGTGATTGCTGTTAACTGACTGTGGTAATCATTTGCGATAAATATATATCAAATCATATGTTGTACACTTTAAACTTATGCAAATGTTATATATCAATTATATCTCAAAACTGGAGTAAAATTTTGATAATGCCAAATATCTTACCAAAGTAGTTTTGTTTATACTCCAAAATTATATGAGATTACTTGATTCTGTACAACCTCACCAACAGTGGGTATACCAAGACTTTTGTACTTTTGCCAATTTGATGGGTGAAAAATGGCAATGTGCTTGTTTTAAATAGTCATTTCTTTTTGAATCAATTGAAGACCTTTTTCTATTTGTACTTCCTTTGTGAAATTGCTTGTTCATGCCATGTACCCATTTTGCTTGGTGTTTTTCTTTTAAACAACTCTAAAGAATTTTTTGTATACTAAAAAATGAGTCCTTTATTATAAGTGGTTGCTCTACTACTTCTACCAGAGATTGTGGGTTTTTGTTTTGTTTTGTTTTGTTTTGGTTTCCAGGCTATGTCTTATAATTAGAAAGTCTTTTACCTAAATTAAGATTATTACAAAAAAATTTTTTTTACCCATCTTTAAAATTTTTTTTTATCATCACTAAGTATATTTCAAAGGCCTTTCTCTCTTAATTTTCAGGTAGACGACTTGGGGAGATTTTAAAATTGAAGTGCAAATTGAATGTAGTTGAACTGAGTAGTAGGTGTTTCTGGGATTCTAGTGGTCTTAGTGTAAAGCCATCTAGAGATGAAATATGTTACTTAAATCTAGAAATAATAAAGTGTGAATCACTTTTCATTTGGAATTTTATTCATTGTTAAGATTAGTAGTAAATGGAAGCAGGGATTGAGTTTTTACTGATAAAATGTTAGCCATTTTCTATCATAGTAGAGTTTCCTATGTACCTTCATACGTGGAATATGAGCTTGGATATTTGTTGGTATGTTTGAAGTAGAAGTCACATACACACATCTACACATCGTTTGGTGTCATCGTCTCTTCTCCCTGCCCAACACTAAAAGTTGAACTTCGGAAATACAAGACACAAAATTATGAAGCTTTCAATTGCTGCCAGCATTATATTCAAAGATTTTAGTCTTTAAATGTATAAATCTGAAGATAGGATCTGGTGTTTTGAAGCTTCCTACAAAATGATGTCTGCTTCTCAACAAATATTCTTGAATGGACTAGAGCTATCCAAGGCCTAGCATTCTGAATAATGTACTTACCAATGTTCTTTACTTTTAGAATTTGCTGAAAGAGATCTAAGCTTACCCTCAATTGATCTGCTTTCTTAAAATACTTAGCATCCTAATTACTCTCCCTCTTGTAGAAGTAAATTTCAGTCCCTGGACATAACCTGATTTCTGCTTTTTATTTGTAGATTTAAGATTTATTTTGAACTATATTTACATTCTGAAAGTGACTTGTTATTTTAACTAGTCCTGCTTTACCAATGTTTTTAATTGATGGTGCATAAGTATTTTATGCTCTCATTTGTACTTCTGGAAAATGTTTATCATTATGATGGGATATGAAGTATTATCAGATTTATGTTTGCTTCCTTTTTTAAGTGCCTATATTTGTTTATAACTCTTCTAAAGTTTTACTTAAAAACCTTATTTTTTAGAGTAGTTTTTGGTTCACAGCAAAATTGAGTGAAAACTACACACGTTTGCACAGCCTTCACCATTATGCACATCTGACACTGGAATGGTACATTTCATGCAGTCTTTGAACCTACATTCACACATGGTTATTGCTTGAAGTCCATACATAGTTTACATTAGGCTGTGAGTTTTCACAAATGTATAATGACATGTATCCAGTATTATAGTACCTGTTGAATAGTTCCACTGCCCTAAAAGTGCTCTGTGTTTCGTCTGTTCATTCCTCTTCCTTTATGTATAATTTTTATAATTGCTGAGCTTGAACTTTAATACACATAACTTTGGATGTTAGTTTTCCAAAGACATAGAACTAAAGAAGGTAAAATAGCATCATGTCTGATGATACAAAATTATTGCTGAAAATGTTAGGAGATAATATGGTCCAAAGGTAGAAGTATTAGAGGAAAGGCTTTTATTTTTGGTGGTGGTGTTTAGAGTAAGTAATTTAAGAAGTTATTGTGGACATAAGAATTTTGTTTAAAAAACCCTCAAGCAACTAATTTTTGTGGCTAGGTATATTTAAAAAGAAAGTAGATGTTTTGTTTCCTACAGTCCTCTGCTTTATATGCTGATACTCTTTTCAAAAAATATCAATAGAGTGTATTTTGTTTAGAATAGTCTTATCATTGAATAAAGTTCAGGTGTCTTCAGAAAAGGAGTCACTAGGTAGTATTGAATGGCACTGTGTCTTGGTTTGTAATGAGAATCGAATGCTGGTGCTGTGGCTTCACAGGCCAGAAATCTTCCACTTTAAGTCTTTCAGACCTATATCGTGTGGTCCCTTATTTATTTATTTATTTTTTTTAAATATCTATAATGCTTTTTCAATGCTGTACAAAAAGTAGGAATTTTATAATTACTTCATGCATACACGAAAGATGAATTTAGATACTCAGATGAGCACGTCTACCATTGATGCAGTCAGACGGGTTTATTATGTAGCCGAGCTATTAGACATGTAGCCACCCTGCCTCACCTCTTTCTTCTTCCAAGAAAAATGACCAAAGGAAATTTAGTATTTTATTTTAAAATAAAGTCCTAAAATAATAAATGCATGGCTTAACTAAATCATCTAATTATTTTTTAAGGGTTGGCTTTCTTTGTGTACCTTACCATATTTGTAAGCTGTTGCTTGTTTGTGTTATGTTTAGGATGCTGCAGCTGATTCAAAGTAGACTGCAAGAAGAACATTCACTTCAAGATGTGTTATTTAAAAGTGCTTTTAAAAGTTCAACAGCACTTCCACCAAGGTGAGATGTATGTTTTAAGTGTGCAACTATTTATTATGAACTTGCTTTGACAAAATTTTAATACTGATTTAGTTATCCAGATCTCATATTTCTCAGGAAAATGTAATCATTCTGTTTGATGAAGTTTTTTTTACTCTTAAATGCATAGCCTATGTTATTGATCAGGATTATTATAAATATATTACAGTTGATCCTTGAATGACATGAGTTTGAACTGCTCAGGTCCACTTATGTGCAGATTGATTTCAATAACTGCCTGTACTGTTTTCTATCTGGGGTTGGTACTCCACAGGTAGAGGGCCCACTGTATGTACTGACCTGTGTCACTTTATGTAGGGGACATGAGCGTTTGTGAATTTTGGTATCCCTGAGTCTTAACACCCAATCCCCTACAGATACCACAGGAAACTGTGTAAAGTTTTGGTGGAGTCAAAAGTTATATGTGGATTTCAGCACCCCTACTACTCGTGTTGTTCAGAGTTCACTGTATTTCATTTTCGGTTAATTTTTCTCTTTTTATATGTTTTTGTTACACCTCCATATGAAATTATTTTATGCTTTAAGAACAAATTAATTGCATTTCACATTATGATGTATAAACTTTGATTAGGAATTTTGTGGTTTTTTTCTTTTATAGATAAGAATAGCTGACATTTGGAAATGCTAAAATAATGAAAATGATCTTTTAAAACTATACAGCAGGTTCACATTTGCTTAGGAAGAAAGTGTCATTGTCTGTGAATTTAGACGGCCTGCCTTTTCCTTACCTCATTTCTATTCCTATCCTCCCCAGTTCCCTACAGTGCCAAAAAAAGATGGTGAAAGTTTGTCTTTGTTGGACTTACTCTTTACCTGTAGCCTTGTCTTCTGTCATGGGACTTTATCCTTTGGTTAGATTTGAAGAACCATGGAATTTTAGATTTGTGTAAATGTAATATATGTCTGATTATTATGTGATTTTTTTCCATTTTTAAATATATGCTTTTTTAAACAAATGTATAGACTTCAAAAAACTTCTTCTGATATTTAGACATTACCTGAAAAATTCATCTTTACAGATCAATATTGATGACAATATTAAACATGCTGTAAGTAACCCTAACATATCCTGTTGCAATAGGGAAGATGATTCATCACAGCCTCCAGATGCTTGCCGAATTCATGGTCATCTGTATGTCAATAAAGTAGCAGGGAATTTTCACATTACTGTGGGCAAGTATGTTCTTTTCACCTACTGAAAATACTTTAGACAAGTTGGCAGCTTGTTAAAAGTAAATTCTTAACTAAAATAATATTACAAGACTACTAAAGAACTGCTTAAAATGTTTTGTATCGATATTTTTGAAGTCTCAAGACTGCTGTTCTGGGCTTTAAACGCAGAATAGAGAAGACTACTGACTTTAAGCACTACTTCAAAACAAAAGTGAAATACTCATTTCATATTTTATATGTTAAAGTAAATGAGCTGTAGTTAAATGTGAATTAAAATCTGCTAACCAAGTTTTAGTAGCCTGAAAGCTCTTACCTAGACATTTCGTTAATTTGTTCATTTTGTTCGGTGGTATTAGGTTTTTGTTTGGTTCTTCTGTTTGCTGATCATCACGAAAATATAACCCTAACTAGTTTAAGACAAGTATTTCAGTGTAGTTAGCAATTAGTAGTGTCTGGGAAAAAGTTAAAGTAGGTAAAAGTTAAGGAAAAAATATTAGACCATCTACCTTCATAGGCAGCACCCAGCACAGAAACTGTTATACAATGAATATTTGGTAAATTTCTGAATGAATAAATAATTCTCTGATCCTGCCTCCCTTCCTTCATCTCTTCCATGTTGAGTTGCAGGACTGAATAGTTCTTCATTGTAAGAGACATTTTTTGACTACTACTTTGTACAAAGTACCATGCTAGATACCAAGGATGAAAAGAGAAAAAAAGCAAAGGTTTTTGTGCTTATGGTACTGACAGTCTGAGAGAGCCTGACCTTTAAACAGTGAATTGCACTGGTAGCTATTTAATTATAGTTGTATTGAGGCTAGAAGGAAGTATGGCTGGTAAGGAACTACATAACAAGGTACCTGACCTACTCTCCACATCAGCAGAGGTTTTATTGAGAAAGACCTTAATAGTGTCCAAACTAGTGGATGGTTAGCAATTTTATATATTAAGGAGACCAGGGCATCCATGCTGAGGGGAAGGTTATAAGGCAGAACATGAGAGAGAGAGAGAGAGAGAGAGAGAGAGAGGAGAGAGAGCATTAGACTTTTATGCAAACTATTTCAGTGTTTAGATTGATCATATCACACATTGCTTTGTTGTCCCACTCTTTTTAACATTCATTTTTGTGTCGTTTTGTTACTGTTGCCAGAACTCATTGCCTCCATTTTCAGTCGGTATCTGGGAATCTTAGAATGTTTGGGTATCATACAGGCAAATCGTACTTGGCACAGAGAAATTTAGATTTTATTACATCTTTGGATACAAGCAATAACCTACACCAAATCTAACCAAAAGGGGGCAACTATAACAAATATCATTATGAACCTCTACACTGTGGCTTTTGTTCTCAGTTTCACTTCTCCCTTCATGTTATAACTCACACCAGCAATAAGAGAGCCAAATGGAAAAACATTTGGTTTGCATCTTATACTTACCACCTCTGAAGTAAACCACTCCAAATAATCTGGTATCAGATTTGCCAAATTCAACGTTGATTTTTTAAAAATATATATCTCACATTACCTCTCAGGCACAGAATTATTCTCAACTGTATTATAAAGGAGAACTATTTCAGTGTGCAAATCCTTGATCATGGCTACGTTCGATAAAATAATGAAGTAGGCAGATGCTTGCCACTTAAATGAAGACTCATTACAACAGCTGCAAATGCAGACTGAAACAGATATGTTGGCCACTCAAGTGTCATGAATGGTATTTCTGTTGATGAGGTGGTATTCTGAAATAAGGAACAGCTCTTTGTAATACTGTGAACAAAACAAAATACGACATTGCCTCTGTTTCCTGGGGAATTTAGTGTCTATGGAAACTACAACAAATTATTTTGTATAGATAAATGGAGTTAAGTTCTAGACTCAGATTATTATACATAGGTTTTTTACTTATGTAGTGCCACTTAGAATGTTTGGAAGTCAAGCAAGATGTGGGACAATATTATTTTGTGTGAGACTGTCGTTGCCTTGGCAGGACCCCTTGCTTCTCTGGCTGCTAGCCACTAAATGCCAGTAGAACTCCTCCCCAGTAATTGTGACAATTGAAAATGTGTCCCCTCAGTGCTGTCCAGTTTCAGCACCCTCCGCTTCACTGAAATGTACGTGGAATAATGTATCATAGCATGTGAAAAGTATATGAAATTCAAATTTCAGGAGCCAAAATAAAGTGTTATTGGACCATAGTTGTGCTCATTTGAAGTTTGTGAAAACTTATTTATGTACCTAACTACAAACTGACTTAAATTTTTCATCTTGGCCCACAAAACCTAAAATATTTACTCTCTGGCTCTTTATAGAAAGTTTGCCAACACTCAGTTGACAGTATTGCTGAGATGAGTAGACTTACTTCCTTAAATCATAGGCCAACTATGTTCTTATTTTATATTAAGAAAATTATATGACTTAGGAAAGATCCCTTTTCAGATTTTAATTGGTTATATATTTGAATGTTATTACTTTAATCTTTTTTCCTCCTTTCAGGGCAATTCCACATCCCCGAGGTCATGCACATTTGGCAGCACTTGTCAACCATGACTGTAAGCAGTATCTGAGGTTTTTTTCCATGAAGATAAACTTGAAAAAGTTGTGGGCTTTTTTTTCTTTTTTTTAGCACAGGTGCAAGGTAGGGCTTTGAAAGTGGGCTGTTTGAAAACAGGTATCTATTGGAGAAAGTAAATAATAAATGTGTTAGCTCTAATCCATTTTCTCTTGTCTTTAAGCTACCTGTATTTCTGTTTAGTCATGGCTCAGAGGTTGCCACAGTTAGGGAGGAGAGCCTTTGTGTGCCTTGTATCACTTTGTACACATTTCTGCTAATTTTTATGGATGGTGAAGGAAATATGTAAATCTAAGTATGGCTACATACACATGTATGTATTCAAGCTAGTTTCTTGTAATGATTGTCATAAAACTTAGTTTTTAAAGTCTGCTTTTGAGAATAAAAAAGTAATAATTCCATAAAAAATCAGCAGTGTATTTGGTCAAAAAAATCTTGGTCCCATCCCCTTTAGCAGTGTATTAAAAGTATACCTGATCCAAATATATTTGGGTTCATTGGTATCATCCCTGTTTTGATAACATAATCCTATTATTATGTGAGGATTTGAACCAAGAAAGACTTAACTTTTTAGGTTATTAGGATTGGGTGTCATATTATTTCTTAGACCTTAATTTGTCTGTAATCATGAAATTTGAGATATAGCATTTTATCAGAATTTACATACATTTCCACATTTATTTGCATTTTCCTCAAAATTAATGCAGTTATAAATACCGTACGTATTACTGTACTTGCAGATTTTAGATGTTTTCATCTGAAAGTAGATAAGAATGTGAACTCATATATAATATGTGTTTTTGAATAGTAACTTATCTACCTGTTGCTTTTATTTTTTGCCTCAGCATACAACTTTTCTCACAGAATAGATCATTTGTCTTTTGGCGAGCTCGTTCCAGGAATTATTAATCCTCTAGACGGAACTGAAAAAATTGCTGTAGATCGTAAGTACTTAATATTTACTGTTGAAATTTGTATATAGGCAATGTTTTTATATCTTTAATATTAACATATTTTTAGTCCTGTTCTTAACCCCCTTATAACAAATAAACAGATCTTTAAGTAGTTTAAGTGGTTGATAACCTTTAATTGGAGATGTGTGTGGAGAGACTTTGTCCTAGTAGTGGATAAAATTTAAATGTTAAAAACAAATCCATAGAACAGAGTAAGAAATTAGAGTTAAATGTAAGCTAGAGAAGGAGTAGCACTTAAAAACTCTCTCAGTATATGAAAGGTTAATGTGTCAGTAGGGCGGAACTTCTTTCCTATATTCACCAAAGGAAGAATTAGAATAAAAGAAAGTTTCAGCATTCCAAGAAGAATTTCCTTGTTTATAAAGGTTCAAAGTTCTAAAATGTATATTTACCATTTTAGAAACCTCTTTGGAGAGCTTTGCTAACATCAGAAACCTAGAGTTATTCCAGAGTGGTTTGGTTATTCACAGAGATAGAAGTTGTACATTACAGCAGAGATAGTTTACTTTTTTTAACCTTCTATTCCACTTAAAGTATCAGTTTTTCCAGATATTGGGTGGGTATTATTATTACTTTTTTAGCAAATAATCTATTCTTGACTTTCACGATGGCTTTTGGTTGCTTTCCTCTTCTTAAGCAGTAATATTGCGTGGAATGTCCCACCTGGCAGACCTTTTAAGGATGTCTAAAGCTTCCTGTGCCAGTAGAAAGTCTAGCCTTTACAGAACTGGAATTAAGGGTTTCATTTTTATTAATCTGAACAGATTTATTAATATTCTTTTCAGTATTTTACTCTTTTAGCATAGTCTCATAATCAGATGTTATACTTAAAATACTGACTTCCATTCATGAATATGTTATGTTTGTATGAGAATTTTTCACTTAAGGAAACGTTAGTGTAATGAATTTATTAATGTGAGTAGAAATTATAAACTGTATTCATTATAATCTCATCTTTAATTTAAGTATACATTTATTCTACACCAAAATGCACTAAATATTACTTAAGAGATGCTCATTTGAAAACATGTTGATTAATACTTTGTTTCAAGATGCTAAAATGAACTATAAATTTTTGTACAGAAGTGGCACTAAATATAAACATTAATTTTCAAAAGGCTCACTTTATGTCCACGTTCCTAAATTCAAAGACTAGTAGGTATTTAGGGTCGTTATAAAATGCCACCAGACGAGTGTCAGTAAGTTACTCAAAGCTTTAAAGCAGGTATACTCTTCTTCCTAACATGTTCTGTTGGGCTTCTTTTTCCAAAAGAGAAAAAACACGTCAGCATTACAAATCTGTTGTGTTTAGGTAACTACCTTCTCCTTGATGTTCTCCAGAAGTTTTGAGGGGATTACTTAACAGTTACATGTTTAAAACCATGCAGATTTGGACAGGTCTGAAACCTTTGGAACATTTTGTGGCTTGCAACAAAATGTCATTCAACTGTATTTTCCACACCTTCCCACCCCCGCCTCTGCCCAGCCTGGCACTTAAGTTATTTAACAAAGTTATAGCCCTCTCTTGAATTAACATCAAAAGAATAGGTCTTCAGTAGTTGTCTGGCCACTGGCTGAAGGTTTCCAGTTTTTCCTGTCCTGTTTCTTTGACCCGTTTGTTATTTATTGTAGTGACACTTTACTCCTCACTTACGATGAGAAATTTCCTCTGTGCTTCATTTTTACTGCCAGGTCTGATTATCCCACCCACACGGCATTAGTTACTGCCTCACCCCCTCCATGTCATCTTTTTTCGTAAATACTTAATACCTAAACACCTTTTTTCCTAGCATTTTTAGCTTGCTTTCTTTGTCTGTGACATGATAGAGATTATTTGTAAAACACCTAAAACTAAGCACAGATTGAGCAACTCACCTTACATCAAAGAACAACTGAAAGGATGAAACTGAAGACCACCTACAATTGATATGCCTTCTATTGGTGGTAGACAAAGTTGGCACCTTTCACCCTAACATTGTCTGTGATAATATTTAGGGCATACATTTGTGTACCATATACATATAGATGAAATTAGCAATGAGAGAACTCGTCAAAAAAATAACCTTTAATTAGAAGATACTATTTCTCCATTAGTAATGGGAGAACCGTTTGGTTTTGGAAATTACAGTGGTACAAGTTGTAAGAGAAATAAGTGGTGAAGTTGAAACAGGCTTTGGTTTCTTATGGTAGAAACTTGTTTAACGCTAGTGTGTGGAGAAACCATTACGCGTACCTCTCGCCCTCCTACCTGCTTTTACCCATCCCTCCCCCGTTCAGAATTACACTGAGATAAGAGGAGAGAAAATGGATTTTTAGAAATAAAAATTTATTCATGCTGAGGAAAAAAAATAGACATACAGTGTATGCATCCATTTATATGAATTCTAGAATAGGCAGCACTAATCCCTGACAATAGGAGGTTGCGTAGTGGTTGCCCAGGGCCAGAGATAGAGAGGATGGACCACAGAGAAGTGCAAAGGAAGTTTTTGATGTGACCAAAATGTTTTATATTTTCATTGTGGTGATGATCATATGGATGAGCGCATTTGTTAAAATGTATCAAACTGTATGTTTAAAATCAATACATTTTATTCATGCACCTAGTTTTCATAGATGGTTATTACCATGTGGTGTGAAGTACACTTGTTTGCAGGTCAAACATAATGAGGCACTATTACGTATCTGTTGGAAACTATAACATACCTAATTCTAAATTTTTTATAATACAGACCTAGAGAGTTAATGTTTCGTATTGTGTGAACTGTTAATTATTTAAAATTAATAATTGGTAATAAATTGGTATTTATGACTTGTATTAAACCTAAAGTGCTTAATGAGTATGTATATATAATCCCTTTGATTACACAGTAACCCCCAGGCCATCACTGAGAAGTTTTATATATCTTTCTGATATGGTATCAATTCCTTATATATTTATCTAAAAGCCAGCTAATTCAACTTTGGTTTATTTACCTATCTTAAGATATCAGTATAAACTAAACATTTATTGTGCAGTGATTATAGTATTGTAACTTTATTATTATAAGTCTCTGTACTATAAGGGAATGCTACTTTTATTTTCCATATTCAATATAAGGATAATAATGACTGTAAAGGTATCTAAGTGACTAGTTCATCTTTTTAAGTATAAAAGGTGTGTGTGTGTGTATGTGACTATTTTATGATTACTGAGAACTTGTTTTATCAAGCATGAGTATTTTGATTTCATTCGTTGTTTTAAAACTACTTTTTTAGACATTAAGTTGTAAGTAGCATTAAATTTCAGGTTGAGTGTATTTAATAGAAGGAGGATATATTGGCAGTAGTTTTGTTGCTACTAGATTGATGGGGGGAAAACACATTTTGTTTTTATTCTAGACAACCGGATGTTCCAGTATTTCATTACAGTTGTGCCAACAAAACTACATACGTATAAAATTTCAGCAGATACCCATCAGTTTTCTGTGACAGAAAGGGTAAGTTAAATCCAACTGACGATTTTTTTTTAGCATTTTATATTCTGTTACAAAATAAGGTTTTAGTTTCAGTTGGTGTCCTCCTCCTTGTAAAATTTGTGGGAATTTTGAAATGCATTAACATTTTATTTTAAGGTAATAAAATATCAGAAGTAGGTGTATGTTCTAGAGCAAACAAAGAAGTAAGTTTTTTAAATCTGGAAGGTCTTATATTCAATTAAGTCTAAATTATTAAACTGGTGATATTATTTTATTCTTAATATCTTAATTTTGTAATGTTTTCTCATATATTGGTATTAGTAGTTTTTTTAAAAGATTTTATTTATTTATATTTAGAGCGAGGGGAAAGCAGAAAGACAGGGAGAGAAGCATCAGTGTGTAGTTGCCTTTTGCACACCCCCTTACTGGGGACCTGGCTGGCAACCCAGGCATGTGCCTTGACTGGGAATCAAACTGGTGACCCTTTGGTTCGCAGGCTGGCACTCAATCCACTGAGCCATACCAGTCAAGGCTGCAGTTTTCTCATTTGCCAGAAGATTTTCTGATTTATGTGCTTGTTATTTATTTTTTAATTAATGTATATAACCTAGGGCATGCATGGTTATTGTGGCTCAAGTAACAGATTTTGAGGGTTTGGCTTTCTAATTTGTGCCTTGTATTTGTCTGTTTGAGAGGACAAATGTTCTATAATCTCAGGGTAGAGTTGCCTTATAAATAAATATGGCAGTGAGGATCATACTTTTGGAATTGCATGGTTTAACATTTCTCATCTGTTCTGGGCTCATGTTTTCTTACTGTGTTTAAGATGGTGAATATTCAAATACTATTATTCTAAATAATTCTAAGGCATTTAAGTGCTTTAAAAAATTGCTTTCCTCAATATAGAATTTTCTTTTAATGGTTTTACAATTTGTGATGGTTGCGTCCTCAATAATTGTAGAATTTCCCTATTGTAAGGAGATTAAATATTGAAGATTTTAGGAGTGAAATGTTACATGTTTATAACTCTTTACATGGTTTGAAGGAAAAAATAAAGTGTGTAACTGTGTGTGTTTACACACACAGAGCGAGACTAGGTCAAGTGTGTACAAGTGTACTTCGTGCTTTTCTACATTGCTGTAGAGGAGGGAAGGTGACATTTCTCACTAAGATTGGCACCACCTGAACATCAGTCTACACAGTGGCAAGGCTTTCGGAAAAACAGGCAATGGGACATTATTGCTATGGGAATGCAAAATGGCATAGTCTCTGTGGTACGGAGTTTGGCAGTATGTATAGAATGACATATGCATTTATGCTTTGACTCAGCAATCATTCTTCTAGAAGTTAAATGCAAAGATGAAGTCAAAAAAATACAAAAATGATGTATGTATGAGATTCTTTATTGTGTAGTACATCCACACAATGGAGGAACATGCAGTTTCTTAAAAAGAGAGAAAACAATATCTGTATTCTGATATGAAATTGTTGCATTATCTCCATAATGTATTTTAAGTAACAAAATTAAATTAAAAAAATAGAATCCCAGAGCATTTGACCATTGTGGGGTTTGTGCTGGTAAGGTGACTAAAATAATTGAGTTGTACTTAAAAAAAAATGGAGTAACTGGAGTTGGTAAAGTGGAGGATGAGGAGGACAGAAATAGGTAGAACTGACCTTCACTCTTCATGCACCCCATAGGGACTCATTATTAGTCTTTTGTTACATGGATGCTCTGATCCCTGAAACAGCTTTTATTCATATAGTTGGTGACAGTATATTTATAATTTTGGCATGGTTGGAGATATCAGAGCTTTAAGATGAAGTCACTTTATTGGAAACTTGAATAATGGCTTCATAAGACTCTGTTGTGTTAACAGGGAAAGGGGTTTTGTAATGTCCACATAAAATTGTTTTATTCTAAAGCTTGCAGTTTAGCTATAGCTTAGCCAAAATAGGTAGGGCCTCAAATAAAAGTCATAGCAAACCACTTTGGTAGCATGGTTGTTTTGAGAAATTTATGGAAATGGAAATTTATTAGAAAGTTTGCAAACTTGATTTTTGAAAGTATAAACCTAATGAAATGAAGTAGAATTAGTTTCTCAGTGTGCACACTGCAGTAGGTTTATAATTTTAGTTACATTTCTTTAAAGAAAAAAATTTCTTTAAACACTGAACCAGTAGCTCAAATATTGATATCTTTCAAATTAATGCATTGTTTTCTTCCTGTGCTATATCAAAATGAACAACACAGACTGAAAATATTTGTTTTAATTCTGATTATTTAAATGACAGGTAGTATTATTTTGTAAATTCTTAGCAAATAGATATAAAAATATTTGTTTAAAGTCAAAATATAAGCTTTTTTAAAAAATTGATTTGGTCAGTGAAGAATGTGCCATTCAGTTGTAAGCTCTTGAGATCAATAGAAAACTTGTATGTAAAGTGATCTTTTATAGAAAATAGGAAAGTATGATTCTGTTCTTCTGATTGCTTCAAACTCTAACCACACAAAGAAAATACAAAAATGTGATTGTTTTAAGATTTTAATCTCATAGGACAATGTGTACAAAGATTTAGATGTTCCTCTCATGCGGTACAGGTTCAGGGCTTCGTGTTGATTATAAAAGTAAGTGCCCACGTGACATGAGTCTGGTTTTTCTCCTCCTCCCATCTCTCCCTGTCCTTTTGCCTCCCTTTCAGGAACGTGTTGTTAACCATGCTGCAGGCAGCCATGGAGTCTCTGGGATATTTATGAAATATGATCTCAGTTCTCTTATGGTGACAGTTACTGAAGAGCATATGCCATTCTGGCAGTTTTTTGTAAGACTCTGTGGTATTGTTGGAGGAATCTTTTCAACAACAGGTAAAGATTCATTCTTTCTTTTGTCTAATTTCTAAAAGTGTTGCTGACACTGAAATTAAGATGCTTTTACTTAAAAGGAACAAGAAATATGCACACTTTCATGTTTTGATAAAATGAAGAATTTACACTTTAAGACTTCAGTCCAAACCTCCAAAATTAATTGCTTAAGGTTAAACATAACTAGATTTACTGCATTCAGTTGTTTAAGGGAGATGACTTAGTGAGCTAGAACGACTCAAGGCGTGAGCCCAAGACCTGCCATATATGTGTAATGGTCGCCTCCTATAGATCACTTACCCTTCTAAAGTTTTTTTTTCATTTATAAAAAAGGGAATGATGGTTTCTGTGCAAGTGTGTTGTAGGATTAGACAAGAAAATACTTAGAAATAAATGACACTTAGAAATAGTAGACACTTGAATATAAATTTTCTTATTCACTTAAAGTATTTTTAACTGTATAATATGTAAAATCATATATTGTGGTAGTTCAGTTAGTGTTTTTATGATTTGGGCCATTTTGCCCTAAGATTATGGAGTTCTCTCAACAATGATAACTTGCAGAATTGTAATCATGAAAATTTGAGAGTTAAGTACAGTAGATAAAAAAAGGAAATAATTTCTTCTTTTCCCCAACCTCTATTCAATATTACATGGAGCCGAGTAGTTTATATACTTTTAATTATATATTTGAGATGAATAACTACCTTTCCTTGTAAAAGTCTTTTTGTCACTGCTTCATTTAAATGCATTTAAGTTTGTGATGCTTATATTATTTATTTTTCAAAATTACGTGGGTGTGAGATTACTAAGTACCCTTGAAGAGATTGCTTTGTCAAGATCATGAGTTACTTGGTTTTGTAATTTTGAAAAGAAATTAATTTAACTGTCTTGTTATTTTTAACTGTGGGAGTAAAGCAGACTGCTTTATTTCTTTCCTTAATTTATTCCATTAATAACTAGTTTAGTTTTATATAGCAATTTAAGAAATAATTTCATTAAAAGCATAATTTAATGAAAACATTTTTATTACAGGCATGTTACATGGAATTGGAAAATTTATAGTTGAAATAATTTACTGTCGTTTCAGACTTGGATCCCACAAACCCGTCAGCTCTGTAAGTGGTGTAGAATAAATGGTACTGATCTCGAACTCACAGTACCATTGTTAAATCTAAGTAGTATTTTTGGTGCCCCCCCTCCAAAAAAATTGCCCCAAATAAAGCATTGTGTTTGGAGGAAATAGCACAAGGAATAAAACTGATGCTCCGGTCTCTTTCTCCGTAGGTTCCCTTTGAGGATGGCCACACAAACAACCACTTACCTCTTTTAGAAAATAATACACATTAGCACCTCCCAGATGAAGGAGAAAAACTTTTTGCCTGAGATATAAAACCTTTTTTAACAAGAAAATATTGTGCAATATATTCAAAAGAAAAAATATGAAAAAGAAGCAGGATTCATACCTAGAGAAAAAAAGGAAACCAAAACTGAAATCCTATATATGTTGTGTCTGTTACAAATGTCCTAGAAGAAATTATGCAGCTAATCAGTGAGGAAGCCCAACTGGAATATTGCTTTGAAGATGACCCTTCCTGATATTTTCATAGCAAATGGGCTGTTTCAAAATCAGACCTTGAATACCTGAAGGAAAGAAGTCAAACCGCATCTAAAGAAAAAATCATTAATAGTGCTAATGTCTGCGTCCTTTTGTTTTTAAAATACTGTCTCAGAATAAAATATGTAAAACATACGGAAAACTAGTCTAGACTTTAAAAAGTTGTGATCAGGTCACATTGTTACTAGAGGCAAACCGATGGGCTCACATGCTGTAGCCATATTAATGTTAAGCCATAATGACGAGATCGTTTATCCAGTAATTTGGTTTTATGAAGGTAACTGCTTTTCTTTAAACTCTGGCTATTGACTTTGTTAACTTTTCAAGGCAGGGTCATGGAAGATGAAGGTGAGTTCTTAGAGGGGCAAGTATATAGGTGCTATAATGTGTAACAGAAGTATCATTCACAAATTGTATAGTGGGCACTTATATGGGGAGAAGAAAGCACATTTTTTAAAATCCTGCTAAATTTCCTAATATGATCATTATATTGCTGGTATATTTTGGAGTTGGGGGGTGAGTAATAAAAAGATCCACTACTGATGATGGAAATTATCAGTTTGTAAAATATTAAGAGGAAAAGTAGAATATTTTATACATTTTGTGGTGAGTAGGCAACAGGGTAACTTTAAATAAAATAGAAGTGTGAGGCACCTCTCCAAGGGAAACAAGCTGTCATGTCTGGGAGACGATCACGTTCAACGGTGTCCATTAAACTGTAAAACTGGATGGGAGAAGTGTCTGCATTCAGGATGTCCTGAATGCAGGGGACTGTGTATCAGACTGTGTTGTTCTGGCTTTCTTAGTATTTAAGGCTTGATTTAAAGTTTTCAGACTATAAAAGATTAAAAATAATAAGGGAGATATTATTCAGGTGCCATTAAATACTTATTTGGAGTGTGTGTGCCGACATCAGTTTTCCTTTTGTAATACTTAATAATAGAAGAGTTACTAACCAATCCCCATGTTTAAAATCACTTAGGGAAGTGAGGAGACAAAAACTCCAGGTAAGGAGCAAGGCCAAGACTGAAAACTAGATTTCAAATCATGGTTTTTAGAGAACAGGATGTCACAGTTACAGTTTTTCAAATGGATTTTTTTTGAAGGTTAAAAAAGTTTTTTGAAAACAGTTGGGACAGTAATGTAGCAAGAGGAGAAATACTGATAAAACTACGTTGCAATGAAGCTTACATTGAATGATGTTTTGCTGAACAGAAGCATCAATGTTTAAAATACACATTTTATCATTAGGAACCACAAAGTTAACTGATAAATACAGGTGACATGACATGCTTTGAAATATAATTGAATCCAGAAAATTCCAAAACAATCCATGTATTTTTTATTTCTTCAGATATTTTTATGAAGTTAGACTAGGAACTAAATTGAACGTGTCTCAGGGAATTTCAGCTGGAGAGAATTAGAATTTTAGCTATTTTTAGACTGAGTTTTGGTTTTGTAAATTTGCTTGTCAGAAAGTTCAATCAAATTTCAGGGGTTTTTTTATGGAAGGAAAAACAAGAATTATGTAGAATTATTTTCTTACTGTTACGATTATGACAGGAATCTTTAAGAATTTTAAAAATTATTTTGGTACATATATATATATTTGTTTTCATGTTTTCCAAATACCATATTGAAATTTTAATGAAATTAATTTGTCCCATTAAAACTACAAAAGAAATTTCTTTTAAAAAATTCAGCTTTGCTATTGATTTTTATTTAAAAGTTAAGAAAGGTTTCCAGCTGAAATTCCTTGAATAGCAAGATCAGATTTTTGGCAATCAAGACATAAGATTCTGACCAGCCCTTTGGATGATGAATGAGGAAGTATATTAAGATTTGTTAAGTGTTTTGATCTCACCAAGTGTTTCTTTTCAATTGCAGAGAACACTGTACTGACCTGCCTTCCCATTAGGCACTTCGGTTGGTGCCTGGGGTGCCTTCAGTAAGATAGCTAACTTTACTAACTCAGTCCTGCTTTTTATTTTATTAGGCTGTTCATAGTATCTACATGTATATACGTCAGCCTAAATATTTTAAAAGTTGACACCTCAAGTTACATGAAAATTTTTTAAACTGTACTTGCATTCATTGGCCAGTAAGAAGAGGTGGAATATTTAGGTGAATAATTTTCTGCTGCAGTATTTGTATGCTTCAGACTACCTTTTGCTAAAAATTTAACTCAATACTAGAGTCACAAAATTCTAACTTTCATCTTAGGTGATTAATATCACACTTTTCTCATACACATTTTATGATACAAAATACTGAGTTTTTATAATAAATTTACAAATGCAAGCAAAATTTATAATCAATACACTTTGGAATTCACAAAGAAAAAAGATCTCTTTTTAATGGTGTTATGGGAGGCAATATTATACAGTCTGTCTTTATATCTCAGGGTAGTCATTTAGTCCCCAAAATTTATGTGCAATGTCCTTGCCTTAAAATTCAAAGCTTAGGATCTTGAATCTGGATTCAAGATGTGTATTTTTTATTGTTTAAAATGTACTTATGCCTGAGCCTTAGGACCATACAGATTTCACCATGTCCTCTAACCCATACTGCCTCTCATATTCAGAGTTCTAGCAACTCTCAGTAAGCCAAAGGGGATCCGCCCTTGGTCAGCACTGTCTAGAGAGGTCGCCATTTCTTCACACCTTGCTGCCTGGATTAATATCCGACTAGGTCCATATACTTTTTTTCCCCTTCTGAAATCTTTCTTTAGTGATGAAAAGAGTTTGCATTATTTTAAGAGTAGGAAACAAACCACCTTAGGTTTTTGTGTTTTGTTTTAAAAGAACAAAATCCACTCATTTAGTGTCGGTCTTGGGTGTCAGACTCTAAATGAAATGACACATCATAAAGCAATGTCTTTGTCCTTCCACAGTCATGTATCCACAATGAAGTTTCAGTCCCTCGTGTTTGAGCTTCCCCAGCCCAGGAAAACTGTAGCAGTCTTTAAATATCACTTAGTTAATATTTGCTTTTGTCCAGACAAAACAATCTCATAATTTAAATTATGAGATTGGACTTATTTTTCTTGTTAAATATAAATGCATGATTTAAACTGAACAGTTGATGCAAGTTATAAATCAGTAGAGTTGATTATAATCAGCAAAACATTTAAATAGTTTTTTTAGCAGCTCCAAATTGTATTAAATGCTTATTAACCCTCAGGTAATATAACTGGCGAAAACAAAGCTCTTTCCTTATGATCAGGACCAAGACAAGGATGCCCACCCTCACCAGTTTCATTCAGCATGGCATTGGAAGTTCTCACCAAAGCAAGTAGACAAAAAAAAGAAATAAAGGGCATTCAGATTAAAAAGGGAAAGTAAAACTCATTTTCAGATGAATGTTTATCTAAAGGAATTAGATGAACGGTTCCTCAAAATATAACTCATTTATACCATATTGTCTAATTTTAGGTAAAACTTAAAATGAGAAGGTGTGGGGAAAAGGATCTATTAATGACAGCTACATATTGTACTAAAGCAGACCTTCAGCAACAACTTAGATAAACTGTATAATAAATATTTTACAAATTGCTCTCTGTTTTCAAGCAGTTATACTAATTGATTGTGTAAATCAGTTGATTATGTATATACTAAAGTATGGACGTACTAAAAATAGAAATAGAAACGACTCTTCTAGCTATTTAAACTCAATTTCAGTTAATCCTTTGCCTTGTGTAGCTACACTTCACAGGGTACTACCTTCTGATAAGCAAATTACATCTTAAATCAAGCAACTGCCAGTTTCATTAACCTTTTTTTTTTACTTTTTTATTGATTATGCCATTACATTTGTTCTATTCCCCCCTCCACCCTGCATGCCCCTCCCCCACCATTTCCCCCTTTAGTTCATGAACACGTGTCTCAAATTCTTTAGATTCAGTATTTCCCTTACTATTCTTACCCTCCCCCCTATTTTCTATCTACTGTCTATGCTACTTATTTTCTGTACCTTCTCCCCCTTCTCCTCCTCTCACTCCCCTGTGGCTAATCCTCCACGTGATCTTCATTTCTATGATTCACTCCTGATCCAGCTGTCCTCTTAATTTGCTTTCGTTTTGGGTGTGGTTGTCGATAACTGTGAGTTTTCTGTCCTTTCACTGTTCAACTTTTTTATCTTTTTATTAGGTAAATCCCTTTAACATTTCATATAATAAGGGCTTGGTGTTGATGAACTCCTTGAATTTGGTCTTATCTGAGAAGCACTTTATCTGTCCTTCCATTCTAAATGAAAGCTTTGCTGGATAGAGCAATCTTGGTTGTAGGTCTTTGGTTTTCATGACTTGGAATACCTCTTTCCAGCCCCTTCTTGCCTGTAAGGTTTCTTTTGAGAAATCAGCTGACAGTCTGATGGGAACTCCTTTGTAGGTGACTGTCCCCTTATGTCTTGCTGCTTCTAGGATTCTCTCCTTCATTTTAATCTTGGCTAATGTAATGATGATGTGCCTCGGTGTGTTCCTTCTTGGGTCCAACTTCTTTGGGACTCTCTGAGCTTCCTGGATTTCTTGGAAGTCTATTTCCTTTGCCAGAATGGGGAAGTTCTCTTATTATTTGTTCAGATAAGGTTTCCACTCGTGACTCTTCCCCTTCTGGTACCCCTATAATTCGGATGTTGGAACGTTTAAAGATGTCCTGGAGGTTCCTAAGCCTCTCCTCATTTTTTTGAATTCTTATTTCTTCATTCTTTTCTGTTTGATCATTTTTTTCTTCCTTCTGGTCCACTCCATTGATTTGAGTCCCAATCTTGTTTCCATTACTATTAGTTTCCTTTGCATTACTATTCATTTCAATTAGTTTAGCTTCCATATGTTTCTCTAATTTGTGACTAAAATCAACCAGCTCTGTGAGCATCCTGATAACCAGTGTTTTGAACTGTGCATCTGAAAGTTTGGCTATTTCCTCATCGCTTAGATTTATTGGCTCTGGGGCTCTTGAGTTTTTCTTGAGCCATTTTTGGTCTGTTTGCGCCGGTAAGTAAGTAAGAGGGGCGAAGCGGTAGTTGTTTACCAGGGCGGGGCCACCCAGGTCGCTGGTTTGTGACGCTGTATGTGGGGGCGGGGTCAGGGAGGGAGCAATGGCGGTCCTTTCCGCTAGCCCAGTTTTTCCCGTCCCACCACTGGCCCCGGCCTGTTTATCCAAGCAGAATTGTCTGAGCCTGCTGCCCCGTGCCGTGCCGTCTCAATGCTCGCCTCTTCACTGGTTTATCTGCACGTAAATTCGCGACCTACCGCAGACAGACAGCCGCGCCTCTAGCCAGCCTGGGATCGGATACGCGCCTTCGGCTGCTTGCGCGCCACCAGGTCAGGGATCTTCTTGGTCAACCGGCTTCGCTGCTGGCTTCGCCCCCCTTACCCGTTTAGCCGAGCGTTTCGTCCTTTTTTTTTGGACTCCGTATTGTCGATTTTCTGTGTGGTCTGGTTGTGTTTATCGTTGTTAAAAATAGTTGTTCTTAGATTTGATTGTGCGCGGAAGCAGTGTGGGTCCACCTACGCCTCCATCTTGGCGGAAGTCCTCCTTCATTAACCTTTAAAAAAATACATGTGTGTGTGTATTTAAAAACTAATCTAGGCAGTGAACACATTTCCATACATTGTGTGGGCATATGAAACAACCATACTTTTTACTGTAGGTAGTTGCTTGTGTTTTCAGAATGTCAGACTCGTAGTTCTAGAAAAACAGCCATGTGGAAATTTGCATGTGATTTTTGCAAACTTTGGAAAATATTGGTGTTTTCGGAAACTTAAGGCTGACCTGTTAAGGTCATTGTGAGATAACACACTATTTGGGTAGTAGTCCCTCAGACTGTTTACCTTGAGATACTATTGTTTACTGGGAATGATGATGTTACATTAGTATAAAATTGTGAGAAATATTTTTCTGAGATGTTGGCCCATCTACCTCAACTTTCTCTAGTATCAGTTGCCTCAGGTGGTGGCTGTCTTCAACTCGGTAGTATTTATTACTGCATCAGGTATCTAGTGAGTACAGAATGTAGGGATTACTGAGACTTTTTTTAAACATAGATACCTTTCCTTTGTTACTTGCCATCCCTTTCCCCCCAGAGTAGGTTCTTTCTCATTGCACTTAGGCACTCAAATCCTTGTTAATTGGTCTTGATTTAAAATAATTTCTTTCATACAGACACCTATCTACTCTCACTGATTAATCACAAGAGAACTTTATTCATATCATTTATTTAATGCCACAGAGAGAACATGCTTCAGCACGTAAGTGTAACCCTATTAATGATGTGAGAAACAGTGAAGCATTATGAACCTATGTGTTAATTTATATTAGTCTTGTAGGTTCTTCGGAAGATTATAGCCTTTTTTCTCAGTGGGATGGAGATCTGCAACAGTCAGCAGTTAAAGATAAAACACAGAGAGAAACATTTTAAATTCAAATTTTCATTTAATCAAAAGCCAAAATGAATACTTCATTAGTGAAATTTATTCAATTAGTGAAACAATAATCAAAAGGTAATAAATTCTTAGAACTATTATGTTTTACCCAATCTCATTGAAGTATATATCTTGATTTCATTTTTTACCATATCTAGTTTGTGTCTTTATCAATGTAACTCAAAAATAGACATCGCAAGCTGATGATCACCAGGTGTTTTGCTTCAGCGCTGTGTCATCTGCCCTGGAAAGTAGTTCCCAGAGGTTAGATGAGATTGGGAAAGACACTGCCCAGAAGAGTTCCCCCAAAATGTCCTTTATGGGCTCAGAAAAATTGCAAATAATGCTAGAAGCTGCCCTCAAGGCCTTGTATATGTCAGCTACTTGAATGTGTCAGAGTATTACCAAGTATTCCAGAGAGTGAGCATAAACATAACTTGTTAACACCCTATGCTCATTGAATTTTCTAGTAGTTGTGATTATTTTTAATTGTGTAGGCCTCAGGTATTATATTTGAGTAATAGTTCATGTTTTTAACATCAAATACTACACCACACACTGACTTCTCAAATAGGAAAGTTGGGATTATTAATACAGAAATTTGAGAATAAATATAGTACTAATTCATTTTCATTACACAAAATATTTTTAACAAAACACCTATTCTTTAAACTTGGAGTCACTTAATGACATCTCTCCTGCTGTACATTGTACAGTTGGATGATCAAAGTACTAGCAAATACTGAGGATCGCAGAAGAGTAATCTTCCCCTCTTTATAGAAAAAGACTAAAACTAGCATTTAAATTTTTGAAATTTTCCTTTCCTCGGCGGCAAAGACCAGGGAACTGGCTTTTTCTATGATTTTAGCCTAGAACTTTCCATTTGTTACTGAGGCCTGAGTAAAGTAAGTTTGAATATAAGGGATTTGGTGACTCCGATGCAGAAGGAAATGCTTGAGAGAAGGTTCTCAAGAAACTTGGTAATTCAAAAGATTTAGAAATAATAGTTGTCAAATTCAAATATGAGGATTTTTATTAAAAACATAAAAAACCGAGTCAATGCAGATATGATTGCGCCCTCATTCTGTACATAATTATTTACACCTCAGTTCTCTTTAGGTTTCAGAAGTGGATATAGTTAAGACAAATATTAAATGTAAGTCCACTTTTTTAATTCCCCCAGCCCTCAACCAGGACTCCATGGTGTAACACAAAAAGGAAGCAAACTTTACAGTGGAGAATTAAAGTATTTCTGTCGCAGTATTGAGAGGATGTTGAGACCATTCTCCCTCCACTTACACTGATTTTAAATCGTTATACTGGGTACCCCAGAATAGTCCCAAGGTTAGAATTGCCTCTTTTTTTTTCCAGCATAATTCAGCTTCTACCATGTGTTCTTCCACGTTTTTTTTTTAGTTGAAACTAGTCCTCGAGAAAAGTGCTAAGTGTAGAAACAGGGTTGTACTTTGGTGTTTTTATTCAAGGACATAGACTAGAGTGTTAGAAAACAGTCTGGAAATAATTTGTTCCTAAAATATATATGATTATAGGGCAGGACATGACTTTCCTTCTCTGACTGTAATAAAAAACATACAATTAAGAAACAGGGGTGAATGTGTGACAGACAGCACATTGGACAGGTAATGAGGTTACATATTGTTACTTCCTCATCTTGAGAACCACAGTCCGCTGTTGCAGAGGTATCCGAAAGGTTCCAGATAAGTAAAGACTGACAGATGTCCTTAGGCCTTGAGCGTGCTGGATGCTCTAAAGTAGGAGATGCATTTGTAACAGAAGCTCACAATGAAGAGCCAGACATTCCGAGCCATCTGAGATCTTGCAATGAGAAGGCGCCAGGCAATGAGGAAGAGGGCGGTATTAAAGAGGTAGTGAATATTGCGGAGCCTGGGGAACAGAAATTTATAACCAAAGTTAAAACAGTGCCAAGTACCCAACTAATTAATGTTTTCTGAAGCATACACTTTAGATAGTGTCTATTCCAGGCTGTGACAAGCAAATAGTTTAAGGGGCAGAAATGACCTGATAGCCTTTTGATTTTATATCTTTTATTTCTACATTTTTTCTCAGTACCAGATTTCTATAGTATTACCCTGAACAGCTTCTCTTTCTCATACCTTTTTCTAACAAATCTTCAATGGTTCTTGTTCACTAGAGGGTAGGTTTGAATTTCTTAGCCTACTAATCGAAGTTCTGTTCTGTTTGCAATTTACTTTTACATTCTTACCCTCTCTGTATTAAAAACCCTTTGCTTCTACCAGAATTATACCAGACTGCTGTAATTCTTTGTGTTTTAAGGGACAAATTTAAGGCAGCTGAGGACTTGAAGAGTGGTTATGTGATTTGCCATGTTAAATAGTGCGACCAGGTCTCCTGTTGTTATCCTTTCTCTATATCACATTATGATGACTATCAGGGATCATTTCCATAGTTTGTCATATTATGATAGGGCGTGGTAGAAGAATCAGTGAAGTTTGGGTTTGAATTTGGCTCTTGTACTTACCATATGTTACTATGAACAAGTTACCTTTTTCGAGCCTAACTAGTTCTTTGATAAAAATTGGATAACAGAAATAATACCTTCCTCATAGGGTGTTCTGAATTCTAAGTGAAACAGTATATCACAGGGCATAGTACACAGGGAAGGACCTGTTAATGTAGTAAATGCTTCAACAATGTTAATTCCTCCCCTCGCCCACTCAAATTTCATGTCCGGTATAAAAGTCAGATACACAAAGTGCTCAATAAATATTAAGTGACTGACTATGCTTACCTTCTTAAGTGTTGCTTTGCTTCTGGGACCCCAGCCATATCCTCTTTCAATAAATACTTCTTAACTCCTAAAACATAATTTTCAATGTATTCCAACCAGTTCAACTGGCGCACATCAAAGTTGAATACCTGAGACGCAAAAAGGCAATGGATTGCTAAAATTGCAGAGTGGACAATCACTTTGCTCACTTAACAAAGTGTCTTTTATGTACATGAGTGACAATCAGTTTAGAAGACTTAGGTTTGACCCCTCAAAATAGATTATTTGAGCTGTTATTTCAAAGGCAGTGATAGTATGGATTACCATTTGCTTAGCCATATTTAAACATAAATCAAGCATGAATAATTGACCTTTAAGAAGTCTTGTGAGGGAAATTTAAGGAACTGGTATTAGTCTGGTGAAACCTAATTTCATTTCAAGTAAATGCAGATTAATTATTTTTTAAAGTGACGGGAATACTATGTTAGGGACCGGAACAAATTATGTGTCATTTTCTTTCTGTTTCTCTTAAGTTTGGGGGTGTCCCCTTGGCCTACCAGCCTTTCTTGCAATATTACTACTTAATTATGTAGATTAAGGCAAGCTTTGGGAAGCAAAGCCTTGAGGAATAACTTAGCAGGATTTATATTTTGTATTTGCTTTAGCGATATTATCCATTATAATATCCATTAAATGGAGCCCATCAAAACATTTCTTTTAGAGTTAAGTGGTAAGAAAGCTTTGCTTTTCTTGGAACACTAGGGTATTTTCTCCTTTTGGACAAAGAATACCATGAAAGTATATTTTCCCTTTTTACTTTTCTACCAAAAACTCGAGAACAAACTCACTGTTTAACTGCACTGGCTTAGGTATGATCTGGTAGACCACACATGGACATTCTTTTTTTTTTTTTTTTTCATTCTTATCCTTGACTTCATATTTTAATTCTATTTTATTTTTATTTTAGTTATTATACATGTTTAAGATATTTCAAATATTTGAGATAATGCTCCACATCAACAAAGAGAGCAGATGAGATTAACAAGTTACAGAGAGCTTCACAGACTTGCCCAAAAGATGAATTGCATTCCAAAAGTAATTCTGTAATCATTTTGTTTTAATATTATTTTTCATCAGTATCACTAAGTACCTCAGTATTATTTATTCTCTACATGAACAGAGACCTTTAGTTCTTAGACCATTTCACTTTTCTAAGTTAGATTTCAATGCAGCCCTGGTATAGAAACCTGGTTCCATACAGCAAATCAAACTGGGGGCTGAGCCACACCAGAGTTTGGCCATTAATCCCAGTATTTAGGACTATTGCCTTTGCTGAGATCATTTGAAAGCAAATGTTAAGTCTACTGCACATTTAATTTTTCATGGAATCTTAAGTTATTTTAGGTTAAAATAGTAAAATGTCAAAAATGAAACTCTAATATTACCTTTTGAATTATTTAGATGGGTAAATGCCATGGAGAAAATGCTATAAAGATAAGCCTATCTAACATTGGAAGCTAATTTTTAAAACAATGTACAATAACTTGAAGGGTTTTTTAAAATAAACTGGTTTGATCAATCATCCATGCATTTCTAACAGGTACTTAGAGTTATTCTGTCTAGTGAAGGTATGTAAGTATTTATGAAAATAGCTCTATTTCATGTTAATTGCATGGGTACTCAGTCATGATTTTGGTTAAAATATCCCTCTAAATCTAACTTATGAATATAACATCTATAGTGTTTGACTTTGCAAGTAACCTTTAGGTGCCATGACCTGAATTCTAGGACCTGGATTTGAATCATGCTCTCTGAGGCCAGACTGTATAAGTAAAATCCTTAGCTGGCATGTGAGACTAGCTCCCTGTCTAACATTTACTTCTCAAGATGACTTGGTTTCTTCTACATGCTTTTAAGAACAAGTTACCCCAAGAAATGCTTTTTTAAAAAAATTTATTTGAAAAATGTCAATCAGGAGAGAGAAAAATTTAAAGTTGAACTGAAAAGTAATGGCATGTTCAAGAAACTCAAGACTCCCTGGGCAGAAAGGCTAAGAACATGTACAAAGTACAAAAGATTTCTGTATTTGTGAATTTCAGAAATACGCAAAGATTTATCATTTGTGATGGCCAAGAAGCTAGTGTAAAGAAGTAAACAGCACTGATGCCAAGCAATGGAAGTGAAGGCCAGTTTTGAGAAATATGAGTCTGAACCACTGAGGTGGTTACAGGGAATGAGATCGGCAAAGCTGGCCAGAGCCCGGTGCTGATGGAGAAAGGCCTCAGACGGGATGGAATGGAGAGCAGACAGAGGCCAGCTTTAAAGCATAGGAAGGGACTGTATAGCTTGAGGGGCACCGATGGCTTAGATATGACAAGGACAGTGGATGAGAGAGCGTTTGTGAGCAATACAATGATTACTTTTCATCAGTCATACGCTATGGCTGTGAGGAAAAAGACATAGGTACAGAATGTTTGCTGAAAAGATAACAGCTACGAGGGTGAACGAAAGATTGAAACTGAGTAAGATTATGAAGCATGACTGCAGCACATTAGTGAGAAGTCCAAGAACCTAGATCTACACACATGAAACTGGTTTCCTGCAACTGTGTTGGTAGCATTGACTGATTTTCTTAGTGGAAAAAAAAACCTGTATATAACTGAAACTTTATTCATCAGCTTTCCAGATGAAATACTTTCAAATTCCAAATGAGTGAGATTTCCCGGTTGGTTAAGGCAGTGCTGTACTTACTCTCTGGTCCTCGGGACTCAGCTCGGACATCAGCATTTCTGTGTTGTTCGTGCTCCATTCCCAGCTCCGGTTGACGAAATACTCCAGGACGGAAACGGTTCTCAGAAGCCGATTCATGAGCTTTGTCATCCTGGCAAAGGTCAGAAAGCAGCAGATGTCAGCACAACACAGATGGCTGCTTCTCTGCCGCTCTAGGGATGCATGAGAAATTAGTTTTGAGAAAAATATATTAAAAATTCCTTCCATCTTTCCCTTCAAACTTCATGAAAACTTACTCATATTTTCCTTCCACAACAACTCTCTATTGAATGAAGGGAAGGGGATGAAGCGGAAGAAGCATTTCAATAGCACCAAACTCCTCCTCTCCCTTTTTTCTATCATCTTCACAAGAGCAGCAAACATTTTAAAAACCAAGCCAGACAGCCACCATTAATGGCACACAATTCATTGTTTGAATTCTGAGCTAGACAATTAGAAAAATTATTTCTCTTCTGTATTATATGTTACTGGGTTTTTAAAAAAATAGATGGACCCAAGGTCTTAGCATATAATTTCTGGGCAGAAGTGTTGACTATTAGCATCCACACCCCTCATGACTCATGAGGCACTTCTCTCATTCTATTGCCAGATGCTAATTGGGATACCGATTGTATTTCAGAGTGAAAGGGAAAATAACATTTGTTGATAACCTACTCTTGTTTGGCATAGTGCTGATACTTTTTAAAACTATCTCCACTAATTCTCATAGCTTCTGTTACGTAGGAATAAATATGCATTTTAAAAGTATTTTATTTATTCTTAGAGGGGAAAGGAAGGAAAGAAATAATCAAGTCCGAGAACATACAAACATACAAACCAGGCATGTGTCTCGGCTGGGAGTTGAACCAGTGACCTTTTTGCTTTTCAAGATGACATCTGACCAACTGAGCCACACTGATCCGGGCTAAATCTGCATTTTTATGACTGGGGAAAGTGACCTTCAGATGAAGTGGCCACAGTAATAGGTGTCAAAGCCAAAATTCCAACCCAGCTTTGACTGACCTCAAAAAGCCTCTGCTTCTGTAACCTTATCACCCCATGTCCCATTACTTCAGGTAGAACACATCCTCCAGTCCTGTGGTCAGAACTTGGACCAGCTCCGCAGTGTGAATTTCCCAACCTAACAGTTTATAAAAAACTTCCACCTACGATCCCATTGCTCCTCCCAGTATGAGCCTGTGAGGTTAGTACCTATACTACGTGCCCTGACTGGGTGGCTCAGCTGGTAGGATTGTCATCCCGTACACCAGAATGTTCCAGTTCAATTCCCAGTCAGAGCACATACCTAGGTTGTGGGTTTGATCCTCGGTCAGGTCCCCTTCAGGAAGCAACGAATCCACGTTTCTTTCTTACGCCAAAGTTTCTCTCTCCCTCTCTCTCTAAAATCAATAAAAATATTTTAAAAAATTAAAAAAAGATCTACATTATTTATTTTCATCTTACAGAAGAATGAATAGGTTTATGGTCACATAGCTAATGCTCAAACCTTGGACTTCTGGCAACAAAAGCACCTTTGGCCTACAGAACATTTGATTTTCACCTTATCAGGCATATCTTGGGAGTAGTGATTATTGTACTTGACCCTGGAATGACTGACTTATGCTGTTCTGGGCATTGGGTCTTATTTCTGGTCAATCCTAATGCCCACTTATCTAATGACTCGTGAGGTACTTCTCTCATTGTATCATGAGAAATTCTTAGGTAGGAGGTAAAATCATTGTTCATGGATACAAATGTCACAACAGGGTTCCATTTAGCTATTATTTTGTAACATCTTTGCTACAGACTAAATATTTGTGCCCCCCTGAAATTCATATGGCAAAACTTACTCCCCTAATGTGATGGTATTTTGAGGAAGAGCTCATATCGGACACCCCAGAAAGCTCCCTTGGCCCTCGCCGCATGTGAGGGCACAGACATGTCTGGGGACATGGCAGTGGGCCCTCGGCACACACCCCATCTGCCCACATGTCCGGATCTTAGATTTCCCAGTCTCCAGAACTGTGGGAAAGAAACTACACTGTTTATAAGCCACCCAGTCCCTGGTGTTCTCTTCTAACAGACCAAATGGAGTAAGACTTTCTTTATCCACTTTATAACTCGGATGCAATGGATGTGATTTCAACGGACTTATTTTCATTCTTTTGTTATTTTGTTATTTTTTAGTTTTAGAGAGTGGGGGAAGGGAGGAATAAAGACAGGGAGAGAAACATCTATCAGCTGCCTCTCATGCGCCCACTGACGGAGGACCAAATGTGCAACCCAGGCATGTGCTCTGACCGGGAATCGAACCACCAATTTGGTTTGCAGCATGATGCCCAACTACCTGAGCTCTACCGGCCAGGGCAGATCTATTTTCATTCTTAAAATAATCACTGTACAATATAATTGTATGTATGGGACTATATCAGCATAATATATTTTTAGAAAGAAAACTTATTCTCAGGTAGAGAAGGTCTCCTTAATACATAAAATGCAAAAGTCATCAGAGTGATTCATTTTATCACATAAAAATTTAGAACTTTAGTAATAATAGTGATTACTAAAGTAAGAGTATATTCTATACTCTTACGCAAAACCCTGTAAGATACATATGATTGCTACCTTTTATTTTTATTTTTTACAGGTGATGAATTTAGGTTTTAGAGAGCTTAAGTAATTTAGGGCTCACATGGCTAAATCAGTAAAGTCAGAAATCTGACTCCAAACTCTTAGGAACTACATTATATGTAGCTTCCTTTGTATTATTCAATATAAAAATTTCATATTCAAAGATATAAGAAACATCCTTGGAGAAAATATATCAAATATAGATCTACACAGGCACATACGCAGATACACATGAGTTTCCATAATTAATAACACCAACCCCAACCCAGTAGGAAAATGGGTGAGAAACAGAGGCAAGCAGCGCACAGAAGGGAAAACTGGAACGTGGAGTGAACGAATGTCGCATGAACCACGGACAGAGAAGAAAACTTGAATGTGTTGCCTAGTGATCAAAAGTGAGGTCTAAGGACTTGGGGCTTGAATGAAAGTAACAAAGAGATGCCATTTCTTGTTTTTTAGTTTGACAATTCAAAAGATTGACTTTTGCAAAGTATTGCTGAGAGTCCATCAGAAAAAGAACAGGTATGTGCCCATCTGCTGGTGTAGTTGGCCAAATGGACAGAACCTTGGCTTAGGGCAACCACATACCCTCCAACCCAGCAACGACACCCTCAGCATCTTCCCCAAACCCAGTGGCACGTTCGGGAAAAGTGCATGGACACTCGGATTTGTTTGCCTCAAAGCAAAAATATATCTATTTCCACATGTGGTGGTAAATGCACAGATCACACACAAACTCACTTGGGGAGGGGGAGGGTCTGGAAAAATTCTAGCATTCTCTGCCATAAAGATTCTTAAAATTTCTATCACAAAACAAACATCCACTTCCCACAAATACTACAATTTAATTTCTCACAAAATTCATAAAGATTTTTATTGGGCCCCTTCCTCCTGTGTTTTTCTTTTCTGCCTCTTGAACTTTGGTCTTTATCCAGGTCTTCTTCCACCTCTGGTGTATTTTAAAATCTTTAGCATTTCTGCTTACAATGTTTAGTTTTTCTTCTTTTTCCCACCTTTATGCAATTAGCCCTGTTCAAATATCTTCCCCATAGCCACAGTGTCCCCTTTTCTCTTTTCTCAAGGAGAAGCTGGCCATAACCGACTTATGAGCTCTTAAGAAGGTCTCTGCAAAATTTGGAGAAATTCTACATAGCCTAAGTTTTAGTCATTTGCTCTGCTAATACGAATGGGAATTAATTATGCTGAGAGAGGCTTCCTCCTTTATCAAGCAGCTGGCATGGAAGGCAAGACTGTTCATATTTCTGATGCTTGACTGCAGCAATTGCCTTTGGTGATTATAATAATAATGACTCCTCAGACACATCTAACGTTCAAGTGAGACAGAGAAATGAGTATGTCCTGTCACAGCCGCATGGTGACAGAGCTGCCTCGGCATTTGCACACTTTTCACTCCACCTGTTCCCTAATTTCTTCACTCACCTGTAGGTGGCAGTATACCTAGTTCGGATTTCTCCAAATCTTTCTTCTAACTCTTTGAGGCTATTTGAAATTCTTCCCTTAGCTTCTGTTTCCTCATTTGTATAATTGGGACGATGAGAATATCCTCCTTAGGGTGGTTGTGAGAAGGAACACAAAGTCATCATGCATCTTCCCCTGTGTGTGTGAAATTGTTACCACCACTGCACATTTGAAGATTACCTGACAATTTTCATTTTTTTCTTTCTTTTAGATTACCTAACAATTTAGAAAGCCCCAGACACGAGAGTCTGGGATGCTTTTCTTTTGGGGTGGATGATTACTTGTTGAAATCATCAAGCAAGTTCCTTAATATTTACCTTCCTTTCTTATGATGAAGGATTTTTAGAGGTGGGGCCCTCTGGGACTTCTTACTACTATTCAGTTGTCCCAAATCTCTGTGTGTGTGTGTGTGTGTGTACTGTTTTAGGTTCAGTCATCGCCTTTGATCCCCAGCTGCAGTGAGGGCGAAGGACTTTAGGACCCTAATCTTCCATGCAGTGATGCTCTTAAAGCTGCTGTCGCAGCCTCTCACCTGGGCTTCCTTCCTGTGAGCCGGAGATAGAAGTCGTAGATGATGGCAGGGGCCCAGTGGCTGACCGCATTCTGGTACTGGGTTGTGATGGTGTTGGTTGTGAAGTCAGCATACGGCCTCCTAAAAGCTCTCTCAAATGGGATTTTTTCACAGCTTGCCAAGATTTGGAATCCTGGGGGGAAAAGTAGAGTAAGTGGTAGGTCTAGAGCATTTGAGCCCATTGTGGTGGATGGCATTTGCAAATGGGCCAAAACAATAGAGAATAAGGGCTGGCTATGTGGAATCAGGAATCAGTTTCTGAGACAGTATTAAGATTTTTATCCTGGCAATGCCCTGGCTGGTGTGGCTCAGTAGGTTGAGTGCCAGCCTGTGAACCAAGGGGTCCCTGGTTAGATTCCTCAGTCAGGGCACATGCCTGGATTGTGGGCCAGGTCCCCAGTAGGGGGAGCTCAAGAGGCAAACACATACTGATGTTTCTCTCCTCTTTCTCCCTCCCTTCCCCTCTCACTAAAAATGAATAAATACAATCTTTAAAAAAAAAACACCAAGATTTTTATCCTGGCAAGTAGTCATGGCGTTGTGAATAGGTTAAGACTTGAGTCCTCTTCTTGAAATCTTTACTCTCAAACAATTTCTGGGGGACAGAGTTTTAATCAGCATAGTGATGCATTGTTCAGAAAAATTTAAATCCATCATTCAATTCTAAGGTTATCTAGTCTATTCCAAAAGTCCCAAGATAGAGCCTACGGACTTTATTTCCTTGTTTGGATCATTACTTGTAGAACCATCAGGAAAGTTTCTTAACATTTTACTTAAAGCTTGATAAAGGGTTACTTAAACCTTACTCCTGAGGGTTTAAGGAACAGAGAGACTGTAACAGCAGGATTCCTCCATGCTGGTTCAGTTTGAGTGCCACTGGCTTTTATTTCATCGGGATTTCTCCTTCTCCGGGAACACGGCAGACTCAACAGTTCCCTCTTATCTCCAGGTGAATATTCTTCTCATAATACTTGTTTCTTTTTTTATTACTTAGGTAAAAACTCATTAAAAAGTTTAAATGTAAATTTGTAAATTCAATAATTCTTTCCCAAAGCTATTCATTTGTATTTCATTTTTATTTTATCTGTGTAGAACTTTCGAAGGATATGCCTAAATTCATTATTCAGTTATGATGAAGACATCCATTATTTTGGTAATATGATTACTGTTCTATTTAAAAGAAGCATCTGACCCAGGAATCTGGACTCTTTTCCTTGAGAGGGAATTCATATTCACTTTTAAGAATCACTAGCTGAGTGATTAGAGCAAATTCAAGGGAAGCAAGAAAACTGTCCTCTATTTCAGGGACCAGCTCCCCCATCTGAATTTGAAATAGATCATTTACTCTCACTGGGTCTCATATGTAAAACAAAGCAAACCGCCTAGATTATTTTTAAGATCACTTTCTACTTTGAGATTCTATAATTCTATAAAACAGATACTAAGAATTTTTAGCATGACAGAAGACTAGTTTGAATCTCAGAATAAAATTTACATGTCCCATTTTTAAGAGCTTAAATTACCTTATTTGCATCTATTAATGCCTCTTTTTGTGAGCGATACCTTAATTCTGTTGCTGAGGTAGAGGAGATTTATTTTTTACTTCCAAGTGTTTTCAGAATTATTTAGATATATAATTTAAATAACCAGATATATGTTCTAAAGAACTTGGTGGCTAGGGAATTACATTTTAATTTTCACTGAAGTAAAAACTTTGCAAATGGAATAGCACAGCTGAGTGTTCTGAATAAGAAATCAAATTCTAATAAATTAGGTCCATTTCATTGTTTGTGTGCATCTAGTACCTTAAAAAAACAGCTAGACCATCTACAGTTTCAGATATTGACAAGAAAATCAAATCCTAAATTGACAAAGGAGCACGTCATTGGTTCAGTTTCTATTCTCTGCAGGATTGATTTTGGCGACAAGATACTTTCAAGGTTACTTTCACGGCGAACTGCACAACCAATAAGAGTATTACTACCCAATAATAAAAGTTTACGTTATGGGACGTTTCTAAGTCTGCTCGGTCCTGCCCCATAGTCAGGGATGCAGCGATGGGCAGGCGGGTGTGCCCGGGAGCAGCGGCGCTCAGGAGCCGTGTTTCATCTTGGCCTCCTTCACACTCGCCGACTTCTACTTGGTTTCACTTATTTTAAAAAATCTCTAGCCATTGGACCCCTTACTGCTTACAACCATGCAGATGTTCCCACTGACCCTTCTTTGGTACATTCTAGTTAACTCTTACACATCCATGAATTGTAAATATTTTCTCTCTTTACTTAGTTGTTTGTGCCTTTTCCCCCATTAAACTCTAAGCTCCATGACGTACTTTGCCTAATGTTCTTCCCGAGGTAGACACAGTGGTTAACGTTGCTGCAGGCACTTACCCATTTTGCCCCAGTGACAGGGATTAAAGTTGCTAGACGTACAGTGGTAGATTAACGTTGATTTAGGTCTGGAAATGAAAATAAAGTTTAGATAAAGGCAACAAAATGAAGAACAAATGAAAGGAAGAAAAGGGAAAATAATATTTAGACAAGGTTGTTTCAATAATTGTCATAAGTAAGGCAACCTAGCAACCTTCCTTCTTTTGTTCCTTCCTTGGGTTAGTAAGCACAATGGAAGAGGTTACGAAAAGTGTGTGTGTGTGTGTGTGTGTGTGTGTGTGTGTGTGTGTAAGAGATCTCAGATCGGCTGATGTGGAACAAAGGGAGGTCTCACGATGAGAAAGCCCTTTGTATTTCCAACTTAGGAACATGTTTATTGGGCAAAACTATAGGCTTAGTGTCTTTCCAAATCCAGCTAAGTCCTGCTGGTTTGGAAAACATCTAAGTGTCTCACATCAAATAAGAAAAAAATATTTAATTTATCATTTACTAACAAAGCCAAAAGTACAAATGACCTCTTTTCTTTTTGTCTGCAGTACAGTAGGAAATACCTCACCCATGGTGAGCTGAACTTTTGTCATTTATCAGGAACTCAACAGGTCCATGAAATATAAAAGATGTTCTCATTTCACCCACCTCTATCTCCTTTGCCTTAAAAAAGAAGCTCTATATTAGATTACTAAATAGAAAGAAAGGCATTTTAGTTATAAACAATTTTATGGCTAATGTAAAGCGTTTGTTACTTCAGGACAAATGTAGCAGCACTGAGCAGTACTAATGAAACAGCTCTGCATGGATGGGGACATACTTGGAACTATGTAAATTACTGAAGCAGATACCCTCTCACACCTGGAGTCTCCTATAATAAAATGCATATATTTCAAAAATAAGCCTAACAAATGTATCCTCCTTATCCCCAATCTCTGAAAGCCAGCCCAGCGTCCACACCTGTGAATTGCTGTGTACCATCCTACAGCCAAGGTGAGGTTGACGACCGTATCCACTGGAATCAGGTCTGCCACAGCCATTGGGGTGCCTCTCAGGGCCCGGAGAAAGCCTTTCCCGGTCTGCACAGGAAGAAGAACACAGCGTATTGAGCCAGATCTTACGTAACAGTGGGGGCTAATAATGATGGCACTGGAAGTGACAGCCAGCATCAATTCACCCCTGACTAGGTTATGGTACAAAGGCCGACGTTTCTCAGACCGCTCGGCTTTCCAGCCACGTACATCTCAAATGCCAACATTTCTGCAAACCTCTAGTGAGTGGTCCTTAGATGCTTTAGGGACTGAAATCCCAAATTTGTGAGAGGTAATAGACTTAATTAATTAACAAACACCAAGAATAGTTTTTCACATCTTAAAAATTAATTCATAAGACATTTTAAGAATTAAGGTCTCCCTGATTTACCATTAGTACTGTCTTAGTTTTTACTCCTCAAATTTTGCTATTTTCTGCTAGCACTTACTCACTTACAAGCAACGGCAGACACTAAACGTTTAAGGAATATTTATGTTCTTAAATGAAGACATTTCTGCCCTGACCGGTGTGGCTCGATTGCGTGGGCATCAGCCTGTACAGTGGGAAGTCGGAGGCTCGGCTCCCTGCCGGGGTGTGTGCCCGGGGTGCGGGTTTGGCCCCAGATCAGGCATGTCCCACAGGCAAGCAGTGGGTGTTTCTCTCTCACATCAGGGTTTCTCGCCCTCTCTGTCTCCCTCCTTTGCCCCGCTCTCTGAAAAAATAAATAAGTAAAATCTTAAAAAGAAATTCTGCCCTGGCTGGTGTAGCTCAGTGGATTGAGTGTGGGCCTGCGAACCAAACAACCGTGGTTCGATTCCCAGTCAAGGCACATGCCTGGGCTGCAGGCCAGTTCCCAGCAGGGGATGCACAAGAGGCAACCATACACTGATGTTTCTCTCCCTCTCTCTCCTTCCCTCCCTCTCTAAGTGAATAAAATCTTTAAAAAAAAATTCTACCATTTAACGACTTTGTTATTTCGTCAGGAAAGGCCACCATCATTTACTTCTCACTTGGTACCTTAGTTCACCTCACAAATCACAAATGTTGTACTGATGAGAATTGGGAGTTATCTGTGTTAATGAATAAGTCATGCCAATAAATAAGTCAGTAAATAAGGAAAAAGTTTTGTTTATTTTATGAATTGATTATTTATACCTTGGATATTTCCAACGTCAATTTTAGTGGTTGTTAGCACTTTCTTATGTTTTGAATTTCTCTTTTCTTGTAACTGATTTCTTCGGACAGAAGATACCAGTTTGAAAATTTTAACTTTTTAAATTTTTAAAAATATATTTTATTGATTATATTACAGTTGTCCCAATTTTGACCCTTTGCCCCCCAATACATCCTATTCTCTCCAGTGCTCCTCCCCCACCTAGTTCATGTCCATGGGTCATGCATATAAGTTCCTTGGCTTCTCCATTTACTATACTGTTCTTAACCTCCCCCTGCCTATTCTGTACCTACCTATTTGTACCTCTTAACCCCTATACTTTATCCCCCCTCTCTCCCTCTTCCCCTCCCAACTAGTAACCATCTAAATGATTTCATTATCTATGATTCGATTTCTGTCCTGCTTGTTTGCTTAGTTTGTTTTTAGATTCAATTTTTGATAGTTGTGAATTTATTGCCATTTTAATGTTTGTAGTTTTCATCTTTTTCTTTAATAAGTCCCTTTAACATTTCATATAATGATCATGTGGTAAGGATGAACTCCTTTAGCTTTACTTTGTCTGGGAAGCACTTTATGGGCCCTTCCATTCTCAATGACAGCTTTGCTGGATAGAGTAATCTTGGGTGTAGGTCCTTGCTTTTCAGCACTTTGAATATTTGTAGCCTACAAAGTTTCTTTTGAGAAATCAGCTGACAGTCTTATGGGAGCTCCTTTGTTTTTCTCTGCTTTTTTCTTGCTGCTTTTAAGATTCTCTATTTTTAACATTTGCATTTTATTTATGATGTGTCTTGGTGTGGTCCTCTTTAGGACCTTGGGTCTTGTTTGGGATTGTCTGTGCTTCCATGTCTACCTCTTCCCCCAAATTCCTTGCTCTTTCTCTTCTCCTTCCAGGACCCCAGTGATTCAAATGTTGGTATGTCTGAAGTTGTCCCAGAGCCTCCTGACAGAGAGTCCATAAAAATAGATATAAAGTATCCTCTTTTTAAATTTTTTTCTTCTGTTCTGATTGAATTTTTTCTTCCATGTGTTCCTCATCATTGATTCGATTCTTGGCAACATCTACTCCACTGTTGATTTCCTGTGAATTTTTCTTTACTTCACTCAGTGTAACCTTCATTTCTGCCTGGGTCTTTTTTTATGCTGTGAAGTACCCAATGAGTGCCTTGAGCATTCTGATAACCAGTGTTTTGAACTTTGAATCTGATAGATTGCTTGTCTCCATTTTGTTTACTTCTTTTCCTGGAGTTTTGTTCTGTTCTTTTATTGGGACCTTATTTCTTTGTCTCCTCAATTTGGCAGCCTCCCTGTGTTTGTTTCTATGTATTAGGTAGAGCTGCTTTGACTGCCTGTCTTAGTAGCGTGGCCTATTGTGGAAAAGCACAGCCATAAGTTGAATGGGGTGGAGCCTTAGGTAAGCACCAGGGCAGGGCAACCTGTGTGAACCAGGTCGATGGAGTCTCAGATATGGTGTCACCACTCTGTAGTTCTGTGTGGGGAGGGCTCAGAAAAAGGACAGTGCTGCTGCCTGGCCTCTGGAGCTCTGTCCAGGAAGAAGCTGTGCCCCAGCACTTGTCCTGATGCCAGACACTTCAGTTTCTCCCCTTATGCCACTAGTGCTCTTCAAGTTGCTGCCTGGTGCTGGTCCAGAGGGAGTGTGTCTGTGTAAGTCCTAAGTTCATTGCAGATCCTTTAAGAGGAGATGCCTGACAATCCTGCAGTTTCTTCTGCTGCCCCAACACCCAAGGGTTTGGGCAGCCAGAAGTTATGGGGACTTAGCTTCCTGGTACTGGATCCCTGGGTTGGGGGGCGCTGGTGTGGGGCAGGGGTCCCTCACTCCTGAGATATCCCTCCCATTTTTTATCCACCACAGGTGAGTGTGGGACCACCTGTGCCGTGTCTCTGAACCTTCCTCTCTGTGCCCCTCCTACCCATCTGAATGAATATGACTTCTTTAATTCCTTGGTTATTGAACTTCCATACAGCTTCATCTTCTGGCAAATCTGGGTGATGGCTGTTTTGTAGTTTACTTGTGATTTTGTTGTGGTTGTTGGAGGAGGCAAGTCATGTTTACCTATGCCTCCATCTTGACTGGAAGTCTGAAGTCCAAGTGAAAAACTTTGGTCTTCTCTGTCCTCACCTTTGGAACTGAGTTGTGGGTTGTGTCTCTAGTCAGAACATAGGAGAGGCAACTAATTGATTTTTCTCTCCTTCTCTTTCTCAGAGTGTAAATAAAGCTTGGGCTCTTGTAATCTCCCAGTGAGACATGCAGGAGCACAGAAAACAATGGTGAACATACTTAGTCAGAATTATGGAGAGGGGACTGGAAAATTTTAGATAACTTGAATAAATGTGCAACTTTATAAACAATGTCATGGAACATACCCCCTGGATCATGTTAAAATAGTGATGTTCTGAGTTACCAAATGTTTACCCTAACAAAGCTTTAAAGAAGAAGGCAGGTGTGGAAGCTGCTAGAAAATAAATCAGAAAGTCCATTATCACTGTCTTTGACGAGCAGTCATAATTCACTGTCTTGTGTTTGTATCTTAGTGCATGTCGACCTAGCTCTGAGAACAGAGGCAGAGTCCGAAGTTGAGTTTGTAAGATTTAAACTCAGAGAAGTGCGTGGGGGTCCCGGTCCCAGAATGCTTCAGCCCGGCTCAGACCAGCTCAGTCCTCACTGCGGGCAGACATGCACAAAGGGCTGCTGACCTAAAGGAGCCATTCACGTTTCTCCTTGTCTGTGAGAAAATTATTGTTGAAAAGTTTCCTACAGTCATCAATTTTTAATTTGAAATCTTTGCTCCATTGGTAGTTCTCATTCTTATATTTATTAAGAACTGGTTATTGATGTATTTTATGCATTTATATAACCTGTATCCACACACATTAATTCTTGCATGTGTTTTATATCAAGGATGTAATCATCTTTATGAATATGATTTTTATTGTATCCCCAGTTCACTGCGTCAAGCTATTAATGAACGATGAAAAGGAGGAAACACCCCCATCTAGTGGGATAAAAGGGAACTACAGACATGGTCCTCAATGTTCAAAGGCTTTCCAAAAACAAATTCCTAAATAATAACTGATATCACAGCATGTCCGTTTTTCTGATAACAAAATCCAAAAGCCAAAGTAATTTCATTCTGACTCTATTTTCCAATCAGCAAAACTGAGATAATATGCTTCGATTGCAGTTAGTAAAATAACATTTATGGTTTTGGATCAATGAAGCTAAGCCAACACTAAGCATGTTGTTAGTTACTATCCCTCCACCGCATTTCAAGGAGTCATTTCCACTTCATTATACATACCGCAATAATGAGCCCACTGGGTCCATTTACATTATCAACCCAACCCTAGAAAAAAAAGAAGATCTCTATTGGTTATACATGTCAGAGAATTTTAATACCTTTGGAACATTTGCCGTCTAATCCTAATCCATTTCAAACAGGAGCACTGAGATCCCAGCCAATCTGACTGTCTGATCCTGTAGTTCTCACACCACAAAAAAAGGTCAGTGGCAAAACACTGCAGTTTCTGCCTTTTATTTGTGCAGGAATTGACATTCTGCCAGCAGGAGTTATGGAGAATTTTAAAGGCATCTTAGGGGTTAAATTGGACCTTGTATTAATATCATGCTCTGCTAACCAATTCATCAACCACCATCTTCCTCCATCTGGAACCTGACTTCGTGTCCCCAGGGGAACGTTTCAAACATGATTTGTAGGAATTACCCATTTCTTGAGCATTTCAAGAGCCACACCATTCTATCTATCTATCATCTATCTATCATCTATCTATCTATCTATCTATCTATCTATCTATCTATCTATCTCATAGCTTGCTTAGAGATGTTAGAGGGAAGATTATGTTTAGGAGCAGTTGGAGGAAAATGTTTTGAATTTGTCTCTTCAGCCCTGAGCAAGTCAGTTGACCTTATTGTGTCTGTTTCTTTATCTGTAAAGGCTGAAATGCATCTGCGAAGTAGGAAAGGAGACAGAAGAAGGGGCTCTTTCTTGAGTCTTTCACTCAGGACCAGGCACTGGTCCGCACTCCCCATGTTTGCCGCATCCGGCCACCTCTCCAAAGTGGGTAGTTACAGCCCCACTTTACACACGAGACAACTTCAAAATCCGCATCGTCATTAAGCAGTGCAGCTAAATGTTCATGGCCCTAAAACGTCACAGAATTGCTTCAAAGAATATAATTTAATCCAAGGTGCTTTCAAAAGCAATAGAGTGGTGTACAGAGGTTAAAAGTTATTATTCTTCAACTGAATACCTTCTGTGAGCTCCGTGATACTTATCTATCCTGGCAGATGTAATCCCACCCATTTCGCCATCAAGAACATTCTGGTATATTTAAACGACAGTGGGAAAGGCAAGAAGTGAAACTATCGCCTAGGGAAACTCTTAAGACTGGCATTAATGAGACGCTGACTTGCGATCTCCACCCAACTCCAGAGCAGCCGGTGTAAGTCCCAGGGGGGCCTGGTTCTGAATAATTCCTGAACCAAATGTGGAATTTTGTCCAGTTAAAATGGATTCGAGTTTGATTTCCTACACTCAGCTATACATTCTGGAGAGAGAGGGGGCGGGGGAGGGGTGAGAAAGAGCGAGAAAGAAACTGAGCTAGAAGGATGCAGACTTGGACGCCGAGCCAGGGATCCGCGCATGCGGCCTTACTGGGAAGGGCTCCTGCCAGGTTGCTCCCACGATGGACGGCCGCACGATGGCGATGTTGAGGTTCCCGCTCTCCTGGTGCACCACCATCTCTCCCAAGGCCTTCGTGTAGGTGTACGTATTGGGCCAATCCCGGATCAGTTTGGGTGTGATCTCCTCAACAATAGCATCGTCTAACCACCTGAAGGTAGAGTGAAAAAGAATTCTAGCAACATACATTAGATGATAGACCAAAAACCACCACTGTGAGACAGACACTCAAACAAAACTCCCACTTTCTAGCTTGAGTTCCGGAGGTCGGAAGAGTCACTGGATACCAAGGCTGAGTGTGCACACTTTCAAGTCACGTGCGAGCTGTCCGCTGCCGAGCCCAGTCTTTCCAGCTGACTCCGACATCCTCTCGCCTAGAGACAAGTTTGACCTCTGTGCACTCAACCACTTGACTGCGTATCGTCTGTGTCTTCAGTTGTTACCTCTCCGACAGGTTCAGAAGTACGTATCCATCGAACACAGTCGTGAGTGCCGCCCCGGAGCCCGGGAGCCTGCTGGGTGCATTCTCGGAGTGCGGAGCTGCTCTCGGCCCCGGGGGCTTCTGTGGCCGCCCCACCCACCCCAGGTTTCCAGTGGGCACCTAATGCGCCAATTTGCAAACTTCAGCTTTTAACTTTTAAAATTCCAATGAATGCCTCAACGAAAAAAAGCAGCTACATCTGGCAGGCTTATAATCTCTTTTAGCAAATCTATAAAATGTCTTTTGAAGGTCTGTTTAGGGTCTGTGCTAGTAACTTGGTAATAACTTCTAGAGATTTCCTGTGAATTCTGAAGTGCTCGAATCACTGTTAATAGTCTGTCAAGTAGAGTAGTTGTAGTTCTCTGAAGCAGTTGTAATAGTGACTACTGTGTACCTCTACTTACAAGAAAACATGTGTAATGAACAACCGAGTTACCATGACGACCTCATTTTTTTTTTCTTTAAAGGTGTCTGAACCATTTTGATAATCTCCAAGTCTATCTGCAATTCTTGAAGAGCAATACTATGATTGGGAATTAGATACTTAATGTTTCTCTTAGCTGGCAGATCTATTTGGTCAAACTTTTGATAGAATGTAATTTTTAAAAATTAGACTACCTAAACAGGTTAGTGTGATTTGACACATTTATTTCTATCTTATAGAACTGAGCTCATACTATTTTGATTGTAGAAAAATCTTAGCTCTTCCTGCTTTGCTCCCATTTCAGATTGTTGAGCATTTAAGATGTGTTTATGCCAAGACTTGTTCAGAAATACGACGCTCCATTTTAATAACTCTTGTTTGCAATACACCAGTACTGTTTTTTCACTTTGCTGCTACTCAAATGTCTTTCGATGTAAATTGAATAGGGAATGTCTGAGAAGTTCCAAGAATTAAAAGCAACTCCAGATACTCAGAAAAATAGGTATTCTAATCATATAGCCCCTGAGGGTCGGGAGAGAGTGTGGGACGATGCAGGCAGCTCTCCATCTTTATAATGAGGTGACCTTTTGCTCATCTAGTTAGGGGGTCAACAGTGGATTAATTAACCCAGGAACATTTTATTTCCTGCAAAGACATACGGGTTACAAAAACTGGGTCAGAAGGAATATAGCCTAATTTCTCTTTTTTTATACAGCTTTACTGAGACATAATTCACCAAACATACAATTCACCTATTTGATGGAAACGCAGCCTCATTTTTTAATAAGGCTGCAAAAAAAAAAATAAACTCTAAGCAAATGGCAGACCCCAGAGACGCCCTAGGGCTGCGTCCCTGGCCGGTCCCAGCTGCTGTGCCAACGCTGGCCTGCACCCGAGGGGCACCATTTAGAGCCCTTACCAAGTTGGGTGAGTTTGCTTCTCAGAAATGGAGGTTTTGTGGGTTCTCAAGAACACAAATTCAGAAGCTGTAGTGTTTTGTCATCGGCCTGCCTCTAATAGCTTCACCTGTATTTTGCTGTATCATCGTCTCATTCCCCCCGTGTTTAGTAGTGAAGATGAAAATAATTACATCTCTCTAAAGTTTTAGGTTATCGTGAGGGCAAACAGAAATATCCACAACTGCACTTGAAGCTTTTTGATAAAACAAAATGAGCCAGTCGACCTAAGGCATTCTTATCTTTGGTAAAACAGCCGAGGGGCATCTATCTAAGAGGCGGTAGTGGCTTTCAAATGTCTTTTCCAGTGCAGGCGGGCAGACCAGGGCCTGTCTCATCCAGCCACTTACCGCGTTCACAGACCTGAGTGTAACGGACGCATGTCCACTGGTCAGGTGGTGCCCTTTTTAGGATGAATAATCGGTTTGTGCTCTTCTTTATCAAAGTTTGATGTGCTGCTGTGGCTTGTTCTGGTTTGTTTTTAAAATAGTAAATAAGTTAGCATGGCAAAGAAGACACCACATAAAGCACAGCACGTTTCCAAAGTGAACCAAATGCCCTCTGGTGCACTCAAGAAGATGTTTTAAACCCATGGGCCCCTAATTCTAAGCTACTTAAATTGTTTCAAAAGATGCAAAAAGTTATTAAAGATTTCAGAAAGTAATGTGTGTGTGTATACGCACCCACAATTTCCTCTAACTATTACTTTTTGGTTTGAAACTTATGGAATCAATCTCTTAATATGATTTACAACTTCGTCATTTATGTACTTCCTGAATGAGACAGCATGAGGAATATGTATTTTTTTTCTCTCAATTTTCTTATTCAGGAAGCGGGGCAAGCGGACTGGTGTGTCAGGAAAACTTCCCGGAGAGTGAGCACCAGACGCACTGCCTCCATCACTGCGATTATCATGCCATAGGTACTTACTTGCTCATGTGTCTGTTGCCCCACTTTTTGATGAGTCCAGAGAGAGTGGACTGTGTTTTTTAAATCTGTGTCCAATCACCTTTCTGCCGCCAGGAACCAGCTCATTTAATCCAGTAAATGGGTGTTCTCCCATATGATGGTCTTCATTGGCCAATTTATATTCTGTGAAAGGTTTGGGGAAGCTGAGCTGGCCAATGATAGGAGCAAATGGGTGGGCTCAGAAGGAGGTAAGGTTGCAGGGAGATGGTGGAAAGGAAGAAAAAGAATGGCTGTATATTTATTCATTTATAGAGAGAGAGGAAGGGAGAGAGGAAGAGAAACATCAGTGTGTGGTTGCCTCTCACGTGGCCCCCCCACTGGGGGACCTGGCCTGCAACCCAGGCATGTGCCCTGACTGGGAATCGAACCAGCAACCCTTTGGTTTGCAGCCCATGCTTAATCCACTGAGCTATACCAGCCAGGGTGGATGGATGTCTTTGTAGAGAATAAAGCAGAACTGAAAGCGAAAGTACCCACTGGCAGTGGGGGAAAGCGTTCAGAAGCTAAAAGCCTGTAGTTGTTAACCAACTTCCATTTGTCAGGGTTGGCTTCAGAGTAAACCGAAACTTTCACTGGGGAGAAGGAGGGTATATACATCTGAGCCTAATGCTTGTGTTGAATGGGCTTCAGTATTTTCCTCCAAACTTTTATTGAGCACTTATTCTGGCCTCCAATAGCCTGATAACATGAACAATTTTCAACCTCTATAAGAAACAATCTGACCCCGCTCTGATTTATAGTTAAAGCCTAATAATATTAAAAGCACACTGAATTTTCAGTTTTGTGGCACCTACTTAGATGCCATCTTGGGATAAGACAGTCTCGAAAACCAAAGCACAGATGCTGAAACTGGCCTCTCGGCCCCTAGCACAGACCATTTTCTTCCTGTTCACAGTGGGAGCCTCAGCACCAAGGCAAAGCTACTTTCCCACACTTGACTTCATTCCATCGCTCCCAAAGGGCCACGCTGGGGCCGGGGCTGCAGGTGGCTTTCCTCTTCCTGCCTCCCACCCTCCGCCCTCAGCCCACCCGCCAGAGCTGGAGGAGCTGTGTTTGGTCAAGAAACACCTTTTCTTTGTCACATGGCAGATTAGCTGTGCCTGGTAGCTTCAAAAGGGTGTTTTTAGCAGGTACAAATCTATCAGGAACTTTTTTATTGAATTAAAGCACCTAGAAATTAAAAGGCAACAGAAGGTGAGGAGAGTCGGAGAAGGAGGCTGCAATGATTATCGGAATATGAAGGCACCCCACTGCAAATGAAAACCGCTAACCGAGAAAGCTCTTTAAAACATTATTTCCCACGCTTGCCGGCTCTAAGACTAGCAGGGAGCCTCTGACAGACATCCAGATTCCTGGAAGCTTCTAAGGTTCTATCTTCGAACCACTAATTCAACCTGTGGGAGTGATATCCCAATCATCTGGTGATTCTTGTGGCCAGGCAAACTGGGGGGTCACTTATTTAACAGAACACCACCTTATAAATATAAGTCGTTCAATTTGCCTAAACTGGGATTAGCTCTCAAAAAGGCATTGCTTCTTTGAGTGAAAACTTCAAGAGAATGAAGCTTTAAAAGATTTAAAATCCTGGTACTATTTAAAAATGCAAACTGTGACAATAAGCATCTTCTAATCTGATAGCTAAAATTAAATATATGTAAGACCCAGAGGCAAAGCATCAGCCCTGTCCTATTGTGTTTTTTCTCCCCAAACACAGGGGTTTTTCACGTCTGTTTCCACCCCCCCTTCCAGTCCTCTCCGCCACTCCCTCCGCTCTGCCTGCCTCAGGCCACTTCCCAGGTCCATCTACATCCCTTGCCCAGTGTGACCAAATTAATGTTCCTGCTCATTTTCATCCAAGTCTCTGCTTAATTAAAACTAATGAATGCCACACATACACACATAGCCCTCCTTCAGCGGGTCCCCACTGCCTAGTTAAATGCAGTCCTCTTCAGGGTATTCAAAATCTCCACGGTGTGGCCCCACGCTCTCTCTCCAGCTTGATTCCGCACCTCGTATATGTGCTGCCCAAATGGACTCACATGGGCATCTCGAACACACCCTGGTTTCCCTGCTGCTGCTGCTGCTGCTGCTGCTGCTGCCCTGCCTCGCATGTGCCCTGCCTCATCTGCTCTTCCAAATCCATCTCCCATGACTGTCTTTATAGTCTTTCTACTCCGTCCAGTCCCATCAAACTTAATACCTACCAGCTGCTCCACCACACCCCACACGTAATCTGCCCTGCTCTGTTCACGCTTGGTGGCCGGCTCCTTGGAAACACAGTCTGTATGTTAAGAAAGCGCCTTTTAATCTCTGGCCCTGCCCAGCCTGTGGGTATACTGGAAAGACCATGTCCACATAGAATTATGTGGCTATGGAGGAAAATTGTGTTTATGCAACTTACTAGCCGAGAGGCTTCTGACGGGTTACTTAGCCTCTCTATGCGATTGTCCCTTTCTCAGTATAGCGGTGATGATAGTAATATCAACCAACATGTTAAGGAATTAAATATCAGAAAGTGTCTTTGCTCACAGTAACTACTTAACAATAGCCCTCATTTCCCTCTTAACGCACAGTCACTAGACTGATTGAAGTATGTTAAATAAAGCAGTAAATATGTACAGACCCAGTTTTCTAGTTTCTAACTCTAGTTATTTCAGGCTTTCTTTGTGTTTAAAAATTTTATTTATTTAATTATTTTTAGGCAGATGAGAAGGGAGGGGCAAAGAGAGGGAGAAAAGCATCGCTGTACAGTTGCCTCGACTGGGAATTGAACCAGCTGGCCCTCTGGTTCGCAGGCCGGTGCTCAATCCACTGAGCCAGACCAGCCAGGTGCAAAAGCCCTTTTCAGCTACACTGGCTCCCCTAAGAGAAGTGACCTTGGCCTTAACAACATGGAAAGCACCAGCCCCAAAGCCCTATCTTTCCTGTCCGTTACATGCATTTAAAAAAAGTAAACACACTGTGGATTGAGCATGGGCCTGTGCAGCAAAGGGTCACCGGTTTGACTGCCAGTCAGGGCACATGCCTGGGTTGTGGTCAGGTCCCCAGTAGGGGACACATGAGAGGCAACCACACATTGATGTTTCTCTCCCACTCTTTCTCCTTTCTGTCCCCTCTCTCTAAAAATAAATAAATATTAAAAACAAACATCACCCACCCCCAGCCAGAACCGCCTGAACTATGATCAGCTAATGCAATAAAACAGGTTTCATTCATTCAGCGAATATTTGAGTTCCTACGGTCTGCTGGCAGTGGAGAGCAAGAAGGAGCCAGGCACCCTCCCTTCCCTTGAGAAACTTCCTGTCTAATGGAGAACACAAATAAGCATCCAGATATTTTTAACAAACATGGGGCCCTAAGCCTGAGGGATTCTAGGGCAGAACTCTGATGTCTGAAGCAGAGGTGAAGTCGTCTTTAGGAACAGAACCGGATACACCAAGGCAGGTAGAATGAGACAGAGGAGCAATTACTTCGGCGTGACTGGAGCGCAAATGGAGGGGAGGACCGAGAGGGCGCAGTTGAGCGGGTGTCCTGAACAGAACATTCTGAGTTAATAAATGGTGGGTACGCCTCCTCCCCCATTTTACAAAAATACCTAAGCTCCTAACTGCATTCAAAATGCATTCTGCTGAGATAAAATACAATTTCCTTCCTAGTTCTGTTTGGCTGCATATTTATTTAAGTGATCATTCTCCTTGGAGAGCAGTAAATGACAGAAACATAAATTTTGGACAAGTGTCAATGACAGCTGGATCATAAATCATGTAGCAATTAGCTGCCTTTACGGGCTGACACACATACAGTGGCTGAGTGTGGGGAATGCGCAATACATGAGAATAAATCCAGACCTGCTCTGGAAGGTGAGTTTACTCCTCTTTGAAATCCAGGGATGTCGAGTGTCCCGACACAGTCTGGGGGGGAGGAGGCTGTATGACGGACCCGGAGAGCCCTCCCACTGCAGGTGAACAGAGCGTTTATTTCTCACCCCTTTTTTTCTGGTGCACCCTCAGAAACGTCTGTGCTGGCTCAAACGGTGCTACAGTCTATTAGGTGCCGAGGGGTCCGCTGACGTCAGCACCTTATTTACCAAGACACAGCTGTCCAAGGAGGCAAGCAGCCCACGGACAAACAAACCAGTTCCACCCTAGATGTGCCCCGGGGCACAGGACATCGACTTGTGTCTTTTCTCTGCTGCTCCTGACAGACTGGACTGGGAGAGGTGTCTTCTCACCAATTAAGCAAATCACGATTTATTAGCAACTTTAAGGAACCTCCAGGTCTTTAAAATGACTTCCAGTCCTCTTTGTCCTGGATATTTTTAATGACAGGTAAAAATATCTATTCTCAGAGTATGTGAGATAAAAATGTTTGCCCTGAGGGGACTGAACTCTTGATTTAGTTAAATCTTCTTTCTAAAGAGTATATCTTAAATGGAAATACAGTGTTGTATGAAATTACAGTCTGACGAATTCACTGTGAAATAGTCTATTTTTCTCTGCTGTAATACTTTTTTATACAGAGTTAAAATACAACAAATAAAGAGGTAAACTTAGTAAATGGAGGGAAGAACAAAGAAGCAGAAAACAGATACTTATTCTGAGACTGAGGTCATGTGCTAAGAACGAGGTGGTTGGCAAGGCCACAGAAAAGCTAGATAATATTTCTCCTGCACAACGGGAAAGCGAGGGAAGTATTTCTTGGCTGAAGAGGTCGAGAGACTGACTCCTCCTGCCAGATCTGGGAGGAATTCCTGCTCTCTATTAGTTTTTCTTTACTAACCCTTTAATTATCTGCTGTTAAACACCCCTAACACTGAAATAATTGCTTGTGTTTGTCAATTTATCATCATAACTATAAGATGGGCATTATTACTGACCTCATTTTACAAATGAAGGAACTGAAGCTCAGAGAGGCCAAGGAACTTGCTCAGCATCACACAGCTAGAGAGTTGCAGAGCCTAAAGGTGAACGCTTGTCAGTCCGACTTTAAAACCTGTCTTATGAACTTTTAAACCACGTGGTAAATTTTCTTCAGTGACAATGCGGAGTTCACTAAGAAGTGAGATATCAGTTCTATGTAAAGTATCCCTGAGTACTGAGTTCAACCCTAAACTATTTAACAAGATCTGGGGATGGGGGGAATAGCAGGGCCTGGGGCGCTAAAGCGAACACCACTTCAAAGCACTTTGTTTCAGGGGTGCTTCCCATTGTTACCTCACTAATGAATGACCACCACCAGTCAAAGGGAACAGCAATCTGCCCCCCCCCCCCGCCCCTAGTTTGCCCCAACTTACTCCATGGAATCAATGATTTTTTTTGGCTCCACAGGGCATGGATAGATGACTTCGTCGATGTGTGTCAGGTTACAGTTTGAAAAGGCAGTGGAGATATGTATGAAGGCTTCCAGCTTCGGCATCTGACTGGCCATGAGCAAGAGCTTCTGGGTGGCAGTGACATTGAGCTGCACAGCATGTCTGGAGAAAATTAAGCAGAAGGAAATACAGCTAGTCCATACCATGCTTCGTGGTTTCAAAGTCAGGGTCAAGCATGCCTAGAATCACGACTATAACTTAAAACACTGCTCTGAAGTTCCAGCCTTGTAATTAGGAAAATAAAATTGAAAAGTACAAATGTGCTAAAGGTGGTCACAAACCCAATGTCAGATTATATCATTGTATATTTAGAAAGCAAACAGAAGCAGGTAAAATGAAATCTGGGATAGACAATAAGGCAATTCAGTAAGGTGTCCATTCCTAAAAGTTATGCAAAAAAAAAAAAAATCACTAGTTTTCTTGTACAGAAACAACCACGAAAAAATAGAAGAGAGGCACACATTTAAAATCCAACATTTAAAAATATATTAAATTAATAATAAATGAATAGACTCTATATTTTAAAAATGATAAAACTTGGTGACTTCCGCCAAGATGGAGGCATAGGTGGATGTACCGTGCCTTCTCATTCAACCAAGTTTAGAGATAACTAAATATTAGCAACAGAAAACACAGCCAGAACACGGAAAATTGAACTTTTTGGAAGTCCGTTAACAAATTCTTCAGCCTGACCGGTAAGGGGCGAAACCAGCGGCTGGTGAAGCGGCGTTGCACAGGAGGACTCGGTCAGACGCACTCAGGCCCGTGGGAATCCAGGCGCAGGGTTGGACCTAGTGAGCGACCGAGGGAGTGACCAGGCGAGCGACGCGGAGGAGACAGCGGGGCAGCGGGGCTGCGTGTTGACTGTGGTCGCGCATTTGTGCGCGGGTGGACAGGCGAGGGAGTGGGAGGTTGGACCGGGGCCGGAGGGTCTGCAGCAAGTGGCAATGGAGGGCGCCGCCATTTCCCTGCTCTGACCCCACCTCCACATACAGCGTCATAACCCAGCGACTCTGAGCGGCCCGGCCCAGGTGAACCACCTAAGGCGCTGCTCCTCACCCAGCTGTGAGAAACAGCAGAGGGGGCCGCCATTTCCCCGCTCTGATATTGCCCCCACATGCAGCGTCACAACCCAGCGACCTGGGAGTCCAAGGCGCCGTTTCTCACACTTAAAGGGCCAGAACAGACCAAAAATGTCGCAAGTTCTCAAAGTCCCTGAGCCCATAGACCTAAGCGATGAAGAAAGAGCAAAACTCTCAGACGCACAGTTTAAAACATTGGTCATCAGGATCCTCACAGAACTGGTTGATTATAGCCACAAATTAGAGAAACATATGAAGGGGAAACTAATTGAAATGAATGGAATTGCACAGGGCACCAATAGCAATGAAAAGGAAACTGGGACTCAAATCAATGGAGTGGACCAGAAGAAAGCAAATAATGGCCAAACAGAAAAGAGTCAAGAAGCAAGAATTCAAAGAAATGAGGAGAGTCTTAGGAACCTCCAGGACATCTTTAAACGTTCCAACATCTGAATTATAGGGGTACCAGAAGGGGGAAAGGCACAGCCACCAGTGGAAAACTTATTTGAACAAATAATAAAGGAGAATTTCCCCAATCTGGCAAAGGGAAATAGACTTCCAGGAAATCCAGGAAGCTCAGAGAGTACCAAAGAAGTTGGACCCAAGAAGGAACACACCAAGGCACATCATCATTACATTAGCCAAGATTAAAATGAAGGAGAGAATCCTAGAAGCAGCAAGAGATAAGGGGACAGTCACCTACAAAGGAGTCCCCATCAGACTGTCAGCTGATTTCTCAAAAGAGACCTTACAGGCAAGAAGGGGCTGGAAAGAAGTATTCCAAGTCATGAAATCCAAAGACCTATATCCAAGATTACTCTATCCAGCAAAACTTTCATTTAGAATGGAAGGACAGATAAAGTGCTTCTCAGATAAGATCAAATTCAAGGACTTCATCATCACCAAGCCCTTATTATATGAAATGTTAAAGGGACTTATCGAAGAAAAAGAAGATAAAAAATATGAACAGTGAAAGGACAGCAAACTCACAGTTATTAACAACCACACCTAAAACAAAAGCAAACTAAAAGGACAGCTAGATCAAGAGCGGAACCATAGAAGTGAAGATCTCATGGAGGGTTAGCAACAGGGGAGTGGAAGGAGGAGAAGGGGGGAGAAGGTACAGAAAATAAGTAGCATAGACGGTACGTATAAAATAGATAGGGGGAGGGCAAGAATAGTATGGGAAATATAGAATCTAAAGAACTTGAGACACATGGTCATAAACTAAAGGGGGGGTAATGGTGGGGATGGGGGGGTAGGGTGGAGGGGAATGAAGGGGGGAATAGAACAACTGTAACAGCATAATCAATAAAAAAATTTAAAAAAAAGATAAAACTTCATTAAGGTCATGACAAAAAAAATGAGTAATTGGAAAGACATAATGTTCTTAGATAGGAAGAATGAATTCTTTCAGTATGTTAAAGATTTTCTAAGTGGATCTACATGTTCAATGTAATCCCAATCAAATTTCCAGCCCTTTTAAAAACTTGGTAAAATTACTGTAAGTTTAATCAGGAAGTATAAGCAAGTGAGAATAGTCAAGAAAATCCTATTTGCAAAGAATGATGTGTGCATACTAGCCTAATAAAATAAAATTACAGTAATTAAGGTATTATGATGTTGACAGAGAAAGTTTAATTAATGAAACTAAATAGTTAAAAATGGGGATTTAATGTTTCCTTTGAAATAAAGAGCAAAAATAAATCATTTAATGTTTCAGAAATAACCATCTGTTAGGAATCAATAAAAAAGCTTACTCTATTTTCATGTCTATATCAGTCTTCTTTTTATAGAACATTCCCCACTATTCATTCCTGTTTATAGCTAAATAAACTTTAAATGGGTCAAAGGTTGACATATGAAAATAAAACAAACACTAGAAGAGTTTTCAAGTAATTTCACAACTAGTAAAAACAAGGTTGATAACATGATGAACTGTTAAAATACTTGAAACCTTATGAAAATAAAAAAACAAAGAATTGCCGAATCTTTCAAGAAATCTTAAAATTTATAAGAAAAAAAATGCCACAAAATAAATATAGGCAAAAACCATGAATAGATACTTCACAAAAGTGTAAAGTGCCAACCAGCATTTAAACATCTTTAACCTCTCTGATTGTCAAAGAAATAAAAAATCAAAACATACACTGTCATTTCCATGGTCATACTGAAAACATTAAAGAGAATTGAAGAATCGTAACACGGTGTTGTTGTGGGTGCCAGAAAGGAGCATTCATACGCATCGGGACAGGGTAAACTGAGATACCACCTCTTTGGAGAGCAAGTGAGCCTTATGTGACAACATACAAACTGTTCATAATGGAGTGTATTTGATTCACATCTAACAATTCTATTTCCGGGAATTTATCCAAAGGGAAGCACACAAAGGTATTAAAAAAACCAACAACGTGTGCACAGAGATGTTCACTGCAGTTATTTAGAATAGTGGAAACTTAGAAAAATCTAAAAACTATCCCCCAGCACGGAACTGGTTGAGCATATTACATTGTGTACAGTGGAGTATCATGCAGTCACAACCAAATGGAATAGAACACTCACTGCCAGTGAGAGGTAAAAATGCAACTGAGCAGTTGGCAAAGCGTTCTCAGCATGATGCCTCTGTTTGTAAATTTAAACATAGTTCTGTTTTATTATGGATGCGTAAAGAAAAATTAGAATGGATAGTCTCCACAATATTAAATGCTTATCCCTGGAATGTGGTTTCTTAGAGAAGTTTTACTCCTTTGTATTTTTTTTCTCATTGAGAATATCTTTAAAAAAAAACAGAAGCCATAAAGAGACTTACACACGTGTCCTTACACACACACACACACACACACACACACAAGCCATGAAAGGGAAGCGGGAACGGACCTGAGAGTGTCGTTGAAGCGCACGGTGGCGGCGCAGTGGAAGACAACGTTGGTGCAGGACAGCAGCTCCTGCGTGTCCTCCTTGCTGATGGCCAAGTCGCTGTGGTTGAGGTCTGCGTAAATAGCTCTGATCTTCTCGTTCACGTTCGGACACACTTCTCTGACTTTTTCAAACAGCTAAAATATAAATATAAATCAATACACAGAGATCACCATCACCACCATGTTGTTCTTGTTCTCACTGATTTGTTTCATTTCCGTTCTCAATAACTGGTTTTAGTTGTCACACAGAGCATTTTGCTTAAGTCCTTGCAATTCAAAGCCAGTTCAGTATAATTTCTGTTCCTCTTAATTTGATAAACATTTTTAAATCAATGAATTGCTATCTATTTACCTTTTGAGAGAGGAAGAGAAGGAGAGAAACATCCATGTGCAAGAAAAACAGCAGTTACTTGCCTCTCGCACGCCCCCAGCTGGGGACCTGGCCGCAACTCAGGCATGTGCTTTGATCAGGAATCAAGCTGATGATATTTTGGTTCACGGGCTGGTGTCTGATTCAGAGCCACACCAGCCACAGCTTGGTAAGCATTTGAAAAAGTTCCAATAGCCAGTAAAAAGTGTATTTTGAACTTTCCTAGAGAGTGGAGTGATGGTCAGTTAAATATATCCCGCCCCATCCCCTTTCTCCCTATAAGGCAACTTTGTGGTTATACATGGCGATTGTTACCATTTTGTGCTGGAAAATATTGTTTTCACTGCAAAACTACCAGCCTTTCACACTGCCTTTATAGATGAGTAGTCTTTACAAAGTCTCATGAGGACAAATTCAAAACAATTTGTTTAACTGGACGGATTAACAAGATGTTCTAGTAACACAAACATAATGAGAAACAAATTAAGCAAATTTATAATGGGTAAAACAAATACAACTTTTATCTCATCTCTTTCTAATATAAATGGCAGTTACCGCCTGGTAAGAGAATTACATGAGTTCATGTACTTTTTATGAAATTGTAATTGATTTAAAAAAAATCTAATTTATAAAGAAAAAAGGCAAGAACACTAGCAGCTTTAGCTTTTATTACAATTATTCGTGTGGATTGAAGTATCTATTTTCACCTCCACACAGAAGTTCTTAGATTAAATCAATATCTTGTTTTGTCAGGAAACACAATTTTAATAAAATGATCTCTGTTCCAACCTCTTTTGATAAAATAGGATTTTACTGAACTACTGGTATGATACGTTAACAGTGAGAAAAGTAAGTCTAAATGTTTAGAAAGGTTAAGAACAGAGGACAATAAATCTGTGGTTTTAATCATAATACAGCAGCAGAGACAAGTTCTCTTCTGCACTCTAACCCCAAAAACACGTTTCATCTGCTCCTTGATCCTTAGTAGCAGCCACCTTGTCTTCATTAGAAATCTACCCCACGCCTTTTTATTGGGGAACAAGTAGTGGATCTCAGGTAGTCAGAGAAATCATGTCTCATGTGCATTGGGCAAGACTATATTCCCTGATTTCAAACTATATCATTAAACTATAGTAATTAAAACAGTATGGTATTGGCATAAAAACAGAGACATAGATCAATGAAACACAATAGAGAGTCCAGAAGTAAATTCATTCATAAATGGTAAAAAAAAAGTTACAACTAAGTTACCAAGAATATACAAAGGGGGAAAAGATAGTTTCTTTAAAAAATTATATTAGAGTTCCAGTTAAGATGGCGGCATAGGTAGAGATGCTTCACTTCCGTGCACAACCAAAAGAAAGATAACAAGCAATCTAAAAAACAGTAAACAAGCAGAACTGCCAGAAAACCAAACTACATGAACTCCAACAACCAAGGAGTTAAAGAAACATTCACCCAGACCAGTAGGAGGACAGAGATGGGCAGCTGGGCAGGCAGAGAGGACAAGCTGCGGCAGATGGTGCAGGTGAAGTGGGGCTGGTTGAGAGGACTTGCGTCAAGGTCAGGGACCACGTGGGCAAGGCAGGGATGGCTGAACAGGAAACTAAAGACTCAAAGCTAGCCGTAAGCTACTGCAGGGGGTGCCACGGTGGGAGAAACTCCCAGTCTCACAAGAGAGTCTCACAAGAGAGTTCGTTGGAAAGTGAGGCAAGAGCAGAGCAAGCAAGGGGCTTTGTCCCCCTCTGACCCCTCCCCCACAAATGGTGCCACAACACAGCAAAGAGGGTTGCCCTGCCCTGGAGAATACCTAAGGTCCTGCCCCCTTACAACATAACAGGTGCGTCGAGACAAAGTAATATGGCCCAAATGAAAGAACAGATCAAAACTCCAGAAAAAAAGCTAAGCAATGAGAAGATAGCCAACCTATCAAAGGCAGAGTTCAAAACACTGGTAATCAAGATGCTCACAAAATTAATTGAGCTTGGCTGCAAAATGAAGGAAGAAATGAAGGCTACCAAAAGTGAAATAATGCAAAATATTCAGGGAACCAACAACGAAGGGAAGAAAGCCAGGACTCAAATCAACAATTTGGAACTAAAGGAAGAAATAAACACCCAACCAGAACAGAATGAAGAAACAATTCAAAAAAAAATGAGGAAAAGCTTAGGAACTTCTGGGACCATTATAAGCACTATAACATCCAAATTATAGGGGTGTCAGGAGGAGAAGAACAAGAGCAAGAAGTTGAACACTTACTTTAACAAATAATAAGGAAAAACTTCCCCTATCTGATGAAGAAAATAGACTGCCAGGAAGTCCAGGAAGCCCAGAGAGTCCCAAAGAAATTGGACCCAAAGTGGAACACACCAAGGCACATCATCAATAAGTTACCCAAGATTAAAGATAAGGAGAAAAATTTAAAAGCAGCAAAAGGAAAGGAGAGAGTTACCTACAAAGGAGTACCCATAAGACTGTAAGCTGATTCCTCAAAAGACATAGGCAAGAAGTGACTGGAAAGAAGTATTTGAAGTCATGAGAGGCAAGGACCTACATCCAAGATTGCTCTGTCCAGCAAAGCTATCATTTAGAATGGAAGGGCAGGTAAAGTGCTTCCCAGATAAGGTCAAATTCAAGGAGTTTATCATTACCAAACCCTTGTTATATGAAATGTCAAAGGGATTTATCTAAGAAAAAGAAGATAAAAAACTATAAACAGTAAAATGACAACTCACAACTATCAACTACTGAACCTAAAAAACAAAAACAAAAACTAAGCAAACAAGTAGAACAAGAACAGAACCAAAGAAATGGAGTACATTCAGAGAGTTTTCAGTGGGGAGAGGGAGGAGAAGAATAAGGGGGCAGGTACAGGGAATAAGAAGCATAACTGGTAGGCATAAAATAGACAGGGAGAGGTTAAAAGTAGTATAGGAAATGGAGAAGCCAAAGAAGGTATATGTACGAACCACGGACATGAACTAAGGGGGGCAGAATGCAGGAGGGCAGGGGGGTACAGGGAAGAAAGGGAATAAAAAGAAGAAAAAATGGGAAAACTGAAATAGCATAATCAATAACATACACTAAAAAATAAAATGTAAAGAACACAGATTGAGTTGGGGAAATTGGACAGCTACATGCAAAAGAATGAAACTGTAACATTCTCGGGCGCCATGCTCCAACGTTAGCTCATAATGGATTAAAGAGTTGAACGTGATACTTGAAATCATAACACTCCTAGAGGAAAACATAGGTGGTTGTCTCCTTGACATAGGTCTTGGCAACGATTTTTTTAAGCCAAAAGCAAGAGCAACAAAGAAAAAAAGGTAAGTGGGACTACATCATAGTGAAAAGCCTCTGCACAACAAAGGAAACCAGCAACAAAAATTAAAAAGCAACCGACTGAACGGGAGAGAATATTCACAATCGTGTATCTGAAAAGGGGTTAATATCCAAAATAGATAAAGTTTTATATATAATTCAATAGGAAAACATCTGACATTGTTTCAAAGATAACATACACATGGCCAACAGACACATGAAAACTGCAATGAGATGTCACTTTGCACCTGCTTCATGGCTGTCATCAAACAGATCAGAAATGACAAGTGTGCGGAGGGTGTGGGGAAAGGGGACCCTTGTGCACCTGCACCGCTGCGGGAACGTAAACTGGGGCAGCCACTGGAGGAAACAGCATGGAGTCTCCTCAAGAAATTCAAAACAGACCTATCATGTGACCCAGCAATTCCACTTCTGGGTATTTATCTGAAGGAAACAAAAACACTAACTCAAAAAGATATATGCACCCTTATGTTCATTGCAGCATTATTTTTAGTAGCCGTGATATGGAAACAACCTAGATGTCCACTGATAGGTGAATGAATTAAAAAATTGTGTGTATATGTGTGTGTATATTATCTATAATTCTGCCATGAAAAAGAATAAAATTTTGTCATTTGCGACAACACAGATGGACTTCGAGGACATTGTTAGTAAAATAAGTCAGACAGAGAATGACAACTATTGTGTAATCTCTCTTACATGTGTGATCTCTAAAAAAAAAGCAAGCTGATGATACAAAGACCAGATTGGTGATTACTGACAGAGGTGGGGGCTGGGGGTTGGGAGGGAAATGGGAGAGAGTGGAGATTCATTAAAAGATCAGTCAAACTACCAATCCTGTGAAGTGGGTATTATCATTTTCATTTTAAAGTTTAGAGAGCCAAGCCATACAGAATTTAGGTTCTGGCACAAGCTCTCATGACCGATAAGGGGCATAAACTCAATTTATCCTAAAGTGTCTGCATCCCCAAGCCTGCGTTTTAGCCTAAGTACACACACAGTGTATTCCTAGGCCTACTAACTATGAAATTAGGGGTGCTTAATCAGGAGTTCATCTTTCACATTAGTCTCTAGCTGATTTTAACTGATCCCAAGACAAGAACTTCTCTCGTTGGAATGTTAACACGAATAACTAATGATGAACAAATGTCATTTCCCTTTATGACAGCCGAGGGCAGTTACAGAGTATCGATGGTTTTCAAACTGTAAGCATGAAAATTATCTGGACACTGGTTAAAAATTATTTCCTTCCTCCATCCCCAGAGATCTTGACTCGGTAGGTTCCGTATGGAACCCAGGACATTACATTCCTCAACAAGCTCCCCAGGTAGGTCTGCGGGTCCTGGTACCAAGCTTGGAGAAACATTGGCTCTGAAAATTCCGGTCCATCTTTAACGCCAGGGCTTAAATTCCCCCACCCCCC